AAAATCAGATTCTATAGAAATTTGTAGAAGGTGAGTGGATGAACATGAATCACCTTCTTAGTGGAGAAAGAAAACGGCCAATGCGATGAAAGATTGGGTTGAACAAATGATAATGATGAAACATGAATTGTTAAAGGATTGGGGACGGTTAAAAACTTCGGTTTAGTAACCGCAATTTTTTTTTACACATTCATGGATGAAGAAGTTGCGTGGAGGAACAATTTTTATAATTGATTCATTGATTGTAATATATATAGTGGTGATTTATAGAAAAACAGTTGATAAAATATGTGAAAGTGGCAAGTTCATTTTATGACCGTGGAAAACAAAGACATCAGATAGTGGATAATTTTTTTTATGTATAAAAAAATTATTGATAAAGAAATATTAAAAACTAAAATAATTATATTTAAAAATTGAGGATGACACGTGTCGCAACCACAATTACCGACTGACTTCTGCTTTATATAATAAAGGATAATTTAAATATACTCATATTTATCAGAAAATACTAGTAATATTCGCAATGTTTTTTTTAATACGTACGTAGAACATAAAATGTAAACTTATTAGGGAGACTCACAAAAATGCCCCTTTTTTAATACCCCTTTTCAAAAATGCCCTCTTTGGCTGTCTATTTTTAAAAATACCCCTTTTTATGTACAAAATGACTAAATTACCCTTCTTTTAATAAAAGATATCAAAAATATATAAGAAAATATAACAAAATTAGGTCCACAAAATACAAAATATTTTTGGCGGGAAAAGTGATCCCGCAATTTTTCCCGCCAAAACACTTGTAAAACCTTTAAAATACCTTGTAAAGTTTTCCCGTAAAATTTTTTCCCGCCAAAAAAATTTCCCGCCAAAAATTTTTTTTTGCGGGAAAAGTGATTCCGCAATTTTTTTGGCGTTAAATTTTTGGCGGGAAAAATTTACAAGGTATTTTAAAGGTTTTTTACAGGGTATTTATAAGGTTTTACAATGTATTTTAAAAGGTTTTACAACTTATTTATAAGATATTATAAGATTTTACAAGCTATTTTATAAGGTTTTACAAGTTATAAGGTTTTACAAGTTTTTTATAAGGTTTTACAAGTTATAAATACCTTATAAAACCTTATAAATACCTTGTAAAACCTTTTAAAATACATTGTAAAACCTTACAAAACATTTGTAAATACTCTGTAAAACCTTTAAAATACCTTGTATTTTTTACCCGCTAAAAATTTTCCCGCCAAAAAAGTTCGCCAAAAAAATTGCGGAATCACTTTTCCCACAAAAAAAAAATTTTGGCGGGAAAAATTTTTACGGGAAAATTTTACAATGTATTTTAAAGGTTTTTACAAGTGTTTTGGCGGGAAAATTGCGGGATCACTTTTCCCGCCAAAAAATATTTTGTATTTTGTGGACCTAATTTTATTTCAAATAATGGTAAAATGGTCATTAAAAACTAAAAGAGGGCAAACTTAAAAATAAACTATCAAAAGGGGCATTTTTGAAAAGGGGTATTGAAAAAGGGGCATTTTTAACAATTTCTCAACTTATTAAGCGGATTTGAACAAGATTGACGTTTTAAGAACAACACGCTAATAAAATCAATTAGGTTAATAGTTTTAGTTGAATCACGGTTTATTTACTCAAATGTAGACCATCTCACAAAAAAATAAATAATTAAATTTTATACTATAAAGCAATACCATGTTAAACGAATATATAGCTATACGAATATAAGTATTGTAATTTTAATAGTTTATGTACAAGATGAAAAAAGGAAAAAAAAAAAGAAGATGAAAAATGGAACAAGATTTTTTAGAACTCAACGTGAAGTAGGAAAAAGAAAAAAAAAAAAAAAAGACGTGAAAAAATACGAGTTCTAAAAAATCTTCTTCTACTTTTCATCTTGTAAGGTAAAGAGATGATAACACCACACATAATTAAATACGAGTTTTTTTAATTAAATTTAAACTCAATTAAATATGATTACTAAATTACTAACAAACAAAACCATATGTATAGTGATTGTGATCATATGTATTTTCGACAATAATATTGATATATTATAATTATTGGTTCATCGCGAGATCTAGCTACCACGGTACCACCTCAATTGTCCTATACATAACTCGATATTATGATATTCATGTATTTGAAAATATATATCTCTTTCTTTGTTAGAGATAGAATATATATCTTTTGAAAAATATATAGAAAAAAGTAAAAGACCAATTAATCACCACATGATCGGGCTCACGTTGGAGATGGTGGATCACATGCCCACTCATATTTTGATTTTAAACATATCAGTAATTACTATTGACCAGTATTGAAAAACAAAATTTTAGGAGAAGAGAAAGATAGTATGTGTTTTGATTCTATGATGAAAGTACTTAATTAAATAAACAGGAATGGAAATATAAGCTTGTATCCCATGTATAATTAAAGGATTTTGGTCTAATGTGTTATATTTTTTTTTGACATCTTTGGATCGACAAGACCCGATCCATAGCCAATCCCTACTACGCGGAATAACGCGATTTAGTGGAGTCGAACTCCGGTGGGGAAGGCGGAGTCAACTGGACTTAACCACTTGACTAAAGGCACATCCCCGGTCTAATGTGTTATATATTGTAGCAAAATTTAAAGAAATTGCCACAAAACATTTGTTTTCTAAATGTGCCATAATGGTGGACAAGACTTTGAACCGAAAATTTTGGTAGACAAGAAATGTTGTCCACCTTTGAAACAACAGATTGGGAAGATATTTGGTGGACAAAAAATCTTGTCTACATTTGAAACAACAGACTTTTTGTGGACAAGAATTCAAAACGACATACAAAAATTTGGGTAGACAAGAAATGTTGTCCACCATTATAACACATTTGGAAAGATTTATGTTTTGTTGTTTTTTTGAACAGTTAGTAACACATTAATTAGATTTATAATTAAATTATTTATCAAACTTTCCTTTTTCTTACAAACCTACCCCAACTTTCTTCATCATTCATGGATTATCAATTTATCATGTATTCGATTTGCTGGTAACCAATTAATTGATAACTAATCCCATATCTCACGTTGATAACTAATCCATCACATGGCTTAACGACCACCGATGAAAAAAATGAGATTCATTACGATTTTTTTGTTTTGTTTTGTTTTTTACTTATCATTTTAGGTGAACATATAGAGCTTTAAAAAGTTAAATAATATTTTTAACTATATTGATGATATTTATTAATAATATTTTACGATGACATTCTGACTCATACAATTACAGGAAAACATTTCGCTAATCATAAAATAAACTTATAAGCGGTTATAATTTGAAGAAAATCCAAATGAAATTCATAACTTCTAATCAGTAAATCATAATAGCAGTTTTTTAATACAAGATCACTCCATTAAAATGCACACCGGATGTCATGGCCCGTGGCCAGTGGATGCCGTAAAATATGATTCATTTAAAGAACATTATTCTAAATTATGGCGGTCCGAGAAAACAACCAATTAATCGTGAATCAAAATTGGACGCTTGTTGTTGAAAATTTCAGCTTAATATATGATATGGTCAATCTTGTTTTCTTCTCCTGTTATCTCCGTCAGTACGCAATATATTCTTCCTGCTCTCTAATAAAACAAATACTATAACTTATATTATAGTAAGTCAAGACATTAAAATAAAGTTTCATAGAGATGATTGACCTTTTTTCATGGTTCTAAAGGAAGGAAATCATCAAATTAACCATAAATTAAAATTAGATTTGAAACTTGGCCCTTGTTATAAACAATGTTTTTAATCAAATTTCTTATCACGCTATCTCGGTAATTACGTAACATTATTCCCGTGATTCTAATGAGACAAAACATATACAACTTGTTAAACGGTAAGTCAAGGCTGGAACGAAGAAAGTAGATCTGCGTTTTACGTAAGAACGATCTTAATCATATCACTGATTTGTTATGTCTAGAGACTAGAATGGACCGACTTCATATTTGAGAATATATGGCCTTTTTGTTTCGCAATTAAACTATTTTTATCTTCTTTTGACTAAAGTGAATAATTGATATTACTATTAGAATTTTTTCATTAATTAGCAGGGACTACATTAAACAAGTTTAATAAACTCATCACATGTCACAATGATACGCGGTCCAATCACTCTATCACCTGCCACAATGATAGAATAAATAATGCATAAGATTTTTGCCCAAAAAAAAAATAAATAATAATGCATAAGATTGAATAATTGATGTTACCAGCCATCTAGATAGATGGGTAAAATACTGGGTCCGAGAGTAGAAAGATGAAAGGGAAACAAAAAATAAAATTATAGTAAAAGAGTGGAAATTTTTTCGAACTTTTCCTCCAATATTAGAGGAACTGTATAAATAAATATTTTTATTCCTTTTTCATTTTGATTGGTGATTTTTCAGCATATTCTTAGGAATAATTTTGTTATTTTCTTTTTCGTTATAAAATTTGCAGCAAACAAAAGTCCCAGTTTATGTCTCAAATTAAAGTCATGGCCATCTACACCAACGGCTAATACAGAGCCAACTCCATATATAAACACTGATGATGCAACTGCTCTAATGTTCGGTCAGGCTCCACTATAAATGTTGTCTATTGCAAGAAAATTATGATTAACTCTGCCACACTTTTTTTTAGTTGTTAAACATAATAATTGGTGGTCACCGCTAATCATGGAAACATTCATCAAATGCCGATCAACAACTGCAAAATCATATTCAGTGACCAAAATGATAACTGATTGATCCCACAACCAAAAATTTGGTTGAATGTTAAAATTAAATCACTAAATTTTAGCACTAGTGGTAGATCATGAAACCCAACCCACCAGACCCAAATATAATCTGGTGTAAGCCCATTAATTTCAAGCCTACTAAAGGATTTATATTTCGGCCCACTTTTAAATATTTCGAGCAACACGCAACGGTGTCGTTTGAGAGTACGTGATCGTCAACGCCTGATGGTACGTACCATCGTCGAGTCTGCTTCTTCTTCTTCTCTCTCTCTAGTGGTCACAGTCACTTCACACCCGTGATAAAACCCTAGGAACCAAATATGATGAACCTCTCGAGATCCGTCGCGTTGATCTCTCTATTCCTTCTTCCTTTGCTTAGTTTCTCTTTCTCCGTCGATAATCCGACGGATCGGCGAGTTCTTGTTCTTCTCGATGATTTATCACTCAAATCCTCTCATTCTATCTTCTTCAACACTCTCAAGTCTCGTGGATTTGATCTCGATTTCAAGTTAGCTGAAGATTCGAAGCTTGCGCTTCAACGATATGGCCAGTACTTGTACGATGGGTTGATCATCTTCGCCCCATCCACAGAACGTAAGATCTTCGATCTCTGAGCTCCCTGATCGATAATTTTGTCTTTATTTTGGATATCGATTTGGTCATTTCGTTGTGTGTAGGGCTTGGAGGATCCTTGGATTCGAAATCCATTGCTGATTTCATTGATTCCGGTCGTGACCTGATCTTATCGGCGGATACTTCTGCATCTGATTTGATTAGGGGTATTGCCACAGAGTGTGGGGTTGATTTTGATGAGGTTGGTTTCTCAGAATGTGGAATTATCTTCTTGTTGGAACAAATTGCGACTTTAGGATTTTGATTCATTAGCTATTTGTTTCCTTAGGATTCTTCAGCTGTGGTTATTGATCATACTAGCTTCTCTGTCTCTGATGTTGACGGCGACCACACCTTGATTGCTGCCGACGATTTAGTTAAATCCGATGTCATTTTAGGAAAAACCAAGATTGAGGTAACTTCCATGCTATCTAGCTGAGTTATCTGACTAATACTCACAAGTACTTCTTGTATGGTTTTTGATTTAAGATAATGTACGAAAATCTGGGGGTGTTGGTTGTTTCTGATTAGTAAGACTTTTAAGGTCATTTTGTGTTCGGGTTTATGAATTACAGGCTCCCGTGCTCTTCAGAGGAGTTGCGCATTCGTTGAATCCTACCAACAATCTGGTAAGTCGAAGAACTTAAATTTTTATTGCATTGAGTAGATGTCGATTAGTACAAAATTAATGTTTCATATGAATAACTATACCTTGATGTGGGAATTAACTTTTGTTAATCTATACCTCATACTCCATTCCTAGGTTTTGAAAGTTCTTTCAGCCTCTCCCTCGGCTTATTCTGCTAACCCCAGCTCAAAGTTGTCTAGTCCCCCCCAGCTCACAGGGTCTGCAATTTCGCTAGTCTCGGTCATGCAGGTTTGTCTCTCTTTTGTAACCAGCTATATATACCCCTGGATAATTCGATGTTCCTGTGAAGTCTGAGCAAACTATCATGTTTTTGTTTGCAATTAGCTCTCCACTTATGAAATGTATTTTCATTCACTGCCTTGAGTTCACATATTTTAAAAATGCAGGCCAGGAACAATGCTAGGGTTGTGATCTCAGGCTCTTTGCAGTTGTTTAGCGATAGGTGAGCAATTGTTTGATGGTATTCCTCCAACTAATTCATGCATATGGATGTTTCTGATTCAGAGTTTGGTTTGCACGAGACAGGTTAATCAGATCTGGTGTCCAGAAAGCAGGGAGTCCGAACCAGTAAGTAGACACATATCATAGTTCATCAAGTGAAACTTTTAGTTAGCATGATACGTAGCTACAAAGATTTAAGGACTCTTTTGTCAATGATTGATGTCGCATTACTTTTTGAAAGAAGATTAACTGATCTTATCTAACACTTCCCTAGATACGAAAAATCTGGCAACGAACAGTTTGTGACTGAACTAAGCAAATGGGTCTTCCACGAAAGGGGCCATCTGAAGGTATATGCATAGTCATTTTGCCTTGTTTTACTCTCTCCTTTAAACCTTCAAATATGCAGATATTAATTGCTTACTCCTATACATAAATCAGATGATAGCTTGTTTGTTCAATTAGTCACCTCTCTGTTACCTTCATTGGTGCGTTCCTCACTTATCTTCTGTGTCCAGGCTGGTAGTCTTGTACACCATAGGGTTGGAGAAACAGATGAGCCAGCGATATATAGGATAAAGGATGACCTGGTATGTTTTTTATCGTGCTTAGGTGATAATCACCTGGTATCTAGTGAGAATCTGTGGCAAGCTTTTAATGTGGCTGTTCATTGCAGGAATTTTCTGTAGAGATATATGAGTGGTCAGGAAAGAGCTGGGAGCCGTATGTTGCTAACGATGTGCAGGTTCAGTTTTACATGATGAGCCCGTATGTGTTGAAAACCCTGTCAACAGACAAGAAGGTGACTTATTATGATCTCCAAAGCAGAGTCTTCTCATCTCTTTTTTTTTTTCTTTGTTTGTTTTAAATTGCTTTCAGCTTTAGAAGCTAGTTATCAGCCTGCTTTGTTTAGAAGCTAGTTATCAGCCTGCTTTGTTGCCTACTTTGCAGGGTCTGTTTCATACATCTTTCAAGGTTCCTGATGTCTATGGTGTATTCCAGTTTAAAGTTGAATATGAAAAGCTAGGATACAGTACATTATCTCTTTCGAAGCAGGTGAGTAACTAACTATCTCCTAGAGTTTTGCTCATTTTCCAGACTAAGACATATGATGCCAAAAATGCGGGCTTTTGCAGATTCCGGTGCGGCCTTACAGACACAATGAGTATGAGAGATTTATCCCAACTGCGTATCCTTATTATGGAGCCTGCTTTACTACGGTAAACCCTAAATCCTTCTATGTTCTCTCTATCACACACACACACACACACACACACACAGACACATGTACATCTGAGAGAGCTAATCTTTAACTTCATCGTTTGCTCTTGGACGACAGATGGCTGGTTTCTTCGTATTCAGCTTCGTCTACCTCTACCATAAGTAGAATCCCTTAAATGGTTGTCAAGTCGCATAAAGTAAGCCAAACCTTCATATTTAGATGAGAAAAAACAAATTTTGAACTTGAGACCAATATTGTTGGGCAACAAGGTTTTCACATGTTTCTAGATTTAGCCAGACAGTTGCAACTTTTTTGTTTTTGTTTCCCAGATATTGTTTATGTTAACGTAACTTTACACCCTTTCTCTGCTTCTGCTTTCTCCTCTCTCCCGTAATCAAGATATATATACAAGTATGTCCAAGGCAGGTCACCAGTCACCATTTTAAACTCATAAATTAATGGGGCATGTCTGTGTGATTAATGAAGAAGATTAGGAAAGAAATCAATTTCAGGGTAATATATGTAAATAACTATAAGAAATGGGGTAAAATTGTAAATATTGGGAGGTCTCTTGTAATCGTGTAATTAACTTTCGGATTTTTGTGTAAATATCCAAAATGCATGAGATGCCCAGGAAAAGTTTTGTTACGGGCTTGTTTTAATTAGGACCCATTTAGAAAACTCAAAATTTCGATGATCATTTTCTCAAGTTCACGCATCTAAACCAAAATCAAACAGATAGGTTCACAACAAATCCATAAATCCAATATTCCCAGCAGCCGAAAGGAACAATTGAAACATTGACCCAGGAATATTTAATTTTTTGTTGTCGTAATAGGCATAAATATGGTATAGTAGAGAAAGTAGTGAATGAATACAATCAACTGATAGTGGTTAATAAAGTCGAGAATTGATTTTAAAAAAATGCGACTTGACTAAATGGAAACAGTGTGGAACATGTCAATCTCGCGACAAAAATGCCAAATGGGAAGACAAGTCAAAGACAGAAGAAGCAACTCAGTTGTTTCTCTCCACAATCAAATTCTTCCACACAATCAATCCCTCTCCTTCACCACTCTTTGACTCTCAGAGTAACTACGATTTCAGCTCAATCTTATCTCTTCCGGATCCACATCGATTTTCCAGGTACTTACCGATACCGATCTCACTTTCAATTCCAGCCTCCTGCAACGAAAGCTCTTGTCTTGATTCTCTCACTCTGCTTCCTATAGACCAGATTTTCCTCAGATCATCAAGTACGATTTCTGTTTCTGTAGGTTCTTCCCTGTCTTTTTTTTTTTTTTTTTTTGGCTCAAAACACCGGTTCTGGATTCTGTTTGTCATAAAAGTCAACATCTTTTGGGGTTCTGATTAATCGTCCCTGAGACAGTCCATGTTTCTTGGAATCTTCTCCAAAACCATGGAGGACAAATCAAATTCCAGCAGGAACAGCACTCCCCCACCTCTTCAACAGATCCGAACCGACATGGGTTCCTTATACTCTGCAGATCTTACTGCTTACAAGTCAGCTTGTAGAGAAGATCCCGATTTACAATCCTTCGATTCCTCTCTTCACCAACGCACCAACCGAGTCATCAGCTCGCTAGCCTCTGGTGCCGAAACTCGGTCTTTATCCTTTGACGCCCTTATTGAAGTCTCAGGGTGTCTTCTCGAAATGAACCAAGAGGTCGTTAGGTTTATCATTGAAAGCAAAGAAGATGCGTGGGACAACAAAGATTTGACATGTTTGGTCAATGCGTATTTTGATAGTAGCATCAAGACCTTAGATTTCTGCAATGCCGTTGATAATTGTGTTAAACGTGCGAGGATAGGCCAAATGCTCTTACAGTTTGCGCTTAAGCAATTTGAGATGGAGTCATCAGGGAACAACAAATCCGTCGAGCCGGGTACTACTAATAAGTACGCCAAAACTTTGGAAGAGCTTAACAAGTTTAAGGCTTCTGCTGATCCGTTTGATGGAGATTTCTTCATGTTGTTTGAGTCGGTTTACGAGCAGCAGGTTATGCTTCTGGAGATACTTCATAAGCAAAAGAGGAAGCTTGATAAAAAGCTTAAGAACATAAAGCACTGGAAGAAAATCTCGAATGTGGTATTCGTGACTGCCTTTGTCTCTGTTTTGATCTTCTCTGTTGTAGCAGCCGCTGTGGCTGCACCGCCAGTTGTGACTGCGGTTGCAGCTGCGTTGGCGGTTCCGGTTGGGTCAATAGGGAAATGGTGTAATCATCTTTGGAAGAAGTATGAAACGGCAGTGAAAGGACAGAAAGATATTGTTCTGTCGATGAGGATTGGTGCTTATGTCACCATGAAAGACATGGATAACATTCGAGTCCTTATAGATAAGTTGAAGATTGAGATGGAATCGATGATGCAAAAGGTTGATTTTGCACTCAAGGAGAAAGAAGAAGAAGTGGCTGTGAGGCTTTCGATGCACGAGATCAGCAAGAAGTTTGATGTTTTCACAGAGAGAATCGAGGAAGTGGGTGAAAACGCGACTAAGTGTAGCAAAAATATCACATTGGCGAGAACAATCGTTCTAAGGCACATTCTAAGTTTCCCCTCAAGTTCAGATTCAGAGCAAGGAAACTTGTAAGTTTTGGTTTCTTTGTTTTTCTTGGGTTTGTTGAAAGTTTGAATCGTTGGCTCACATTTTGCATTTCTTTTGGTCAGGATTGAGACTATCACATTGTGAGGGATAACATAGGCTGTATAATTAAAGCGGTGGTTATTGAGAAGAGGTTCTGTGGTATGTCACATAGCGCTTATATAATGTTATGTGTAGCAGCTCTTGTATACATCTGTATCTGTTTAGCACAGCATAATGTATTACTCAATTGGAAATAAAATTCAAAGTCGATACTGATTATTTTAGCCTCTCTTTATAAATCATACATACAACCTAGTCAACGATAAAAGAGAGCAATCTTCTTGATTAAGGTGTGTTGATTGATAGTTTGATTTTGACATATCAACAAACTCCACAAAAATCAGACTACGAAAAAAGAAATCATTTCTTATGACAGCTTGTTCCACATTAAAACATATTAAAAAGACCAAATCATATACCTGCCCATTTTCGAGGTTTGACTAACTGTGGATTTAGAACAAGACGCTATATATTTTAGTCAATCGTCAGAGACAGAAGTAATCGTCTTGGATTAAAATTTTCAAAAGCTTGTGTCTCGCCAGATTCTTATCAAAAGTTCGAGTAAGTTTCGGTTTCTTGATCCGTTTATTACATTATTCATCCTTGCACCTTGCTTTATGTCTGATTTCGGAATTTCAGAGACAAAACTCTGTTTCTTGTAAAACTTTACTTTAAGATTTTGGTGTTTTTAAGGTCAGATTAGCTCCACCAGTAATATCAATGGTGTTCTGTGGATTATTTTCGGAGCTCACGAAAGGAAACTCCAGTCCTAACAGCAACGGAACCAACACTTCACCGGCTAAAAGGGTCCAAACAAATATGCGGTCCCTATACTCATCAGACCTGAGTTCTTACACATCCGCTTGTAAAAAATACTCTTCCCTCAAATCTTTTGATTCATCGCTTCACGAGCGAACCAACAGCATCATCAGCTCGCTCGCTGCTCAGGCCAAGACTCAATCTTTAAACCTAGAGTCACTCATGGAGGTCTACGGATATCTTCTTGAACTAAACCAAGATACAGTAAGAGTCATCATTGAAAGCAAAGAAGACGTTTTGAAGAACAATGATCTTAAGGCTTTGGTTGATGTCTATTTCAAAAGTACCTCCAAGACCTTAGACTTCTGCAATACCGTCGAGAAATGCGTCAAGAAAGCAGAAATAAGCCAACTTATCATTCGATTCGCGGTGAAACAGTTCGAGACAGAAACGGTGGACACGGATCTTGGAGAAAGTAAGAAGAAGAAGTATGTAAAAACCTTGGAGGAGCTGAACAAGTTTAAAGCCATGGGAGACCCTTTCGATGGCGAGTTCGTGACGCAGTACGAGTCCGTATACGAGCAGCAGATTTTGCTTCTGGACGAGTTGCGTAAGCTGAAAGTAAAGCTTGGTAAGAAACAGAGGAATATAAAGACATGGAGGATATTGTCAAATGTGGTTTTCGTGACTGCGTTTGTGACTGTATTTGTCTTATCGGTGGTTGCGGCAGCAATGATGGCACCTCCGGTATTGAGTGCGGTTGCGTCTGGATTGACCACACCGATTGAGGTTGTGGGAACATGGTGTAACAAGATGTGGAAGGAGTACGAGAAAGCTGTGAAGAGACAGAGAGGTTTGGTTTTAACAATGGAGCTTGGGGTGCAAGCTAACAATGTAACGATGGTAAATATAAAATTCGAAGTTGAAAACCTGAGCATAAGGATCTCATCGATTCTGAAGACAGTGGACTTTGCTGTGGAGAGAGAAGAAAATGAAATGGCGACGAGATTTGCGATGCAAGAAATCAAGAAGAAAGTAGAAGGGTTTACTGAAAAAATCGAGGAAGTTGGAGAAAGAGCGGCCAATTGTAGCAAACTCATCGCGTTGGGGAGACTTGTAGTTCTGGGACACATCCTTAGTTTACAGATCGTAGAAGGAGGAGCTGCAAATACAAATATCAGTGGCGTTTAAAAGACATTGATGTTGAGGAGTTTGATCACTCAAGACTTGGGGGTCAACCAGTTTCTATCATTGTTTATGGGCTTTTAAGCTGGGACTTTAGGCCCACTATAGTTTTATTCAGTGATGTTGTCTTGATGTTGAGGAGTTTAAAAAAAAAAAATTATGTGTTTTGTTTCTCTGTTTGTTTTGTTTTTTTCATTCTCTCAGTCGAAAAATGAAAATCCGTATGCGTTTTTATCAAATGGAGCAGGCATTGGTAGTTGAAGCCTTTAATCCTAAATCCATGGAACGTGAAACTCAGAAGAAGAGGGACAGTCTTTTTCTTTGAGGTTGTTTCAGGAAGAAATGCATTATTAATAAGAAATGCATTATTAATAAGAATTATGTGTTTTGTTTCTCTGTTTGTTTTGTTTTTTTCATTCTCTCAGTCGAAAAATGAAAATCCGTATGCGTTTGCAACTTAGGCCCTGTTCGTTTGCCTGTCGCTGGATTCAGCGATAGCGACCAGCGACAGCGATCAGCGACCAGCGACAGTATGTGTTGTTCGTTTGTCTATCGCTGGCGACTGTCGCTAACGGCTATCGCTGTGTTGTTCGTTTGACTGTCGCTCTAAACAGTCGCTATATTTTAAAATTAATTTGATTTAATTTATTTTTGATTTTTTTAATTTATATTTTTTGATCGCTAAATTGTTCGTTTGACTGTCGCTGGTTCAGCGACCAAAAGCAGCGATTGATCGCTGAAACCAGCGACTGGTCGCTAAAAATTTCAGCGACTGAAAATTGCCGTCGCTGGTCGCTGAACCAGCGACAGGCAAACGAACAACTTTTGGTCGCTGTCGCTGGTTTCAGTCGCCAGCGACAGGCAAACGAACAGAACCTTAATCATTTTCCAATTGTAAATGAATTTCAAACTCCATATAGAGTAATGTTTCTTCAGTCTGCATAAAATTTGATTTGACATTTCAACGAATTACTCAACTAAGCTACCTTTTATCCAAAAAGAACTAACTCAACAAAGTCGAAGTAAATGTACATTCATTATGACTAGTTTTTCCACAAGAAAAACGCGTGTAAACATATGACGTGTCCATCTTTCGAGTAATTGTTGATATTTAGTTGAGTTAAATAAGTTCTTCTTGTCATGTCCTGTCTTGTCCTGATCGAGATTCTAACCCAAGCTTTGGTAATTTCTCTTTCTCTTCAACTCCAGCTCATCTTGATCCGTTTTACATCCTTGCTTTTTGTTTATATTTTGTCTGATGTCTTGAATCTCTGTTTTTTCTTTGTATTTACCTTTTGGTTTTGGCATTTCTGAAGTCAGATTAGCTCCAGATTATGTCAATGGAACTCTGTGGATGCTTGCCAGAGCTCATGACTGGAGAATCCAGTTCAAAGAGGAACGGACCAAACACTTTACCGGTTAAAGCTGTCCGGACAGATATGCGGTCTAAATACTCATCTGACCTAAGTTCTTACACATCCGCTTGTATGAAAGACTCCAACCTCAAATCCTTTGATTCTTCACTTCACCAACGAACCAACATAATCATCACCTCCCTCGCTGCTCGAGCCGAGACTCAATCTTTGAACCTAGACTCACTCATGGAGGTTTACGGATTTCTGCTTGAACTAAACCAAAATGCAGTAAGAGTCATTATTGAAAGCAGAGAAGATGTGTGGAAGAACAAAGATCTTAAGTCTTTGGTTGATATCTACTTTAGAAGTACCTCCAAGACCTTAGATTTCTGCAATACTGTCGAGAACTGCGTCAAGAGAACAGAAATTAGCCAACTTATCATTCGGTTCGCGGTGAAACAGTTCGAGACAGAGTCAGAGGACACGGATCTTGGAGAAAATAACAAGAAGAAGAAGTATGCGAAAACCTTGGAGGAGCTGAATAAGTTTAAAGCCATGGGAGACCCTTTTAATGGCGAGTTCGTGACTCAGTTCGATTCCGTCTACGACCAGCAGGTTTTGCTTTTAGAGGAGTTGCGTAAGCAGAGAAAAAAGCTTGATAAGAAACAGAGGAATGTGAAGACATTGAGGACGCTGTCTAATGTGTTTTTCGCTACTGCGTTTGTCTCTGTTCTTGTCTTATCAGTGGTTGCAACCACAATGAGTGCGCCGCCAGTGGTGAGTGCGGTTGCCTCTGGATCGACCGCACCGATTGAGATAACAGGGAAATGGTTTAGCCAGATGTGGAAAAAGTACGAGAGAGCTGTGAAGAGACAAAGAGGTTTGGTTTTGTTGATGGAGAGTAGAGCACAAGTTAACAATGAAGCGATGAAGAATGTAAGATCGGAAGTTGATGAACTGAGAATTAGGGTTTCGTTGATTCTGGAGACTGTGGAATTTGCTGTTGAGAGAGAAGAAGAAGAGGAGGCGACGAGACTTGCGATGCAAGGAATCAAGAAGCATGTAGATGGGTTTACTGAGAAAATGGAAGAAGTTGGTGAAAATGCGGCTAAGTGTTGCAAATTCATTGCTTTGGGAAGACTTCTAGTTCTGGAACACATCCTTAGGTTACCCGCTAATTGAGTTTCGTAAAAAGGGAAGTTATAATTTATAAATATCATCAATGGTGGCGTTTCAAAGACATTAGGGTTGAGTAATGTTATCACTCAAGCAAGACTCCGAAGTCAAAGAGTTTTTAATTTTTTTATCAATGGTTATGGGCTTAGAAGTTAGGATTTTAGGCCCACTATAGCTTTATCAAGTAACGTTGCCAATTTAAAAGGATTGATTAAAGAAATATTTTTGTGTTTTGTTTAATTTCTATTGTTTTTTTTTTTCGTTTCTTACATTTTAAATTTACGAACAAAGAATTCAAGTAGATTAAAAAGTTTCAACCGAACATACCGTCTTAGCTTAATTTTTAGTTGATTGTCAAAATTTAAACATCAACGTAACATGTCAATCTGGTGATATATTTGTAACATTCGTAGATTACAAGTACTGGTTTTGAATCTCATTAAATAATGTCAAATGTATATACATTAAGTGATCCTTCCATCTGCAGAAACAACCTCGATACTTCTTGCCATACATTTGTTTCTTCTTTCTTTTATAAAATAACTTTCTGAATATACGGTTTTGGAGAGTTTACGAATAGCGCGCTACTTGTAATTTCAATTTTAACTTTTTACAAAATAGCGATGAGGGAAATATAAGTTTGTCGAAAAAGGAAAAATATATTTGGACAGAAAAAGTAAGATGGAAAAAATCGGTTACTTCGTAAATTGTCAAGAAATTAAAATTGACGGTCAAGAAAAGGAGAGTGCATGGGAGGATGAATAAAAACGGTAATGTTATATAATTCAACTGGGGGAGGTAGCTTCGTAAAAAGAATCCATCTTTTTATTTATTTTTATCAAACCATCTTTTATTGATTTATTTGTTTATTACAAAAAACAACCACAACAACGACCCCACGAGAAATTAAGGAGATGGAGCCTCGTGAGGAGTTTGGTATAGTAGCTCTAATTAAAAGTCTAAAGAAACCCTCCTTAGATATCAACTCCCCGACACTCTCTCCCTAACACACACGCACTCACAGATTCGAAACTCTCTTTTGCATTTACGTGGCGACTCGTTTACGTGTGTCCAGTCCTCACACATTTTCATGCTTTTCATTCAACCTACTAACTTCCACCTTTTCCGTTTATATAGTATTGTTTCTTTTCGTTAATTGTGATTCTTTAATATTAATAAATTGTTCTGAAACTTAATACAATGTACATACTGTATATAAGTCCGTTTTACGTTAAAGTGGCAAAAAAAAATAGGGTTGGCTGATTTTTCAGCCCTATACTAGTTGCAATATTAGTTTTTCACCCCAAACTTTTTACTTCTGAAAAAACCACCAAAAAAAACTTTAATCTCAATAAAATTACATGTACTTTCGGATTTGTTCGTAAAACTATGCCTCCAATTGAACCGATCAATTAACCGATAATATTTAATCCGGTTTGACTTATCCAGAATTTTGACCAAAATTAATCGATTTTGACTCTATTTTAACCCAATTTTGACCCAAAAACAATTATAAAAGAAAAAAATGTTTTCTCTAAAAATAAATTTATTTATTTATTTATTTTTATAAACAATTAAAATAATAAATTATAACTTAATTTTATCAAAAAAGATATAAAAATAAACCTCTAAAGAATTATATAATAAAATTTTGGTATATACTTTTGGTAATATTACAGAAAAATAAAATAATAATTTCTTTGGAAATCATAATATATGACCTTTGAATTTTGTATATTGTGAAATTCAAAGTATATGCAAAACTCATTATATATATCCTTAAACACCATAAATCAAAGTATATATTATGATATTTATAAATTCATTTTTCTTTATAGATTCAGTTTTTTTTTTTATAAATTCAAAGGTCAGTTATATATATATATATATATATTTATATATATATATGGTGGTTTTAAAAAGAAAAATGCGTTTGAATTATATATATATATATATTATACCAAATTCATTATATATATATATATATAAATGAATTTGATTTGTGGTGATATTATATACTTTGATTTGTGGTGATATTCAAAATATACATTTTATTTTTGGCAATCATTTTTCTTTCTAAAAACACAATAATATATATATATATATGATATGACCAACGTTTGAGTTTTAAAAAAGAAAAATGAATTTATAAGAAAATGATTGCCAAAAAGAAAATGTATATTTTGTTATATTACCAAAATTTTATAACAAAATATAGCACAAAAATAATTTTGTGATCTATTTTGGTATATTTTTGTTGTTGTATATTTTGTTATATAAACAAAAGTATAGACCAAAAATTTGTTATATATTTTTTTTTGTGGTATACTTTCATATTATTTTGTGGTATACTTTCATATTATTTTGTGGTATATTATTTTTTTGGTAAAATTAATTTATAATTTATTATTTTTAATTGTTTATTAAAAATGAATAAATAAAAATAATAATTTTATTTATACAGAAGACATTTGTTTTCTTTTATATTTGTTTTTGGGTCAAAATTGGGTTAAAATGGAGTCAAAATTGATTAACTTTGGTCAAAATTCTAGGTAAATCAAACCGGATTAGATATTACCAGTTAACTGATCGGTTCAATTGGAGGCGTAGTTTTAAGAACAAATCCGAAAGTACGTGTAATTTTATTGAGATTAAAGTTTTTTATGGTGGTTTTTTCAGAGACAAAAAGTTTGGGTTGAAAAGTTAAGATTGTAATTAGTATAGGGTTGAAAAATCAGCCAACCCAAAAAGAGATATATATATACTATTTGGCAGTACTTGGTTATCGTAAATGGTTTTAAGAAACACCCAACAATTCATAATCTAGTTTTTTATACACTCTTTCAAATTTAAACTGCAATATATAGATAATTATAACATTCACACTGTAACTCTTAAATATACATATCGTTAATGTCTTCCACTAAGAATTTTGTGTAAGTTGTGACAACTGCAGATTCTCGAACAATACTTGTTGTTGAATTAGGAATCGGTCTCTCGTGTCTTCGTAATCCAGTACTGAAATATTCCGCATTGGCTTAATATTTGAAAAAGAACTCTTATCTCATAAATCCACCGAACTTTTTTTTTTAAATAACAAAAAAAATACAGAGATGATGCTTGCACTTATCTAAATCTACGTGTTATGGAACACCACATTTAATAAATAACATACTTAAATTTATACTATTAAAAGCGTTTACAAACTGATATAATTAAAAAGGTTTTAGACGAATTAGTACTAGAGAAAGAGAACCATTATCACTACTAAATTAATAATGATTAACAAAAAATGGAAGGCAATGGGAAGAAGATGTGATTGGCTAGGGAAGACTTCGCGTGTTAATAAGATTTTTCTCAAAAAAGATCGGACGGCAATGCGTGGCAAGTCGCTTATGACGTCGGAAGCTTAGCTTGCCACGTGTACGGTCATCACCATTTAGGTGACCGATATAATGTATTTCCCGTGACTTGATGATGTAATCCCAATTTATCGTGCTTCAGTGGTCTCAAAGAGAGAAATTACTCCTATTGGTTACCCAAAACTCACATAAAACGTGGATTTTATATTTTCATCAAATAATTTCGAAATTTGATGTAGCAGTAGCAATATAACCATATTTATTATTATTTTCTTTACATGTTTTAAAAATGCAAACGAAATTTTTCTTCAATGATTGATAGTTTTTTTTATACATCCATCAATTTCACAGATTAAACAAAGTTTATTGTTACACTAATAACGGTTCTATACTTGTATTCATACGTTTATGAAACTCGTTAATTATATATTTAACTTTGTTTAGCTGTATCATAACAATCGTTTTAACATATTTAATAAATGAGAAATTGGATAAGCAACGCCTATGTTAAAATATCGTGTCAAAATATCGTGATAAGGATGCTGTTTCGGAGAAGCCTTCTCGTTTGTTGCGTCGTTGATCTGAGCCAACAACGCTAATATAAAAGGAAGCTCAAGTTTCTCTGTTTAATCTCGAACCAATATACAAAGCGTGTTCTTTGTCTCTTAAATCAAACCAATTTTGTTCTTCTTTGATTTTTTTTGTTTCTCTTCATTTTTGTTCTTTCTATTTCTACCGTAGCTTGAGAGATCGACGATGTCGTCGAAGAAATCCCTAGTTCAAAGTCTCTTCAACATTTCCAAAACCTACTCCAGGATTTCGGGTCTTACCCGAATGCGTCCGACCAAATCCGGCATTCCTCCCGACGCCGGAGATTCTGGAATCCGCCGCAGATTTCTCCACAAGAGGGCATTTTTCTCGCCGGAGTTAGTTCCTAAAGGTGGTAATTTGATGGAGAAACTCAGGGAATTGAGTTTGTCCAATAATAATCGTATCCGTCTTGACGAGATGTTACCGCCACCTTCGCCGGCGAAATCATCACCGGGGTTTTTTCCGGCGGTCACGGTGGAAGACGTGAAGAAGCTGATGAGAGCAGCGGAAATGGAGATGGTGAAATCGAGGCTGAGAGAGATTGGGAAGAACTGGGTTCCTTATTCGGAGTTTGTTCGGGTCTGCGGGGAAAACAGTTCGGATCCTGAACAAGGTAACCGGGTCGCGAATATGCTTGACGAAGCTGGAAACGTCATCGTTTTGGGAAAATTCGTCTGCCTTAAACCTGAAGAGGTAATTAAACTATACATGCATTACAAATTTAATTACCACTGTTGTTCAAATTTAGCATTCGTGATCTAATTTTGTTTTTTCCTTTATATGACTACAGCTAACAAGCGCCATGGCTGGTCTGATCCCGACACTCGAACCCACTCTCGACGCCGCGACAAGACAAGAGTTCGAACAACTTGAGATTATAAAATCAGATATCGACAAAAGAGCCAATGATCTGGTTCGAAAAGAATTATGGGCCGGATTAGGCCTAATTATGGCCCAAACAATTGGATTTTTTAGGCTGACGTTTTGGGAACTGTCGTGGGACGTGATGGAACCCATATGCTTCTACGTAACTTCGACTTACTTCATGGCTGGTTACGCCTTCTTCCTCCGAACTTCAAAGGAACCTTCCTTTGAAGGGTTTTACAAAAGCCGGTTCGAGACGAAGCAGAAACGTTTGATTAAAATGCTTGATTTCGATATCGATCGCTATACCAAGTTACAGAAGATGCATCGTCCAGACTTTACTAAATCTGGTCGTTGTTGATCGTAATTCTTTTCTTCTTCTTTTTCCTAAATCGGATACTAATTAAATGTATAAACGACTACAATTTTCGTAGAGAATAAATTAGTTTTAGAGGGATAAAAAAAAAGTCTTGTCATGCTTATAGTGAATAATATTTCCAAAGCATGACAATTATTATTACTAAACCAACAATTAAAGTGAATAATATTTCCAAAGTAAAATTTTTTTTTGGATCAGTTGACTTCTACTATGAATAAATGTATGAATGTACACAAATGTGCTAGCCGTGTGGATCGCAAACTTAATTAAAAATGGATAGAGATACGTAATAAATTTTTGTTCACACGTTGTAGGCTTGTAGCCCACCTAAGAGAAAAAAAAAACAAGTTTCTGTTACAAAACTAAAAAGCATGGACAATACAGTTGGAACACACTTATTTCCAACTATTCACAAAAAAATACGAAATATAGGTTTTATTGTAGGAAGAACAATCACCAAATTAACGAAAGAACGCTAGGGTTGCGTCAACAGCAAGAAATTATAAATCCAACGAAAAATACACTTGTATAACACGCAAGACTGTTAAAGTGTTGAACATAGGAACAAAGAGCATTAGAACAGAAGAAGAAGCAGTGTTTACACCAAATCAAGTATGTGTATATAAAAATACGTATACGGGTATGTGTGTATAATTGGTATAGTGATTCAAAACTTTGAATTATGCTGTAGTCTTGGAAATGCTAACGATCTCTTTCAGTGTATCTTTAAGGCTGTAATGATTTGAGGCCATCATCTTGTTAACTTTCCTAAACCTGTCACCGTAGACTGGTGATTCATCTGTTTCTATATATCTGATCCTTGCAAAACTTCACGAGCCGTTTCTCATATTCAGATGGCTCACCTTTCTTTGATGTGGTTGTAGCTGGAAGAGTGCGAGAAGAAGAAGCTGCTGCTGCTATATCAGGATTGGCGTATGTCTGAGGCTCTAACCACATGTGGCCTAACACTTGGCATAATCCTTCTTCGAGAACCATATCTAGATTCCTATAACCTGTGACCAAACCAAAATGACTTTGAGACCTCTCCTCATCGCTACTACAAATTGGGTAAATTCTTATTTGACCATTACTTACCGTTGAGTCTAAGCCACGCATGCATCATCTCATGAGCCAAGATATATCCTGTTAGGAACCTGTTTGTGAAGATAGATTTGATTTAGCCTATTGGGTCCAAGACTCAAGAAAGTGCTAGATGATGAGGTACTAAGAGTACCTAGGAAGTCCATATAAGATGAGAATTGCAGTGACCTCGCACTTTCGAAGAACCATTTGAGACTTTGGAACTATCTCTAATACTAGCTGTTTGTTCGGCCCCATCCTTTGCCTTTTAATTTTTGAGACCTGTATATGTGAAACAGAGTTTAAAGTCCAATCTAGTTTCACTCCCTAGAAGTATCATTTTGACCTTATTTAATGTCTTACACTTGTGACCATCTGCTCTTCAGACAGGCAAATACCTCTGGTAGCCATCCCATAATGATTGTCCTGCTTGTGTTAATTGAAACTTACAACACATATGAGTGAAATAAAGAGAGATCAGGAAATGTATAACTCACAATCTTCTCTTCCTTTTCAGCTTTGTTAAGCGCTTCTTTCTGTTGGAATTGTGAGTCTTTGATTAAAGAAGAAGAGGAAATTGTTTCTCGATCTTCATGTTTAAGCATTCGAAGAATTCACGGATTTCCAAATGTAAATGATGGCATTCAACAGTATCCATAACCGCGCATTCCGTACATTCTCGACATAGCCGTCGACCATCTTCAAGGTTTACATATTTTGTTCCACAAGACTGCAAAAAACCATTACAAGTCAAAACAAAACCAGAAGAGCTCTTCTATTTTGTTGATAAGTACCTCTAATCTTTCACAGCTGCAACACTTGGGAGTTCCATCATCATCATGACTAAAACAGTATTTTTCCTTCCAGAACGGATGCACATTGAACTTTCTACCTTCCGAAGTTAAAGAAATCTGAAAGAAAAATTATACAGTTACATTTACATCCACAAGTCTCATAGAGATACTAAGTCTTTAACTTTGCTTTCATTTCATAGGACTCAATAGCTTACCTTCTTTTCACAGACATAGCAGTTTGGAATCTAAAGAGTTTAACATGAGAAGAAAACAAAATAAACATATTAAGTCAAAGGAGGAATTCAATCAAATTAGTAGCAATCAACTTCAAATTGGTATATGGTTTTAAACCTCGCTCCTAGCAATTGGTTGTTGACCATGAAGGGATAAACACAAAGGATGCCAAAGAACACCAAAAGCATTGGCATATATTCCATCTTCAATCGCATAGTTGCAACCACGGCATATGCTACAAGTTCATGTAAATAAATTAAAAATACACAATTGCATATGCACATAATTAAGCTTTTTAATTACCTAGGAGGAGGATTCACATCTTTTTCCTCCACATGATCTTGGCAAGGCTTAACTTTTCCCTTATCCTCCTCCACTTGCTTAGTTTTGCCTTTTCTCTTTGACTTTTCTAATCTTCTAATTTCCTTCTCTTGCTCAGCTAGCTTCAAACTTTCTTTCTTAGCCTTAGCAATCTCAATTTTTTCACGTGCCCTGCGATCTTCTTCTTCATGCATTGAAACTTCCTTGGCGGTTTTGATATCATGCATCCTGACAGGTTTAAGATCGCCAATGTTAAAAAAGTCTAGCAAGCAAAATGGACTAGCTAGGCTCTTCAACTTAAAACTTTTATAATCATAAGCAAAACAATCTAATCTAATAGTTAACCTTAGATGGATCATGTTTGGAAACTCACTTTCTTTCTTCTCCAATCTGGGGATCAGTGATGAAGTTTTATCATCTATGATACACAAAAAAAGAATACCAAAAGCTCTTTCCTTGGTAACAGTTTTAAGTGAGGTTTTTCAGATATTGAGAGTCAGAGAGAGAGAGATATAGAGGAAAACACTAGCGGTTGGTTCAGCACTTTAGAGCATGTGCAGTGCATAGTTCTTACATGGGTTCTCACTAATAAAAAATTAAAAAGTAATAAAAAGTGGGAGGGAGAAACGAGAATCGATTTTCATCTGAGAACATTTGAGAACTTTTTGAGAGACTACTTTTACACTTGTCAGCATATAATTGGTTTTCAATTTTTTTATAATTTAAAATTAAAATAAATAACTAAATTAAATCATATGTATTAGAATAATATATTTGAGACTGCACATGCTCTTAGCTGCTTCGGCCATGTGGCGAGAGCCGATTGTGACCTCGACTTTTCCCGCTCTTTTAAAACGTTGCCGTGTACTTTGTATAGACAAAATTTCCAATCAAATGTTTTTTTATTTTTGGTCCACCAATCAAATGGTTTGAATACAATTAAGATTGGAATTGCCTATCTAAAACGAGCAAATATACAGAAAAGAATATAACATTTATCATGCCTCAAACATATATCCACTAACATGAAAACTATAATTTTGTTAGTTTTTTTCATTTCAAATTGATAAATATCAGGGTTAATTAAGAATTTTTTTCAAATATTCAGGAAATCAAAACCTTTCAATAAGTCGAATGGATAATGATTCAATAAGTGTTTGATTTTTCATAAGTTCTTGGTAAACCATTCAATAAAAAAAAAAAGAAAAAAAAAAGAGGTTGACTGTTGACGTCTGTGTGATGCGATTGGTTTTTTAAAGCATAAAGTTTAAGAATTACATTAATGAAGTAATTTTATTTATTTTTACATTAAACATTATTCAATATCAAATTTAAAATAGATCAACCAATATGAAAAAGACTGCAATATACCAATAGGCCCAACACATTAAATTATATTAAATAATGCATAAAAACATGGAAAAATTAAATTAATGAAACAAAATATGTGTAAACATCTTATAAAATGAAACAAATGTTGTACATTTTTCTTCTTCTCAGTTTTTTTTTTTTTTTTTTTTTTTTTTTTTTTGTATGAGCTTCTTCTCAGTTTCTCCTTTTGAACAAAACAATCAGCTAATTTCATTCTCTTTTTACAATCTTTCTTGTTTTACCTGTCAAACGACTTAAACCTTGAATAATAAATTTAGGTAGTACGTTTTCCTTTCTACTTTAAAATAAATATTCTAGTGTGTATATATATTCCCTAGTATATATGTTCATTAGTTTTAAATTTTTAATAGCTGATATGTCTTATTTTATTTCTCACAATATTAAATGTACATATGTGATATGTGTAATAATATACAGTATTTTAAGATAATTATATTTTACATGTTTAAAGTGTTAATATGTATATTAAACTTTGAAATTATTAATGTTATACTTTATGAAAGAAACAGTATAATAAATCATTTAAAACATTCCACTTAATCTCTCATACTTAGTCGTCCAAACTGTCGCTCTCTTCATGAATCAAGTAATCAACCTTGTCAAGTTCTTTTCTGGTCCAACTTTTTTCTTTTCCTACACAACTTGTTAAGACATTTCAATTTCCGAGCCAAAACTTTTTGTAAATCTTAGACCATGTACATAGGTGATATTTTTAGAGTATCACAAGCCCATAAATTATTTTTATATGGACAAAACAATTAGAATAGACATGATGATCAGTATCAGTCTTGTGATACTTTTGATATCAGTATCATATGACATGGCATCTCCTGATTGGTCGCGCGACCATGGTCTTACATTTCTCCATTTTTGTTGTTGTCCTTGTGATAGGTTTTCATATGGTCTAAATGTCGGCCGACAACTACGAAAAACGGCCGTATAATTTTTTAACCAATATTAAAAATCTGCCACTAAAAAAAAAAAACAAAAAAAAGGAACCTCATTTATTTATCATAAACCCCATTTCACATGAATAACATATTAGTTTTAAAATTTTGGTGCATGTATAATATTTAATATATTGGAGATAAATGCATATATATGGTTTTATTTGTTGACGGGGAATTCTTTCTCTCTTTTTTTCTTAACATCTGGGAATCAATTTATTGTTATGATTTTCTTTTTCTCCAGAAATTATTGTTGGTACGTAATTGGTATAATATATGGCTGATTCAAAACGTTGAATCTGGTGTAGTATTGGAAGCGCTAACGATCTCTTTAAGGGTATCCTTAATGCTGTAGTTATTTGAGACCATCATCTCGTAAACTTGTTTGAATCCGAGACCGTAGACCGGTGAATCATCTTCTTTGATCTGATTCATGCAAAAGTCTACGAACTTGTTCTCGAAAATAGACCAGTCGTCACTGCTTTTCTTTGACGTGGTAGCCGCTGGAGGAGCAGGGGAAGAAGAAGAAGAAGCGACAGAAGCAGCAGCATCAGTAGATGCAAATGTCTGAGACTCCAACCACCTGAGGCCTAACGCTTGGCACAATCCTTCTTCAAGCTCTAACTTAAGATTCCTATAACCTGCGATCAAAATCACACAAAAAAGAGATCTAGAGAGGTCTTTCCATGTCTCTTGGTGATGAGAAATCATAGTTAATACGTACCATTGAGTCTAAGCCAAGCATGCATCATCTCGTGAGCCAAGATATATCCTGTTAATAACCTAGGAAGTCCATATATGATGAGAATCCCAGTAACCTCGCATCCACTCACTTTTTGAGACTCTGTAACTATGTCTGTTATTAGCTGATTGTCCGGCCCCATCCTTGGCCCCTCTATTATCTGTATATAAGTGGAAAATATAGTTAGACATTTCACATTGGAAATGAAATGGAGTCAGTAATATATATATATTTATATATAGAAGATATGAACCAATTCACTCATTGCCAATTCATTATAATGGCCTTACACTTGGGACAATTTGCTCTTCAGACATGCAAAGACCTCTGGTTACGGCTGCACGATGGTAGTCCTGTTTGTATTGAAATATTTGAGAAAAAAATTAAAGAAGAAGATGGGGAGTTACAAAGTGAGGGATGTGTTTTTCTACTCACAATCTTCTCTTCTTCCTCAGCTTTATTCAGCGCTTGTTTCTCAACAAGAAGAAGAGAAAATTCTTTGTCAACCTTGAAGAACAAGCCTTCGAAGAATTCACGGATTTCAAAGTGCAAAGGCTGTACTTCGTTAGTATCCATAACCGCTGATCCCATACATTCTAGACATAGCCACCGAAAGTCACCAAGCATTACATAGTTCGTTCCCCTAGGCTGCAAATAATTAACAAGTCAAAAAACCACAAGGCTTTTCTTCTATATATGTATGTTATTACTAAACTCGATCAAATATTAGTACCTCTAATCTTTCACAGCTGCAACACTTGGCAGTTCCATCATCGTCATGACGAGGACAGTATTTCTCCTTCCAGAACGAATGCTCATTGTACTCTCTTATACCTTCCGTATTAAAAGGAATCTGAAAGAAGATCACATTTTACAGTCATACAGACCAATTCTTTTCACTTTACTACAACGCGTAAAACCAACTAATGAGAATTTATTTACCTTTTGTTGGCAGACATAGCAGTTGCGATTACGGTACTCTTTGTAGCAATCTATGTGAAACCTTCCCTTCTTTAAAATCTAACAAGTTATATACATCAGAAGACAAAAGGAGTATGCAACAATCAATTTAAAATTGGTATATGGTTTTAAACCTCGTGCAGAGCAAATGGTCTGTGGCAATGAAAGCAACATAAAGATCGAGGATTGACAGAAATTCCATCTTCAATCACAGATTTTCCATCAATTCTGCATATGCTACAAGTAAAATAAAACAATATTTGATTTGAGCCAAAAATCTCTAAATACAAAAATATAGTGTGGGACATATAGCTTTACCTAGGAGGAGGATTCACAACTTTTTCCACATCATCTTTGGAATGATTGATTTGTCCCTTATCTTTAGAAGTGTTCGAAAGCTGATCATCGTTCTCTTGCTTTCTTTTGCCTTGCTCCTTGTTCAACTCTTCTGATCTTCTCTTTTCCTCCTCCTGCTTAGCTTGCTTCAGACTTTCTTCCTTTACCCTTTCAATCTCAATCTTTTCAGCCTCTTCTTGTATTTTCCGGCGTACCATGCGATCTTCTTCTTCATACCGTGAAATTTCCAAGGCGGTATTTAAAGGATCCTGTAGGTTTCAGCTTGCCAATTAAAAGTTATACATAAGCCTAGAAAGCAAAATGGACCACGCTTTTCAAATAAAAAAACTTGTAATATAAGCAAACAAATCGAATCTAAGAACCTTAGATGGATCATGTTTGAAGCAGGAGAAGCACCACCACATAATTTGGAACTCACTTCTTCACCGTTCAAGGGGGAAAAATGCCAAAGAAACACCAAATCTAGCTCTTTGCTCTACTCTAAATGGAAACTTCGCCAAAGTTTCAATGAAATGTTTAAGAAATTTCCTGAAATATTATTAGAGCCAATTTGCTTTCATGTTTGAATGAATCGCGAGAGGGAGAGACAGAGACAGATACTAGGGGAGCAGAGAGGAGGGAGAATACCGCACTAGTGGCCTAGCTTTTCTTATAAGGGGAAAGAAAAGAAAACCTGTATTATAAAAATGTTAAACAAAGCACAACATTTGCGGAGAAGGTACTGAGTTTCAGATTTGTCAGGCCGTAGGATATAAAATCAAATAGAATGTCAGTCACATCAGTATAATCCTAAAGTATCATATCAGTAAACTAGTAAAGCTTTCTTATGTAAAAGTAGATATGCGAAATTTACACAGTTTTTGAGCTTAAAAAATGAAATTTTCTGAGTTAAAAATATTTGCTTTTGGCTACCCTAATGAATATATTTTACAGAGGAGACCGTAAACTATTGTATATAGAAATAATATAATTGACATGTTGTTTGTATTATAATAATTAATTTTGTAAAGTTGGAGAAATAGAAAAGGATTGTGCACTTTTTTTTTTGGGTTTTTATTAGGTACCGCGTAAATTCATCCCATTTCATTTAGATGGTCTAGTGGTCAACGTCAATTAATAATAATATAATATTATAGCTGCCTGCCATGTGCTTTCAACATTTGGTAATATAGGAAAATGTTTTTTGTTTTTTTTATATGTTAGTGCTAGCCGCTAGGTGCGATTTTTTCACTTTTAGGCTTAGTATAGTATTTTTTTTGTGTTAAAGTAGGCTTAGTATAGTATTTTTCTTTTGAGATGACGATTGTTTTTATTTTATTTATTTCGAACCTAATCCCTGGATCGGTTTAGGTTTACTAGATTTTAGATAATCTTCTAAGGTTTCAAACAAAAGAAAAATTAATTTATACTGTAAATTCAGTTGCAGACTTCTATATACAGTATAGAAGGTGTTGACTATTAAAAAACAAATGATTTGCCAATTATATGTTATGGTAAATATTGCCAATGAATTTATGATTCTTGTTATTAACTTAGTATGATCCTAAGAAATGATAAAAAAAAATGTTACACCAATCTGAATGGGTCCATCCACGTGGTTCTCATAGTCAGAGTCCGAATACTGACGAAAAAGTAACTATCAACGGACAACGATCTAAAAGAAATGAGAGCGTGTGAGGCACGGTCGTATATTCTTGCTTGACTAAAAATATTCTTGCTTGACTAGTTTGATTGTTTGAATGGATGAGACCCATTATTTACCATATATATTAGCAACAGACTCTATGGGCCTTTAACGATCATTGGGCCCAATTAAAACAAAACATAGAAATGTTGTTCTTGTTAAGTCGAAGTTTTCAGAACACAATCGCGGTAGAGATTGTAGACTCGGGAAATGTCTGTAGAACTAATGGTCCACACATGACCCTTCAACGCCAAACGCAAAACGTTACTACTATTCTTGTTATTATTCTCTTCCTCGTAGCTCTCTTCAACCGCAGCAGCCTCTTTTCGCTTCTCTTCTCTCCACAAACTCTTGACAAGCAGCTCTTTCGTCTCTTTGTCTGGCATCAGATTCGAATCTTTCATGTCTTGGAACACTCTGTAAGCAAGCACTGATCTTTCGCATCTGCAATACGCTTGAACAAGAAGCTTTAACATGTAAGGATCAGGGTCAAGACCGATCTGTCTCACCATTGAGAAAAGTCTCTCAACTGTCTGAATCTCTCCCTGCAATGCAAAGTGATACATCAGACCAGAGAACGTCTGGATATCAGGAGAAACTCCCGTCAAAATCATATCTTCTAGCGTTTCCAAAGCTTCTGCGTTTCTCTTGCACTTTGTTAATGTTCTCAAGAGGGATGAGTACAACAGCATGAGGTTGAAATCCGATATCGAACCGCAGAGAGTTCTGTCTTGGCGGAAAACCTTGATGGCTGCGTCCGGTTTCTTTGAAATTCCGTAGAGATCAATGATTAGTCTGATGGTGCTGAATGGTAATTTGATCCCTTCCATTCTCACTTTCGAGATGAGCTTATCGACCAGTTCAACTTGGCCATTGCGTGCTAACATAGCCATCATTCTCTCAATCGTATAGGCATCGTGGGTGAACCCGGGTTGAATCGCCACCCAGCAGAAGAAACTCCATGCTGTTTCAGGTGATCTGAAGTTTCTTAGCATCTTGCAGACCAGTAGATTTGTCCAGACAAAGTTAGCTTCTTCCAAAGCAGTGACTGCATCAGAGCTCCATTTCTTTAACGAAGTTGCTAATGCTTTTGGATCCAGCCATGGCTTCAATTTAACCTGACCTTCATTAACGTTATCATTGTGCTCATCTCCTTCTTCTTCGCTATCACTGGGATTATCCATAGAATAAATAGAAATATCCTTAATTCTCTCATCTGGCAACATTTCTCTCAAGAACTCCTCTGTTTCTTGTTCAAAACCAGCCTCCCTCATGAGTTTCAGAGGCTCAAGCATGCGTCTACTTGGAAACTTCCCATCAGCTTTCATCTCAGCAAGCAGAGTCTTAACTTCACCAAACCGTTGCGCATTGACAAACGCTTCAACTAAAACCGAATAATGCTTCAGAGTCCGCGTAATCCTCATCAAAGGCAATGTCTCAAAAACCTTCATGGCTGCATCAAGGTTCCCCAATTTCACAAGATGCTCAATCATAATCGTGAATGTTCTTGAATTCGGAATCCCTCCTTGGTTGGTAATCTGATCAAAAGTCTGAACAGCCTCAGAATCTTTACCTAAAGTCATGTAAACTTGCATAACAATGTTATAAGACTCAGTGCAGCCTTTCTTCTCCTCTCCTGAGCATCTATACTCGTCCCACGTCTTAAGAACCGAGTCGAAATCACCAGCAGTCGCGTACAAGTTCATGAGATTCATGAAGCTGAAATGAACTTGGCCGAATTTCCCAGCATTGACAAGTCCAATAAGAGAGTTAAGCTCCGAAGATCGCTGAAACTTTGCAAGAACAGTGGCAAAAGCGTGAAGTGTCTCAGTTTCAAAAGAAAAGTGAGGTTTTTTTCCTCTAAGAGTTTTGAAGATAGACCAAGCAGAAGCGACGGAAGGAGATGAGCGTAAAGCGTTCTTGACGACAAAGGAGTCGAGAAGACGGTGGTCTAGAAGAGAAGGAAGCGTCGGGTCTGAGGTTGTTGTGGAGCGGAGGCTGAGACGGATAGAGTCGATGAGGTTTGCTCGGTAAAGGTAGTGTTGGACTTTGTTGGGGAATGGGTCACGGGAAAAGAATCGAATTTGATAGATAATCACAGAGTTAAAAGGCTTGACAGGGTTCGAGAAGATGAGAGAAAACATCTGAAATTACAGTGACAATCTAAATGAAATGAAAAAGGAATTAAGAAACCAAATGGTTATGAAGAATATCGTGGTTGGGACAAATGGTCGAACATGTGGTGTGCTTTAACGAAACGACACAAAGAAATGAATTGGATTGCCCAAAGACCAAAATGACAATGAAAGATTTGACTGTATAAAACGATTTCCGTATGAAAATTACCGGAAAAGAAAGACACTTGCTTTAGTTTTAGCGGGGAATGGACCACCGCAAGAACTGAATCCGAAAAGCTGCTTAACGCAAGATCCTCCTCTAAAGGTTCCAACTTTACGGGAAATTGAATAACAAAGAGCTTACACACATAACAAAGAAGCAGCAATCCCAAAATAAATAAAAGAACACACCAAAAGAAGGAAACGCCGAAAAAAAGTGATACTTCTGTCTGTGTATATATGTATATGGTATGTATGTGTCGACGTGTCTTGTATGGCAAATTCAAAAATTTGAATCTGGGATCGTCTTCAACCCCGGCGAAGAATCTCTTTGAGGGTTTCCTGAAGGCTGGAATTTGTCACCATCTCGTTAACTGTCCTGAATCCGACACCGTAGACAGGTGAATCATCGGTTTCTATCTGATTCTTGCAAAACTCCACCAGTTTCTTCTCGAAGTCAGACCACTCACCTTTCTTTGACGCACTAGCAGCTGGAGGAGTGCGGGAAGAAGAAGAAGCTGATGATGCATCTGCCGTGGCATCAGCAGTGGCGTATGTCTGAGACTCCAACCACAAGTGACCTAGCACTTGGCATAGTCCTTCTTCCAAAATATTGTTCAGGTTCCTATGTCCTGTAATCAAACCAAAACGCTTAGAGACCTATCCCTCACGTTTCTTGGTCATGATCATCATCATTGTTACAAATGTTGGATATTTGACTAGTTACGTACCATTGAGCCTAAGATAAGCATGCATCATCTCATGAGCCAAGATATATCCTGTTAGTAACCTGTGTTTCAACATAGATTTTTTATTTGAGCAAACATAGATTTGATTTGAGCCGAGAGAGTACTCAGGTGGAGATGAGGTGGGAGAGATGTAACAGTACCTAGGAAGTCCATATAGGATGAGAATCGCAGTGACCTCGCACTCACGAGTTACCCTTTGAGGTTCTGTAGCCATGCCTATTAGCTTGTTGTTCGGCCCCATGATTGGCCTTTGTGAGACCTGTAAATGTGGATCAGACCAGAGTTATAGTCATAAATTCCAATTTACTCTTTAGTCTGGAGTAAGCATTATCCAATATAAACTCTTACACTATCGACAGTCTGTGCTTCAGACAGGCAAATACCTCTGGTGACCACCTCATACTGGTAGTCCTGCTTGTGTAAAAACTTACAAAACATATGAGGAAAAGAGAGAGAGAGAGGGAAAGATGGAAGTTTCAAGTAGGAAATGTACTCACTATTTTCTCTTCCTTCTCAGCTTTATTCAGCGCTTGTTTTTCCACCAAAAGAAAAGGAAATTCTTTCTCAATCTTCATGTTTAAGCCTTCGAAGAAATCACGCATGTCAAAATGCAGAGGCTGGCATTCATCAGAATCCATAACGGCAGAATCCATACACTCCAAGCATAGAAATCGACCATCACCAAGCGTTACAAAGTTCGTTCCCTGAGGCTGCAAAGAAAATTAGTCAAGATCATAAGAACTAACCTGTGGGATTACAGCCTCTTCCTTTTTTGGGTATGTTGGTTGATTCTTTATCTCATCTCATTCCCCTTTGCTGTGTTTTCTTAAAGGTTAAAACTCACCTCTAACCGTTCGCAACTGCAACACTTGTGGGTTCCGTCAGTTTCATGAGCAAGGCAGTATAATTCCTCCCAGAACGGATGTTTACCAAAATTTCTTCTGACCTGAAAGAATAAAATATTACATTTACATTCAAGCCTCACCATGAAAAGTACCAACAGAGAAACCAGTACTCATGTATACCTTCCCTTTGCAGATATAGCAGTACCGGTTATAACAGGATTTGTGAAATTTGCCTCTTGAGTTAGAAACCTAAGGAATTATCAAGAATTTAAGTTTTGGATTCAGAAACAAATGATAAGTCTAGGAGTAAATTAAGATACCAAGCAATTTCAAAAGTAATTCTTCGTACATAGTTTTTAATCTCCTGGATAGCAATTGGTTTGTTGCAAGCATCACAAACTAAACATTCAGGATGCAAAAGAGCACCCGAGACATTCACAGATCTTCCATGCTCGATCACCGAGTTGCAACCACCACGCACGCTACAAGTGAAACATCATAAACAGGTCAGGACATATCTATAAGTTGCGATAAAGAACACAAGAAAACTAATAATGGACGCATAAGCTTACCTAGGAGGGGGATTCACCATTGGGAGCTTTCCATCTTCTTCCACCTCATCTTTGGATTGCTCTATTTGACCATTCCTCTTGAAACTCTCCCAAACCCGCTGTACATCTTCATCCACAGGAGCTCTAGTGGAAATGTTGTTATTTTCTTCAAGTCGAGGAGGAGACTCTACCTGAACCATCAGAGCATGCTGTTTATCATTCTGCACTCGTTCGTCTTCAAATTGCTTTCTTTTGCCTTTGTCCTTTAAACTCTCCTTAACAGCCTTATTAAACTGCTTATCTACATCCGACGGAGCTCTAGGAGAAATACTTTTATATTCTTCAATTTGAGTAGGATACTCTTCCATGTTCAGACTCTCCTGAACAATCAGAGCAAGCTGTTCATCCTTCTTCACTTGTTCTTCAAACAGTTTTCTTCTGCTGTTCTCCTTTAAACTCTCCTCAAGAGTCTTGGCAAGCTGCTCGTTTTCTTCGTCTTCCAATGCAGTTTTCTTATTGATCAGCCTTTCTCTTTCCTCGTCTTGAAGAGCATTTGCTATCTGAGCATCAGTTTCTAACTCTCTGGTGCGCCTTCTTTCCTCTTCCTCCTCTTGAAGAAGACGAGAGGATTCTTGAATGGCCAAATCAAGCTGTTCAGCTTCAAGAATCTTAGCAAGCTGCTCGTCTTCTTCATCTTCCAATGCAGTTTTCTTATTGATCAGCCTTTCTCTTTCTTCGTCTTGAAGAGCATTTGCTATCTGCGCATCATTTTCTAACTCTCTGGTGCGCCTTCTTTCCTCTTCCTCCTCTTGACGAGAGATTTCTTGAATGGCCAAATCAAGCTGTTGAGCTTCATGAGTGGCCAAATCAAGCTGTTGAGCTTCATAATTGGCCAAAGAAAGCTGTTTGGCTCTTTGAATATCAGCTTCATGCTGTGAAACTTGTATGACGTGACTAGTTTCTGGATCAAAACGATCCTACAGGTTTTCAGACGCCAAAAGTTAAAAGTCTAGAAAGGGAAAAAGACAAACTTGGCTGAGACAAAAGAAACAACCAAACATATCATATTTACCTCAGAAGTGGAGGGTTTGAAGCAGCAGGGGACGCACCACATCTTCTGAAACCAACTTTTTCACCGATCAGGCCGACCTTTTCCCTGCAAATGAATCAATCATTGAGAACCCCTAAGAATCAAGAGAACATCAAAAGATTCACTTGTCCAAGCCAAACATCTCAATCTACATGAAGCAAAGGCAAAATGCCTGGACTTTAGTCAAACAAACGAAATCTAGGTTAAGAAAGTTCAAAGCATAGTTAGGAAACATGTTGACGATCATCATAGTGAGTTAAGACATGGGCATTAGATACAGAACAAGACAGACATAACAACCTGAAACACAGCTTAGTATGAAACAAAGGAAAGAAAAATCTATGTCTAGAGGCGATTGAAAATATCTGAAACGGGACATGATCTAACCTTGGACGAATTAGAATCGCCAAGAGCAGAAAGTAGAATGCAGAGACTATAATGATAAAAAGTGTTCACATGGGTTTTTCTAAAAATTCCCCAATTTTTAGTGCAGACACGGTTCTGAACGACACATTAATGATGGATGAAGCTTTTTACCAAGGATATTCTTTTTTCAAGCCGTCAAATTTAATAACTAACGACTCGAACCAAAATTGAGATAATTATTAAAAAAAGTCAACACTTACCCTAAACCCCTTCATCAATAGTAATCAGAGGCCATGGCTTTTGGGTCTCGTTGCAGCCCAAAGCGGTTTCCGTTTCTTTTCCTCAAGTGGAAAGTTCGCGAGATCTTCCACCAGAATTTCCAGAAGTTTCGAAAGACCATTGAGCTGCTACTGTGTTGAATTGGTCTTTGAAGAGAAGAAAGTAGTAGGCGTGTGGAGAAGAAAGAGAAACACACAACACACTTTTACTTTTGTGGTCAAGCCAACGACCAGCTGTTTCTGTACACGTGCCGCAAGCACATTTCACGGTGGCAATTTCGTAATTGTACAGTCTTTCGAGACGATTTTAATCTGTGGTTTCCCTCCCTCTTGAAACGTTGCCGTTTTAACTCAGTTATGCCAGATATCCAATCGAATAATTTTCTTGTCAACAACAATCCAATAAGAATTATGATAAATCAACTATATGATTAATAAGTAAAAGGGTTAATTTTGTGAAAATGACAATGATATTAAATAAAATTAAGAGACGATTCTACAACGGACAATTCCTTCTGACCCTTACTAGATCCACGACAGACGACACCTTCTTCACATTCTTCTTCATACTCACCTCCTTCTTTATGCTCTTGATGGACACTTCCCCTCTGCGTAGAATCCTGGCGAACGGCTATAATTGTACATCGCTGGAGATCTCCTGCACACTTGCCTCTAATAATCTGCAAATTTATTAATAAATCGCAGTATCTGGGACTCGAACCCCAGACCTCTGGGTGTAGAAGCATTAATTAACCCTTGTTCAAACAATGGGCCAAGGAGGCTTCCACATCAACTATATGATTAATAAGTAAAAGGGTAAATTTTGTGAAAATGACAATGATATTAAATAAAATTAAGAAAAAAAAAAAAAAAGTGAATGAACAGTGTTAAACATAGTTTTCCGATATTAAAACTTAAATAACAAAATGCGATGTCTACTTTGTCATAATTGTACTATGAAATGATATTGTGCTGATAATAGAAAGTCATATAATTGGACATGGTCAATTGGTCATGTCTATTTTCCTATTAAAGTCTTTTCTTTAAAAAGACATAATTGTACCTTGGATCCAAAAATAAAAACCAGACATAACTCATAAGTTTATAGACATGAACTCTTTGTATCCAGCTTCCATAAAATGTACTTCGTATCGTGCGTTTGTATATATATGTTTATAGACAAGAGGGGTATGTTTCGATGTGTCCTATATTAGCTGCTTCAAAGATTTGAATCTGGTTTCTTCGAATGTTGAATACTTTTCAAGATTTTATGGAGGCTGGAGTCTGAGACCATCTGGTTAACTTTCTTGAATCCAACACCGTAGACCGGTGAATCGTCTGTTTCTATCTGATTCTTGCAAACTCCACCAGTTTCTTCTCGTAATCAGATTGAGCACCTTTTTTTGTTGCACTAGCAGCTGGAGTGCTCGAAGAAGAAGAAGAAGCTGATGATGCAGCTGCAGAAGTGGAGTATGTCTGTGACTCCAACCACATGTGGCCTAGCACTTGGCATATTCCTTCTTCAGATTCCTTTAACCTGTGATCAGACCAATTTTTTTTAAAAAAAAAGACTTTACTTTGAGAGGTTTCTCAATGTCTCTTGGCGAATACAAAATAGATTCTTGACCACTAAGTACCGTTGAGTCTTAGCCAAGCATGCATCATCTCATGAGCCAAGATATATCCAGTTAGTAACCTGTGTATGAAGAGAAATTTGATTTAGTCTATACGTGCGAGAGTACCTAGTAGTATGCGATGAGCTTAAGAGATCATATAGTACCTAGGCAGTCCATAAATGATAAGAATTGCAATGACCTCACAACCACCAATAACCCTTTGAGATTCTGTAACCATGCCCACTAGCTCGTTGTTCGGCCCCATGTTTGGCCTTTTTAAGACCTGTATATGTGGACCAGAGTAGAGTTACAGTCATGAATCCCAATTTCGTTATAGTCTGAAGTAAGTGTTACCCAATATAAGCTCGTACATTATTGACAGTCTGCTCTTCAGACAAGCAAATACCTCTGGTTACCGTCCCATGCTGATTGTCCTGCTTGTTTTGAAACTTACAAAACGTATGAGTGAAAGAGAGATGGAGAGATAAGGAAATGTTAAGTTTAGGAAATGTACACACTATCTTTTCTTGCACCTCAGCTTTATTCAGCGCTTCTTTCTCCACCAAAAGAAGAGGAAATTCTTTCTCAACCTTCATGTTTAGGCTTTCGAAGAATTCACGGATTTCAAATTGCAAAGGTTGGCATTCATAAGTATCCATAACTGCGCATTCCATACATTTTACGCATAGCCACCAATTGTCAGTAAGCATTACATACTTCGTTCCCCAGGGCTGCAAACAAAAAAAAAAAAAGCTTTACTGTTTTCTTTCTTCTTTTGAAATGGCGGTTGATTCTTTATCCATGCTCATTTGCCAAATTTCATTTTGTTAAGTGAAAGTAAACCCACCTCTAATCTTTCACAACTGCAACACTTGGGAGTTCCATCAACTTCATGAAAAGGGCAGTACTTTTCTTTCCAGAAGGAATGTTGTTTATACTCTCTACCTTCCTCGGTTGAAGGAAACTGAATACAATTACATTAAGATCCATCATTGCCAGGAAAATTACAACAGATAATACATAAGTCGTACACTGTTATAAGATACCAATTCTTTAACTTTCAACTCATAGACCCCAATGGGAAGTTACCTTCTTTTTGCAGACATAGCAGTTTGGGTGACGCTGCTTGTAGCAGGTTATATGACACCTCCCTTTTGTGTTTAAAAGCTAAGGAGTACTCAGGAATTAGATGTTGCATCAGGAATTATAATCAGCAACTCAATTAGTATATTAAAGTGCTATTCAATATTATAAAAAATAAGGAGGCTTTCATATATGGTTTCAAACCTCGTGCATAGCGATTGGTTTGTCGCAATAAAGACAACAGAAACATTCAGGATGCCAATTAACACCCAAGGCATTAACAGATCTTCCATATTCAATCGCAGAGTTGCAGCCACGACATATGCTAAGTGAAATAATCTTAACCAGGTCAGGACATTTCTATCTTGTAACAAAGCATGCAAGGAAACCGCCAAATCAACAGACAAACACTTGTTACCTACGAGGATGGTTCACGTTGAGATATGGCCTTGGAAGAATTTCATCTTCTTCCACTGGATCTTTGGAATGCTCTATTTGGCCCTTACCCTTGGAACTTTCCCAAATAACCTTCTGAAGCTGCTCATCTTCATTCAGCGGAGGTATTGGGGGCATGTTTTTATCTTCTTCAAGTCGAGGAGGAGGCTCCACCATGTATAGACTCTCCTGAACAATTAGAGCATGTTGTTCGTCAATTTCCACTTGATCATCTCCAGATTGCTGCTTTCTTTTGCCTTTCTCTTTCAAACTCTCGTCAACAATCTTAGAAAGCTGCTATCCTCTTCGTCCACCACAGATTTATCAAGCTCAGTTTCTTCCACGTATTGCAGACCACGCGCTATCTGATCGTCCTCCTCTCGCTGACGCTGACGACAACTAGTAGTTTCTTGGGGCTTGAAGCTATCTTGAATGGCCCATTCAATCTGATCATCTTCTCTGACGTAAAATGACATCTTCATACAGTGAAATAGCTGTAACAATATTAGTTTCTGCTTCAAAACAATCCTGCAAGTTTCAGACTCCAAAAGTTAAGCAATCTTCATGAAACCAAGAGAGAGCCAAATAAACAAAATTACCTGAGAGGGATCATGTTTAGTGGAAGGACGTTGAAAGCAGGACAGACACCACATCCTCTGAAACCAACTTCTTCACCAATCTGCCCAACCTTTATCATAAAATAAAAAGAAGAAGAAAAAACCACCAAAAAGTCACTAACACATCGACTTGACCAAGCAAAGGCAGAATGCGTGAAAGTTAATCTAAGCTTAGTGAGTTTTACAGCACCAAACAGAAAAAAAAAAAAAAAAAAATGGTCATCTTCTCTACTTAAAGAATCAAATTGGTAAACCGATATCGGTGAATTAGCACATCATCAGATACAGACGAAAATAGACGAGTAAAAAATCTAGAATTCCCCAAATTTGAGGTTGACCTGTGGTGAAAATTCGCTATGAGAATTAAAATTGGAAGCTTTTACTGTGGGAATTAATCTAAAGCTCTCCACTTTCACAACTAACGACGCGTAGGAAAAAAAAAAAAAAAAAAGGATCAAGTGAAAGTAACAAGTAAAGAAGATAAATAGTGACCCAAAAATCGTCGTGTGAATGAATGACTCAGAAGGTTCCAAGGCCATGGCTTTTGGGGTTTCGTTGCTGCACAAAACTCTCTTTCCTTTTCTTTAATTCAGTTGGAGACTTCGCCAGAGTTCCACAAGTGGAGAATGTGAGTGAGCAAATGAGGAAAGATTGAGAAAAAGGAGTGAGCGCAGGCACATGGAGAAGAAAGTCATAAACACTTGTGGTTTTTGCCACGTGGCGTAACCACATTCATTTCTCAGTGGCACTTCTCGTAATTCTTCAGCTTTTCGTGACGATCCCAATATGATAGAGCAAAATGGGCCTAGGCCCATTAGCCCATATCAAATGTGTGTCGGCGACTTAACGTTGTTGAGTGACGTATGGCTCTCTTGAATAAACCCACATTTACACCTCCACGTGTGGTCAAATAATAAAAACGAATAAAATGGAATTAAAACATTATCCTACGCTGTACCAACTTTTACAAAGTCGTATTAACAACACAGTGACTACTACTAATTCAATCTTCAAAAGGACTTTTTTTTCTTTATTTGAAACAGGCTAAAGACAGTTTATAATCATTTTCTTTTTCAACAGGCCACGATATATAAAGGTAGAGAGACTTAATAGAGATCGTCGTCGGACAAAAAATATATAGTACATTCACAAAAAGTCAAAAAATGATGATCAAAGATGTTCAAAACGCAAACAGAGTAGAGATGAGTGCAAACGACGCACCTTTTCAATCACCTGGAGATTACGTTAGATTCATAAGTCCCGAGGTTTATAGATCCAACAGACAGAAATATCTCAGAAGCTACACGTTCAAAAGCTACGATGATGAAGAAATCTTGTCGGCCAAGAAACAGAGGAAGTGGTTCAAGAACAAGAAGGTCATGAACATGAAGATGAAGAAGACGACTGAGTCACTTGGAAACTCGCTCAAGTCTTGTCTCAGGCTCTTGTTCTCTTGCTTCCATGTCTAATGTTTCTCTATGTACGATAATTTCCATTTTCTTTCCTTTATAACGTAATTTCAATCTATCTTCACTTTGCCTTTGGAATAATTTCGAACTCTTTGTATAAGTTTTACCATACTAAATTCGAATATCACGTTCGTATTTTGGATTCGATCAAATGTGTATTTCTCTTTTGTTGATTGCATAGACTTTCGAGAATTGACAGACGGAATGTAGCTGTTCTGTTTCCTTTGGCGTGAAAGTTTTTAAAATTTGTTTATGAGTCCAATGAGAAGTTATGAATATTTTGTTTATCATAAAGGTTAGTTAATCATGTAACAGTCGAATTCTCAGAAACTTTCTTCAAAAAAGAATTCTTTATATTGTTGTAATGTATTTTATTTTTGAGAGAGCTGACTCATGTTTAATTCTATATACATACATTGCCATCAAATATTACGAAAAAATGAGAATAATATTCTAAGGATACAATCAACTTTTTATTAAGATTATAAATATACAAGTGAAAAGGATAGAATGAGACGTGTACTGGTTAGGTTGGTCTATCGCGATCAATGAGTAGATAAATCGTACTGACAGTGATTCTTTGGTTATTGAGTATTCTTATGAAACTATGACAATGGCGCAGCATAATAAAATCTATGTGAATTTGTGATGATAGTATATAGAAATCTTAGATAAACGAGTCATAAACACTATCACAAAGTTTCAGTTGGAATGTAAAAGCAAACTTCAAAAGCAATCTCCAACCCAAGAGAAAAACAAGAAAGCAATAAAAAAACTTAAATAACTGAAATTTTTGCATTTAAAAAAAAAAAATAGTAAAATTTGAAAAATATTAGTGTAAGGTTTTTGGGATTATAGTTTATTAGTTCTCTTGTAAAATTTGAAATGAACACTGCGGAGTGCGGAGGGTAGGCTTTTTTTGTTCTGTGGAGAATTGAGTAAATGAGGCTTGAATTCTGACAATGGATTATACAAGACCCAAAAGGCCTAGCACGGAAGGCCTTCTGACTTCAAAACCCTTATTTTGTTTTTTCTTAGGACTAATCCACAATGAAAAGTATATCAATCCGACAAAAGTTTTAAAACAATCGCATTTCTTAAATCTGTGGCTAAGATAAACATATCTCGGATATTGTGAATATATATGTCCGACGTTATTCAGAATTCGAGGCGATTAGTGATAAGCTCCAAAAACAAGGTACGTATATGTTAGTTTACCATTACCAATACTCTCTTTGTTTGTTACCATAATCTCTTACTGTCTCCTCTTAACTCACCAAACTTAACAATCGCAAATATTCATATACAGTCCAATGAGATAATTATTTTTAGTTATAGTATTTAAATTAATAATTTATTTTGGAATTAATTTTAAATTATATAATTTATATTCATAATAAATTTAAAATAAATATAGTGCATATATATATTATATATCTCAAAAATATTAACTATAAAAAAATCTAAAAAAATATTTTTGAATTATATATAATTAAAATTCGTAGTTAATATTAAACCAATCATTATCCAAAATATTTACTACATCAACCCAAAATCTAGATAATTTTATTATATGATTAAAAGTCAAAATTTATATCATAATTATTAGATTAGTTTCATCATTATCTAACATTTTCACAAAATAATAAAAAATAATTTTGAGCATATAATTTTTTAATATGAACAGTTTAATTTTGAATTTTAAATAATATTTGTAAAAACTAACTAATCAAATGATTTTATTTTCATTTTCTTTAGTTATTAATTAAGGACAAAAATGTCATTTTGAACAAAGAATAAGATACATCTCAAATTGGTAAAAATTATAGTATACATTTCAAATTTCCAATAAAATTTAGGGTATACAATCTAATTATTCCAAAAATTAAAGATTTCAAAACTAAAATCGGATCTGATACGTAACGTTGTAGTTCTTTTTTTCTATAACGACTAGTTGAAGCATGACGACATTATAGAGAAGACCTGGATGGTCCCACACCTTTTTTTATGCATTGATCTTCGGAGAAAAAAAAAAACTTTAAGCTTTCACATTTACAATTTTATAATGCCATTTTAGTTTTCTCGTGTGGATTCTTTGACAAACGAAAGTCCACTTCTTACACACAAACAAATTCTCCGGACATCGCATTTGTCTAATTTTTCTCTCCAAAAAAAAAACACAAGAGAGAGAAAGAAAGACAAGTCACAAGAACCCAAAAGATATCATCTTTCCAAAAATTTGATGTTTCCTTTTTAACCCTTTTTTTACTTTCATTTCTTTTGAGGTCAGTATTTTTCTGTCTTCTTCCATCTTCTTTATCTCTGTTGAGCGATTTACATTTGGAATTTTATCACTTTCTTTCTTTTGATGATGTGTTGGATGCATTCGACGATGTCCTTGGTTTCGGGTAGAATTTATTTAATGTTATTGTAGCGGTGATTTTTGGCTTTTCAGGATTGAGAGACTATGGGTTCACGGGTTTATTGCAGACAATATGTTCGTTGAAATGTCTCACTGTAGTCCCATCTCCTATCTTATGACTGCTGAGGTAAATATTTTTATCTACTCAATCAAATTTGACTGGAAAAGAATTGATGATTCAGTTGAAGTTTTGTATAATTGAATAGAGAACTAAAAGTATGAATAAGTTGATGATTAAGTAAGATAAGAAGATAGTTTCGTGCCAATGGGGCCATGTGATTCAAGAACTGTGGAGAAGTTAGAGGGACGGTCAACAACTCTGACTTGCTTCCCAACAAGCTGAAGAAATCTCTAAACTCATCAAATTAATATTCCTTTTTTTCTACTTTTTGTAGACACTTTTATATTCTTTTCTTCCTTATTATCATCTATCTTTAGTTGTTAAAACTCAATTAATATTGAATAGACCATCAGCTAATCTATAAAAACAGGGTATTATTTTTAATACCCATGAATATAGTATATAGTTTAGTTTAATTAATTTCTAACTAGTTTGGTCACCATAAGCACCACAGTAACTTTTTATTTTAAAGGCAAAAACACTTTTGTCACTTTGTCTATTTTGATTTTGACCATCTATGTAGATTTCTAGCTCTCTCTCTCTTTTTTTGGCCGATTTGGTTGAGAATTTGACGACGACTCGTGGGGTCGTGTACACACATTGGTGACTGGTCTTTTGACACGAGTCGCCTCTCTTTTTCTCACTACCATTTCCATGAAAACATGAGCCATAGCTAACTTTTTTTTCTTCAATTGAACCCACCACGCTTCTTTTGTCACTTTTTAATGTTAAAAGCTTCCTCCTTTATTGCTAAAAAGATTGAAGATTCGCAAGTTTATAGTTTCCGTTGGCCTCTCACAGGTGAAGAAGATTCACTTGCCTTTTCTTCTAAAGTCCCTAACTTTTCAATCTATCTCCCCTTAAAGCTCAAGCTTTTTGTAATGGGTTTCTAGCAGCAGCTCTGCTTTTTGGATTGGTGACACTAATTGTTGCTACAATCTCTTCAAGCATCTACTGTATCTCTTTTGCTAAGGAGAAAATAGTCAGCTCCTTTTGTGGACAAATGGGATTTGGAGTAGGTGGTGGAATGTTGGATTTGAGAATTGTCCAAAATCACAAGCGTTCAAAGAGGTAAAATGTCCACTCTATTGTTCGTTATTAACAACTACTTCTAAACTTGTAGACTTCTCAATGTGTCTCTATTGTCTGTCAATGGATTCCCTTGCTGCGATGGGTTTAGGTAGAAACTGGAATATTGAGAGTTATGGTTGCAAAATCATCCAGATCTTCTGTTGTTACAGTTTTTTGTGGTCCTGAACAAAATAATGAGTCTGTTAAAACTTTTAAATATGTTAGTGTAGTGGGTGAAGAGTTAACGATTTATAATTTTTGTCTGATACAAATTGGATTTAAGAGTGATTCTTTCTTTGTAAATGCTGTTTCTGAACAGTGCCAGCTTTCCAGAAAAGAAAAGAGTTGAGGGAGATAAAACCTCAAACAGTTCTCATGAAGCCTCTCAACGAATGAAGCTGGTGAGTACGATCATCTCTTTTTGCTTTTTTTACATGTTAAAGTTGAGATAAAGTGTATTGGTATTTGTTAAAGAACAGCCTAAGACGCTGAGACATGATTCTCTTGCCTTCTTGGATTTATCTTTCTGTTTTTTTGACTAATTAGTATCTTTTTCTCTCTATTTTTCCCCAAGCTGCTTTTTTCTTTGCATCTTTTTTGTGCAAAGCCTTTTACACATATGCTTCGCTATACTTCTTTGTATCCTTCTTATTTGTCTTATATTTTTCAAAAGAATTTCCTTTCTGGTATCACATTATTAGATACTAATCTCTCTTATAAATGAAATGAAGTGAGCCCAAAGCTGTTTCTATTTTCATATTAAACCTCTTCTGAGACAGATTATCGTTTATGGATTTTGTCTGACTTGGTTTAGGACATGGGGCGTTCAAATGAATCAAAGCGTAATCAATATAATTCAAACACCGAAACTTCATTGAAGCAAGAGGTAATGTGTATGGTTTTTTACTTGGTTCATGTCCTTGTTTGGTTGGTTAGGCTCAATCATCTTATCTTGTGATTGGAATTATAGATTACGCAGCTCGAGACAAGATTAGAAGATCAGTTTAAGATTCGTTGTGCATTAGAGAAAGCGTTAAGTTATCGAACAGCCTCTTCTTACGTACTGACTGAAACAAACCACATTGCCATGCCTAAGGTCAGTTACTTACGTTTCCCAAAATTGAATATGTTTTTTTTTTAAATGAGCTTTGTTCCTTATATGGATGCGTTCTTGCCTTCTTGGCGTTGATTTCCTCTTCAGACAGCTACTGATTTAATCAAAGATGTTGCGGTGTTGGAGATGGAAGTTATACATTTGGAACAGTATCTTCTTTCGTTATATAGAAAAGCCTTTGAGCAGCAAATCTCTTCTGTATCTCCAAATTCAGAGAGCAAGAAGCCCAAATCTCCTCCTGTTACAACCCCTAGAAGGCGGCTAGATTTTTCTGAAGATGATGATACCCCCTCGAAAACAAATCAACACACAGATCCTCTGCTTGATGATAATCAAAATCAATCAAAGAAAACAGAGATTCCTGCGGTTGACCAAGACCAGATGGACCCCAATTTTCGTCGTAGCCACTCTCAACGTTCGGCATTTGAGAGTAGAAAAGCTTCTCCAGAAGATTCTTGGAGTAAAGCCATCCGCTCTTGTCACTCCCAACCGCTGTATGTGCAGAATGGAGAAATTCTAATCAGTCTAGCTGAACATCTTGGCACCCGAATCTCGGATCATGTTCCAGAAACACCCAACAAGTTATCTGAAGGAATGGTCAAGTGTATGTCAGAAATATACTGCAAGCTTGCAGAGCCACCTACTGTACTACATCGCGGGCTTTCGTCTCCAAACTCATCTTTATCATCGAGTGCATTTTCGCCCTCTGACCAATACGATACATCGAGCCCTGGATTCGGAAACAACTCCTTTTTTGATGTTCAGTTAGACAACTCTTTCCATGTAGAAGGAGAAAAAAACTTCAGTGGACCTTACAGCAGCATTGTTGAAGTGCTTTGCATTTACAGAGACGCCAAAAAAGCCAGTGAGGTCGAAGATCTTCTGCAAAACTTCAAGTGAGTCGCCTTGAGACTAAAGCTGGTCCTTTTGGACATTTGAGTTGTTGTTACACATGAGGGTGGAATTTGATTGGAAGTGAATTGGGGTCGATTGCACAATCTTGAAATGTTTAAACTCTTGCAGGTCACTAATTAGTAGATTGGAGGAAGTCGATCCAAGGAAGTTGAAACATGAAGAGAAGCTAGCGTTTTGGATAAATGTGCACAATGCACTTGTGATGCATGTAAAATCTATTGCTTTCATTAACTAATCTCAATTTCTTTACGCCTACAATGTTGGTTTCTTATCAAAATTTCTTTGAATATCTTTTAGGCTTTTTTAGCTTATGGGATTCCACAGAACAATGTGAAGAGAGTCTTACTGCTACTCAAGGTAACAAACATCTCTTGCAAGGAGAATACACATGAACCATCATTTTTAGATTCTGAAATTATCGTGCTTTTGCATTTTTCCAGGCTGCATATAATGTTGGTGGATACACAGTTAGCGCGGAAGCTATACAAAGTTCGATTCTTGGATGCAAAATGTCTCATCCTGGACAGGTACACAAGAGAAGTCATGAAACTCTTAAAGGCTTCTCCTCAGAGCATAAAAGTAAACAAAATCTTCTTTTCATTTTTCTTAGTGGCTTAGACTACTATTTGCTTCGAGAAAATTCAAAGCAGGAGATGGAAGATTAGCTTACGCAATCGATCATCCTGAGCCTCTCCTACACTTTGCACTTACTTCAGGCAGCCACTCCGATCCCGCGGTACTTACCAATGATCTCTGTGAAACCCTTAAATCCTGAAATGCCAAATAAAACTTAAAGTCTCTGCTTATTTGTTTCAAACAGGTTCGTGTATATACACCAAAAAGAATCCAGCAAGAGCTTGAAACGTCGAAAGAAGAATACATAAGAATGAACTTAAGCATACACAAGCAGAGAATCCTATTGCCAAAGCTTGTGGAAACGTTTTCAAAAGACTCAGGTTTATGTCCTACGGGTTTAACAGAGATGGTTAACCGGAGTATACCGGAATCTTCAAGGAAATGTCTAAAGAGATGTCAATCTAGTAGTAAACCACGCAAGCCTATTGATTGGATCCCTCACAGCTTTACATTTAGATATCTTATTCTTAGAGAAGCTGCCAAATGAAATTATTCAAGGATTCATATATATATATATAAGAGAGTGAGAGTGTGTGTGTATATATAAGATATCGCTGTCCATGTCCCCACTTTCTGATTATGATAATGTTGTTTCTGTCTCTCTGATATGGAAGAGAGATCATTGGATCCTGTCTCCTCACAGTTACTTGGCATTAATTCACAGCTTAACATCAATCAGATCATAGCATAATAATATTCGATTTATAATTCCAAAACTGAATCTTACCAAACTATTAGCAAAAAAAAGAAGACATATAATTCTCTTTTTATTTAAAGCCTTTGATTATTGAATCCAATTTGCTTAGTAAGGCTTTTGGCCAATTATATTTCCCGGAGGATTGTAAAAACAAATGGTCAAAACCGTTGACTCTTTCGTACACGTGGCTTGAGCACATCCGAGCTCTTTAGAGTTTCTCCACACGACTTGTTTATAGACCCCGCACGTGTGGTTCACAGCACACGTGTCTGACTTGTAGTTGTAGAAAGGTTTCTCCTTCACCCAAGTCTCCACCGCAAGAGACGGTGTCACGGCTACTAAGCCTTTAGCCCAAAGCTGGTTCGCTCCGTATTTCCCAGGGTTAAGACTCGCGAACTCACACTTCTTCTGGTTCCTCTGGTAACGAGCCAGCCGACTCGCAGCAGCTTCTAGCGTCTGGCTCCAAACTAGTGGTGAAACACCAACCATGGCTCTGGCCTTGTTGTGCGCATCCGTGAAAGCTTTAGCCGCCGTAGAGATTGCCGGAGAAGTAGGGACGGTTTGTTTGGGTTCCAGTTTCGCAGCAGAAGAGACGGCTCTGACGGAGATGACAAGAAGTGCCACGAAGATGATGTGATGGGTTAAAGCCATTCTTGGTTTGTTTATTCGCAACCTGAAAAAGATCAGTGTTCGGTTTATATAGTCATTAAAGGTATATAAAAAAAAACTATATGTTAAAGGGAGATAACTAGAGATGTATAATGGAGAAAGATATGGATCGGTGGAACTCTGGAAGGAGACAAAATAAGAGGAAGAGAGGATCATGGCACGTGAATGTTGATTGATCCACTCTCAAGTTGTCTGTGTTGCATGTGACAGACCCATTAATGCTTATAGGGCCAATGGGTCCAGCTCTCTTTACCTCATCTCTTGCCAAACTATACAAGTGTTAATTATTGATGTTGTTCGACATCATAATCGAAGAATATCCAATCATGTCTTTGCTTTCTCTTGTATTATTGGGGTTTTTAACGCGGTGCAAATGCAACCCCCTAAAGAAAAATTAAAAAGGATTTTCACTATCAGTGGCAACAGAGAATTTGAAATCTTGTTGTCTTTATAGCTAGTTTTTACTCGGTTGTTTTTGTTGTCACGTTGTATTTTTGTGCTATAGTCCCGAATGCATAAGATGACCAGAAGAAACTCATGTGATAAATATGCAGAAGAGAAGTAAGAATGGACCACAACTTCATCAAAGCATATCTGATCATTTGATTAATCCATATCTTGTTTCTTAAATAAAAATTGTTACACCATATTTGTCATTTTGCAAAACAGCCCTTATCATTTTTAGATTTAACTTTGGTGGATTGGATCGGTCGATTATATCCGACCAAATCTAGGTTAAAACACAAAGGGTATGAAATTGTAAAGATTATAAAATTAACAAGAAGATGGATCATTACGCATGAAAGGATTCATATAGCTACGAAATTGCATCGTTATTAAGATTGGAATCACATCAACGGAATATCTTCATCCTCGTGCCCATTTCTCAAATACTGAGTAATAAAAAAAATCTACTGGATAATTTTTTCTCCAAAAAAAAAAAAAAACAAGAAAGTCAAACATTTCTAATTACAATTTATACGTCGGTCGAATTTTTTTCTGAAAATGACTAAATTGACCCTACTCGGCGATCGTGCTCAAATTAGCCGTGAATCGCCTCTTCCCTTTACCACAACCTCTTCCGCCACCACCGTTCGACTTAACTCCGACGATGTTTTTCTTTTGGTAAGTATTTTCCGATATCGCTACATCTTCGTCACAGGAAACCCAACCAACGCCGCCGCTCTTGGTCAACGCCAAACTAGCTTTAACAGCCAAGGCCGCCATTTCCTCCGCCCGTAGCGGATGATTGAGCCACGTCAGAGGTAAAACAAAGTAAAGCTGCCCTGATCGGAGCTCTTCGTTGCCAGCGACAGCTGAAACTGCGTCGTCGAAGTCCATTTCGTCTGAGTTACAGACGAAACTCGTAGGGTTCTTTTGCAAAATCTGCCAAACTTTGACCGGAGATGAGAACTCTTGTAAAGTACCGTCGAGCAGTATAAGCTTCGCTGAATCGCTCCTCAAAGATTCACGTGAAACGCACGCTCCCATTTTTGTTTATGTGTCTTTGAAAACGTTAAACTCTATTGACTTGACTCGTGAGTTTAAGTTTATTCTTAAGAGTTGTAAGATAGAGAGATCTTGATGAATTGAAAGAGACGACCTTATGACGAGTTTATATATACGAAAGGAAGGAGAAGAGAGCAGAAGAAGACAGCATCGAGAATCTAAGTCCACGTCGGAAGTGTCGTGTAGTGATAACAACTAAACATGACAGCGCATGGTGGGTTACGTGAAGGGTAATTCGGGAAATAAGGAGAGAGAACGTGGCGAAGAATGAGAGAGGGAAGGAGCATAGGTGGTGACTTGTGAAGGAGGAGGGGGCCACGTGGCAGACAGAGGCATGACCGGCAAGCAGACAAGATTGAGTTGGCCGGAGGTTTAGCGTCACCGGTGGGTTAGATCTCACGTGAAAACAATTGGGACTGCTCAGGCTGGCATGTGTGATTGGGTCCCTTTAGATTCTTTTTGGACCCTTTTGGTAGATACAAGAGTCACCTACCTTGACGTTTTTTATTATTACTTTTTATTTTTGCATGAATGTGGCATTTATTATGTAAACCTCCAAAATTATTGAGTCTCTAAATTATACTACTAATATTTTTGTGGTGGATTTGGACGGTATGCAAAAAGCTGTATAGAATTTGATTTTTGTATTGTGTTTACGATATTTTTGTATTGTATTTTCGTTATACGAGTTTCGTCTTTCTTTTTGTGTTTAATGGGACTGATCACTTTTAAAATATCATTTGCTATATTAATATTGCTTATACGATATAAAGTAAAATATCTTTTTAAGTGGTCGACAAGTAAATATCTAATTTCCCTACCACTTTATACTTTCTGAATATAGAGTAGCTCAAACCAAATTTATTCATTCACACATACACCCAAAGAAACCCTATGTTTTTGTGGGACTGAAATCACCCACGTCTCCCACTGAGGTCTAATTTACGGATGGCAGTTTTTAATTTTTAAACTTGATATTGTCTGATGTATCTTTTGTTTTTACATTCGTAAAAACTTGTCCCAAGTTCCTATAACCATTTTATTTGAATATTTATATAATGGTTCGTCAGGTCTAGTGGATATTAATCTTCCACGGTAAGGACTAATGACAAAAACATGTAAGGACAACGATAGTTATTCCATGAGGTGAAATTAGACAAGACAATAATACAATTTTGCTTACGATATATACTACCATTTTGAGCACGAGGCAATATTTTTTAAAAATGAATTGAACGATTATCCGTTACAATGGAAAATAATTTGCTACAAAACAATGGTGATTTTAGATTTCGAACATGTGATTAGGTAGTACTAACACACGCTCATACAATCTGCTGCTACAAGATCTGGAAATTTTTGCCGAGTGAATGTAAGATCTGTACTATACATTGCGATGAATCCGATCTCTCTAACATATAAAATAGAATTTTATGTGCTAAAATAATCTGACTAATTATATACTAATGCCAGTGGTTTAATATATGGTTTGATACTTAAGAGAGAATCTGTCTGCGATCTGCAGTTGTTATGTGCTGTGTCCCATGCCAACGTAATTGTCTGTGTTCTTTCATGTTTCGAGATGTAAGACCAAACGCAGACCAATATATATTTAATTTATAAGTTAAATTAAACACAGTTTTGTTTAATATTCACACCCCCATGCACATTAAATACAGCGTAATGAGCAAGATGATTAGACTAAACTATTCTAAAGAAATAAAACATTATTTCCACTTGCTATTGGCCACTCGATGCATATATGACATAACTACTACGTTCATATATAAAATGAACAACACAAACTGAAAACAACTTTTTCAACCGATTGGATACAAACTAAAATTTTGAATTTGACTACCAACAAGAAAGCCCAATAGCCCATCATGTTGGGTACTGATAACATGTTTTGAAAGCCCAATCATTATATAATGTAGACTGTACTATTAACTATCAACTATCAACTAATCAACAATTACAGGTTCTTAATTACTTCTTAGGGATGAGATGCCAAAAAATAAGGTTCTTAGGGATGTGCATTTCATACTTAGGGTCGTTTTTATGTTTCACACGAAATTTGGTTTAGTTTTCGATTTGATTTTCAGAAAGCTTTAAAATATCTATATAAGTAACTAGATTTTGTACACACAAAAAAGAAGACAAGAAATAAAAAAATTTATCCTTTTTGGGTTGTTTTTTGTTTATGAAAAATTTGACTTGGTTCGAATTGGACTAAATTTGGTTACAAAATAAAATATACTAACCTATATATACAACAAAATCGGTTCGGTTTTATTGAGTTTAAACTCATCATCAGCTTCACAAAGAGACTCACCTCAACTGCTTAACATGTGCTTCACAAATTTCCAATACACTCTTAACCAAAATAAATTTTGTTCGCGACGAACAAATTTATGTTTTTTCTCATCGTAGACCATAAGGTTAAAATTGGTACTGTTTTTACGATGAAGGACATGAATATACAGAAAATTCAATATCTTAGGCATGTGCATTTTTTATAGGAGAGATAAACGAAGAAAGCATCAAAAGATGTTGTCATTATCATCAAACACAATCAACAGAAATATAATAACATGATCACTCAAGTTGACCATACCACACCCCTTGGATCTTCACATCCTTTGGTACCTTAGCACCCAAGTCAGTATCTGACGGCTGAAGACTCTCGAACACTCCGATCACCTCTCCTGTCTCCGGCTTGCTCTTTGTCACTTTCAGAGTGATCTCTCCCACCGAAGCTGCCGTGTTCTTCACGTTCTCCTTTACAAGCTCCTCCTCGTCTCCTCTGCCTCCAGCTGGCAATGCCACAGCGTTGTCATATCCTGTGGATCCACCACGACCCTTTGGGTCCAAGAAGGAAGAGCCACGGTACGATGGAACCAAGAATTTTCCGGTGAAGCTGTCTGGTTTGCCTGAGGCGTCAAGCTGTTTGACTGTAAAGAGGAATGGCACACGCTCACCTCCTGGAAGCTGGACTGTGACTGCAGCGTAGTCGATTCCATCTTCTTCCTTGAAATTAACGCTTCCGTCTGAAGCAACCTGCTCAAAACAAATTAAAGAGACGATCAATCACAAACCCTAACCCTAAGCAGACTGTTTCTTGCGGTAGAATCAAAGACGCGAAATCAAACCTCAAAGGGTCCTTCGATCTCGTCAAGGGTGTAGGTGAGACGGGTCATGAGCTTGGTGTTCTGGAACTCAGGAGGAGCGTTCTTGCTTACACTGTCTGCCTTGACGGTGAAGGAAGTAGGCTCGAAGCAGAACTTCTTGCCTGCGTACTTTCCTGGCTTGAACGAGAATGTCTCAGAGCCACCGTCAATAGTTGGGCACTGGTTAGCCGTTCCAGTTCCTTTCACTTCCATGTATGTCTTGCTCTGAATCTCATCGTAGGTCAGTCTCTTTGGAGCTCCCTCTGCACTTGCTCCCTTTCATTACACGAGAAACAAACAACTCTAAATCAGTTGATCCAATAAGATTGAATCAACGATAACAAGAACTGGAATAGTGCTAATCCGTATCTGTTATTGGTTTAGTTGTTCTGTTCTCAGTTTAATATAAAACCCATGTGATGACTTCGAAAGATGGTAATGCAAATTAACACACACACAAAAAGACTTCTTCTCAGTTACTCAATTACTCTTGTGTTTGTTGATTAATCTATAGTTTGGTAATGATCTTTATCGAAGAATCAGTGAAAGAGGAGAGTAGTAGTAGGTGATTAAAGAAAGTTACCGAGACGACGAGAGCAGAGGTGGCAAGAGCGAATCCAGCGATTTTGACAGCGTCGGAGCATTTACCGGCGAAGTCCTTGAAGTCAGATTGGAAGGAGCAAGTGAGGCGAGCAGAGGAAGTATCTAGCCCGAAAGATTTGCCGACGGATTGAGTAGAGCGGAGGTGAGCACTGCCGCGAGAAGGAGCGGTGGCGATCTTCGCCGACTGGAGGAATGTGGCGGTGGATTGGAGAGAGGCTGCCATGGCCACAGATGGTTTTGAGTTTTTTCTTTGGTGATCGAAAGCTGTGTGAGCAAAGTAAAAGACTAAAGAGTAATAATCAAAGGGCTGAGATAAGATTGGGATAAGGCGAGGATTTTGATTGGTTTGTTTCGTGGGAATCGGAGTGTCTGGTTTTATTTGTTGCCACGTGTCGAAATCTGAAGTGGAGATATGGATACTGTCTCAGTCAGGGATGCTGACCTGTATAAATAATACTAGCATAAAATAATGTTTTGTGTTGAGGTAAAATAAAGATGGCCCATGCAGGTTTCGAACCTGCGACCTTCGCGTTATTAGCACGACGCTCTAACCAACTGAGCTAATGGGCCTTTGATGACAGCACCGACTGTAACACTTATTTTTTCTTCAATTAATTTTATTTTTAAGGCTTTCAAGTAAAAGATGCAAAGAAGGTTACATAATGGCCAGGCCCGGCCCACTAGGCTTTATAAAGTACCCTATCAGATGGATTCTGTTCAAGTGGTATAGATCATTGAACTTACATACATTTTTGCTGATTTGGTCCTGATTAATTAAAAATATCAACGGATCCTTTAGCCCATCCATCATATGTAAGATTACTCGTATGCATCCCAGTAGACAGATTGAAATTATATAAGTTATGGTTTCTCCTTGAAAGAAATTCCTGATATTATATGAACTTGCTGTTATTTTAATATCAAGAATCAGTTGTGATTTCATAAACTTTTTTGGCCATAGCAGATTGTCATCTTAAAGAGTATCTGTAGTCTTCCCCTAGACTAGAGACTTCATAGTTAAATCCGAATTTAGGGAATAAGTAAGGCAATCATCTCTCTGACTGGAAAATGAAAAGAAAGAGAAGGCACTCAGAATGAGTAGGAGGTATAGATTCATCAATAAGAATCAGATGACAATAAAACAATCCTCATCATGCCTTTCTTCTTCTTCTTCTTCTTCTTCCTAAGTCTAATTAAAACAAACTAATTGAAAAAAAAAAGGATTCCTCTCAGACAAATGCCTCGTTTGTCCCCATGATTTTATGAATGGATTTCATCGGACTCGTCATCTATTGTTTCTTCATCACTGAGAAATCCTTTATATATACTCGTTCCTAAAACCTAGATAAATAACAATACTACGAAAAGTAATCCTCTCAGACAAATGCCTCTTTTGTCCCCATGATTTTATGAATGGATTTCATCGGACTCGTCATCTGTTGTTTCTTCATCACTGAGAATTTTTTCCTTTTCAAAAAAAAAAAACAAGAGTAGATCTAAGAATAACAAACCGATTCAAAGAAACCAGTGAAGACGAAGAAATTCAACTAATAATCCTAAGAAGATGGGATCACGAAGAACTAAATCTACGGAAAACGAGGGAATTCACAGAGAGTAAGGTTCGATTCGGAACTCGGACTTATACTAATTGTTTTATTATTAGGGAGAGTCGGTTCTTTTATAGCCGAAAACAAGTAGGGTTTAGGTTTTTAGGAAGTCTCCTCTAGAAGAGTTCAGTTACGGCCCAGTTTGAAGTAGTCGGGAAATGGGCCCAATTTGCTTTAGTATGGCGTGTCGTTCAATTAGTTTGGACAGTTCACCACGTTTAATGATGGGCTTTGGGCCTTAACTACTTTTATTTCAGTTAATAATAATACCACAAAACTCAAAAGTCAAAACGTTTCACATTTGTCTTGAAGGATTGATTAAAATTAATATCAAAGAATCACAATAAATATGCGCTCTGATTCTGAACTAAAAAGTATTAAAATCAATCGAAAACAATTCAAGACCGTCGTGATCTATGATCAACCATCGTAGCCTCGTGCGAATCGCAGACCTGTGTCTTGAATTTACATCCGAATTTTTTGGTAATCGACCAACTTCTCGGCCGATCAGTCGTCGTCGCCGGTGATGAACCATCTTTATCAATCTTCGCGATCACTTTCTTCATATTGGAGCACTCTCTCTCTAACCGGTGAACACGCGTCCTCATCGTATCCATATCCAAGCGAAGCACCTGATTCTCTCTCACCGTCTTCTTCCATTTCCCAGCGTCCACCTGTCCTTCTCCTTTCACTGCATCACCATCCTCTTCCGTTACTGTTTCCGTTATCGTCAGATTTCTTGTTCCTGACGGAGACGGAGATTGAGCTGCTAATAACGTCCCGGCGATCGCATGCCGGAGCTGTAACTGCTCGAAGAAGAGAACTTGTACGACGGCTCGTAGCGGAAGCCGCTCGTTTTGCGCGGCGTGTGTGCACGCTTCCAACGTCACGCTTCCAACGTCAGTTTCTGACAATCCATCACGCTACCCATGGATGCGCCTATTGAAGAAAACGAAATTATCAAAAACAAATCAGATCCAATTCGAGATAAATGTTATGTAGATCACCTTGAGATATACGTCGACGGCTCTGTAAAGTCCGTCATCGTAGAGACGAGCTTGATCTGGGAGTGAGATGGCTAGATTGAAAAATTTATCCGATTTGAGATTAGCGTCGGATGCGATCTCAGCGAGAAATCCGTCGATTAATTTCCCGACGAGCATAAGCGACGGAGATTTTCCGTCAGCTTCGATTACGGCGGTGTTTGACTGTTCCAAGGTGTCGAGAAAGTGACCTAAGATTCTCTCTACCAAATCAACATCGTACAAAGTCTCGTTGAGGTATGAGTAGCTAGGGACGAGCAGGTCATCGAGTGTGGCTCTCTCTAGCTGTGTTCCGATCTTTCTCTCCAGCAGATCACGGCAAGTCTCGGAGGCGTTGAGGATGATTGCGGTTCGTAATAAGCCGAAGAGGAATCTCGTTGTTGAGGAGATTGAGCTTTTATCTAATGGAAGATTAGAGGTTATAGTCTCCAGTAGTTCTCTCTGTTCATTCTCTGACACTGCAGTTGAAGATGACGATGGCGGTTTCCGGTTAGAACGTAGAATTCCGGGAATGTGCTTTTTAGCGTAACAAATTAAACAGCTCTCTATGATATCGGAGCTCAGATCTCCTGATTTCATTGACAGGATCACAGTTTTGAAGATCGGAAGACTCAGTTGCGTCAGATCTTCAAACCACAGCTCCATGTTCGAATCTCTACTCTGTTTCTTTCGAGATTTCGCTGCGCCGCCGGGGATTAGTTGAAGATCGGTGGCGCCGTCGTTTACAGGCCAACCGAAGAGAGAAGGATCAGCTGAGGAAGCTCTGGAGACGATAGACTCGATGCACTGTTCCGTTATACCAAGCGATCCGGCTAAAGTTGAGACTGATTCACAAGCTTTGAGAGCTTTAATGGATTCTCGCAAGCTCTTGTAGACGGAATGAGAGAGAAACATCTCAGTCTTGGAAATTAGGTTATCCGGTGAATACTCTTCCGTCATTTCGAGGTGTTCGGCGGCGCAACGAAGTGGAACAACAGTGGATGCAGAGAGGTCCATCTTGACGCCGTAGCAGAACTTGGCCACCATCTCGAAGCTCTCTGAACTTCCGGGGAAGTCCTCGAGTTTTATGTGAGGATAGCCATTTTCTTCGATCTCTTGCTCTTCGTCTACTTCTTCTTCTTTTTCTTCATCGTCCTCGATCTCATGGCCTTTACCTTTCTTGTCACTCTCTTCTACTTTTGGGTCCGTTTCAGTTATTAGCGCCATGGAACAAGATCTAGTCTCTTGCTCTGTAATCAACCTGTGAAGTTTCCTGCTCTTTGACATGAGTGGAAACTGGAAAAGCCACAAACAACAACACAAATATCTGTGAGTAAACATAAAAAAATAATAATAATAACTGAGAAAGCCAAAGAAGAAGACAAATCTCAGGCGTTTGTGAACACACCTTGTGGAGATGGAATGTCATGTCATCAACTTCGATTTCAATGTCGCTAGGTAAGCCAGTTGTACAAAACCTGCATCAAGATACCAAAAAAAAAGGAAAATGAGAAAATTTCTTTAGGCAGCCATTTTTAATATTGTTATTCAGTGTAAGCTCTCTCTTCACCATGCTTGGCCCTTGGAGCTAGATTTCTCTGACGCCATTAATGGAGACAACAACTCTGTGAAGAAAGGCTCTGAAAAAAAGACAGAAAAAAACAATAGCCTATCTCTTTCTAATGATAATATGGAGAGAACAAGAAGGGAAAGGGGAAGGAATTGGAATCCTAGATCATGAGAAACAGAGAAAGAGACACATTAAAAGAAAAACATTATTCGGATTTCGAAAAAGGGGATCTTGTTTTTGTGATCCTCCATCTTTTTATTTTCTTTAATTTTAATAATAATATTAATGTTTAGTTGGAGAACAGCAAGAATCTCAACTACTCTCTCAACGCGACACATTTTCAGATAAATTACGCTTTGGGAGATGCAAAAATCCCACTCATTTGTTAATCATTTTAATTAATTATTTAGTACTCTAGTATAAGCACCCCTCTCGTTTTGCGCTTTCCACTGTTTCTTTTTATTTCTTTGCGATGTGAAATGCATTGATATTACAAAGTATATTAGTAGATGATTATATTCGTATTTTCGATTGATTTTTATTTGATAAATCATCAAAACTAGACAAAGGACGAAGCTGCTTTTGTTTGAAGAAATTAAGTGGCAGACTTAGTATTATTTAGACTGTGTTTTATACTATATTATAATGTCTCATCTAATTCTGAAAATTGGGAAATTTGACGTTTAGGAGCCCATGTGGAATGCAAGGAGACATTAATTGGTGTTTTTTTTATTCTAAATTTTTATATATGATTTATTGCAATATTTACAGATGTAAAGTGAGATGCAAGAGAAAAGAAAAAGTATGTGCAACTATCAATGCATTGATTTGTTCGTCCACAGTCTAAAACCAAACAAACAAATAATTCGACCTTTTGAAATTTTGAATGTGGAAGCAAACATTATGGTTACTCGTGTTTATTATATATGTTTGTAGACCCCTCTTTAGAATTGATTGTTACAAACATTTCCTTTCCTGTTTTTAATGCCTAAAAAAATGTCCATGTATCATCTCATACTAGTACAAAATTTCTTTACTTATGTTTAGTTTTTTTTTGGTAGTTTACTGAAGATGTAACTTCTTCGTATGATAATTTCATTTTCTGCTTCCCTTTTATTTATGAAACAAAATCAAATCAAAATATATACCCCACCCCCAAACCCATGTGGTGTATTCTTGATCTTTTTAAGCGTGGATGCAATATCTTGGACTTCATCTATTAATAGCACAAGACATTAGACAACAACAACAACAAAAAAAACTATCAAAGTAAGCGTAGACTATCAAAGTAACCCCCTTTGGAGACTCTGGACTTAGCACTGAGAGAAGCCTCGGTTTGAAAGAAAGCTCTTTCGAAAGATGAAGTCGATCCCGATATTCCCGTTCGGCCGGCGCTAAACCTTGCTTTATCCCCCCAATTATCGGAATGCCAGCTAGACGCTTCCTGGCATTTGGAGGATAGCCTAAGTGGACATGGTTGGGTCTTGATTGACTCGGACATCATCTCACACATTGGTCTCAAGAATTCGCGAAGAAGTCTCTCGCCGCTCCATGCAGAATTGGACTCCTTGCTTTGGGCAATGGAATGTTTGACCTCGTTAGGCATTACTGCTGGCGCCTTTGCTTCTGATTGCTCGAAATTGGTTTCTCTCCTCGACAACCAAGAAGATTGGCCATCCTTTGCTGCAGAACTGGCCTCTTTTCGGTCCCTCGTTTGTTTTTTCCCTTCCTTTAGTATCAGATTTATTCCCCGTAATCTTAATGCTCGAGCAGATTGGCTAGCCAAAAAAGCTTGGGCTCGTTATAGTTTATTTTCCCATGTAAGTTCGTCGGTTCCTGAATGGCTTTCCCCAGCAGAAAGTCTCTTCCCGATATCTTAATGAAAATGGTGTTTGTGAAAAAAAAAAAAAAAGTAAGCGTAGACTTTGTCAAGAGAACTTTAAAAATCATTCATTTTTTTTCTTCTCTCTTTTGCTTTATCTTATTTCTTATGATCTCACGTGTTAGGAGAAAATATCATTTGATGGATGCTGGCTTATAAAGTTACGAAGACTAAAACGTTGGTGGTTTGACCTCACATCTTCTCGTCCATTTCAAGTTTTCACACCATATACGTTGATTTTGTCCACAACTGTCTAATGCTTATGTCAATATGTAAAAAAATAAAAAAATAGAATATCAATCATTCGAATTGGAGTCATTGTGTGTGTGTGTGTGAGTATCCTTAATTGACAAACTACTAGTCTAGTAGCTCATTAATGTCAGAATCTATGGGTACGAAAGTTCCCTTCCTTAGAGGCTGCTAGCTTTGTTTAATTTTCTTTTGGAGTTTACGTAGACTCTGAACACAGTAGTCTTAAATGCTTATAATTTCCATGGATTCGTTCATAATTTATATAACACATGAATAGATTGACAAACATTTTTGGAAAATTTATTTAGAAATTAAAACGAATCCTGACAATGCAACTGCTAACACGAAACAATCCGACCGTTTTGATTTGGCTGTTTCGTGGCAAAACGGTAAACCACAACACCGATTCCAGAACGTTCTCGAGGAACATCAGAGTGAATAACGTCAACATCGAAGAGCTTTCGAGCTCTTGAAGAAGACAGATTCTTTCTTCCATCTCCTTAGATGAGGCATCAATATACGATAGTTTACAAAATAGGCCCAATTGTTTTGTTTTGGTTTTAATGTGAAGAAAAATAGGCCCAATAAAGATTTGAATGATCAAGTTTACCTCTTAACAAAATTTCCAATAAACACATATTTCCAAAAAAATTATATTTTTTACTATCAATTGCAAGAATGAACATTTTTAGCTAGATAGCCTAATTACATGAAAATTAGCTAGATAGCCTAATTCCATGTGAAAGGTTTGGTTGACAAAAACAAATAAAAACATTAGATAATGTAACGGTAATACAAATGATTTGGTATATTTTTGTAAATCTGTTACCATCATTGAAATATGCCAAACAAAGTAAAGCAATTTTATATATATAAGAAAATGTTTATTTAAAAACTGTTGTTAAAAATAAAATAGATGGATTTATGATAAATGAAAATGGAGTACTATACAATAGTATTCTTTATTGACCGAAAACATAAAAAAATAAAATATAAAAAGATAAAGATAAAGTTGAAGCGACGTTAGAGTTTAGTCTTGAAATTAGGATTGGACATGGGCTTAAAGACACACAAAATCTTTCTCAAATTTTGTTAATTTTTGTTATTTTTCCTTCTTCACTATTCCGCTTAGAGCACAACACCAAGATGACGACCAAGGCTATGCAGAGAGGATTTAAGGTTTGTCTCTCTTTTTTTTTTTTTTTTTTTTTTTGTGTAAATTTGAAAATTTTCTATGGAAAAATGCTGATGAAAAGCAAAATAATATTCTCAAACGTGAAGCTGATTCTGGGTTCTCAGTCGATGGCGAGAAAGAGGATTCTGGCTGATATGGGATATGATTACACTATCGTGGTATGTTCATTTGTGCGTGTGGAAATTGTGATTATTTTGTTTAGCTCTGGATTACAAAGTAAATTGAGTTTGGCTGGTGATTATGTATGTGGCTCAAGACTGCAGACATTGATGAGAAAGCTATTAGGACAGAGAAGCCTGAAGATTTGGTTGTGGCTCTTGCTGAAGCCAAGGTACATAATAATATAATCTAGGGTTTTTTAATCGATTCAATGTCTTTTGAAATTAAGTTTATTCTGCTTACCATTTTGGTGATGGTAATTGTATTGACTAGGCAAATGAGATTATATCGAAATTGGGAGGTGAAAGCCAGTTTGCACAAGATCCTCAACCGACTCTGTTGATTACTGCAGACACTGTATGCTTTAATAATGCCTTCACATTTTTGGATTAGAATTTGTTATGTGAGCTTTTTTTTTTGTATCTTTAGCTGATGTTATATGGTCATGGAGTTTCTTAGGTTGTTGTGTACAAAGGTGTCATTAGAGAAAAACCAACCACTAAAGAAGAAGCTCGTGAATTTATCAAAGGTTTTATGCAAGTTAATCACTTCCATGTGTTCTATGCTACTCTATAAGCCACTTGTGAGGCTAATAATGATTGTGATTAAGCATTTTGTTTGGAATCTACACAGGCTATTCCGGGTCACACGGAGGCGTTGTGGGATCTGTTCTTGTAAGGAACTTGAAAACTGGAGTTAGAAGAGGAGGATGGGACAAAGCAGAGGTACACAGAATAAACTTTTCTTTCTGTTGTGTCAAATTTTCTTGTGGATTGAACATTTGCGGTGATGTAAATATTGTTGTGATGCAGGTTTATTTCCATGAGATACCAGAACAAATCATCGATGATCTAGTAAAAATTTCAAAAACACTTGTTCTTCTTCTTATCGATCTATTGAACTAAGTTTGTTTTAACACATATGTTTGTTTGTTCTTTCGATCTTCAGATTGATGATGCAATAACGTATAAGGTTGCTGGAGGTTTAACCCTGGAGCATCCCCTCATTTCACCCTTTATCGATGCTGTGGTTAGTTCCCTTCATACAAAAAAAGCTCGTGTTTGATCTACAGTTGTTTGATTTGTTCTGTTTCAGCATATCTCTTAGATAGATGTTCAAAGAGATATTTATATGATAACACCTAAATTAAAAGGGTTTTTGTTGCAATGTTGTAGGTGGGAGGAGTTGATACAGTTATGGGACTTCCTAAAGAACTCACAGAAAAGTGCATCAACGATGTGTTATGTAGGAAGAACTCAAGCCCCTTTTGATTATGTAGGAAGGCTTAGACTACTACTTTTGAATCTCTCTAATCAATCATTTATATTGTAACTCTGGGAAAAACACACAGATTTACCGTATCATGATTTTAAGTATTGATGATGGTTTCGGATTTCAAACTCATGAATCAATTGAAATGTACCAGTTTTTTTGCAGTTTAAACAAGTTTTGATTACACAGTGTGCGCATGCATATTCAACTTAACAATTTTAAACAAGTTTCGGACCAATGTGGGTTTCTATTCTGATGTCTGAATTACGAATTGGGCCAAATCTCCAGAATGTTAAAGGCCCAATGACTAAGGTAGAAACCCTCTGGCTGATGAAGAGGTTTGATTGGGGACTTTTAGTGAGGCATGCTCTGAGGGTTTACCATTGAGGTTTGTCTTTGTCCGTGTTCCTCTTCTAAAACCTAACCGCCGTTTAAACCCACCTTCGTCGTCACCGCCACTGATAAGCTCTACTGTTTTCGTTCAATCCATGGCGACGGTAAAGGATTCCGGCATTGAAGCCCTTGAGAAGCTTAAGTCAACAGAACCACCAGTTTTTCTAGCGCCAAGTTCAATATCTGAGGTTGCTCGCGCTGTATCTCAGTATCTATTCACGAAGTTGAAGCCGCATGACCCTAAATCTCAACTTGATCAGCTCTGGGTTGATGGTTTTGATACGGAGCAGATTTGGCAGCAAATTGATATGCAGTCTCAACATTTGTTGCCAAGCTTGCGGCAGGAAGTTAACAGATTTGTTAAAAACCCTGAAGAGATTCGTAAACTTGCGAATTTGTCCCTTAAGGTTTCTCATGAAGATGATGTTGATGAGATGGATATGGATGGTTCTGACTCGGATGAGGATAATGAGCTAGAAGCTAGTGAAAGCGAAGGAGAAGAGGAAGAGGATGATGAAGAAGAGGAGGAAGAAGAAGAAGATGAAGAAGAGGAGGAAGAAGAAGAAGATGACGATGGAGACAATGAAGGAATAGAGGACAAGTTCTTCAAGATTAAAGAATTGGAAGAATTTTTAAAGGAAGGTGAAGCACAAGAGTATGGGAATGACTACAAAAACAAAAAAGGAGTGGCAAAGAGAAATAAGCAAAATTTCAGCGATGATGAAGACGAAGAAGATGATGAGGATGAAGACGAAGATGATGAGGTAAGCACAATCCTCAGTGTTTAAGAATATAAAGTGGAGTCAATGATTACAACTAGCTCAGTTTTTCCCTCGAATGATCTTTTATTTTGTTCTTGTCCTCTAGTTTGATGCTTTTGCTGGTGGTGACGACGAAGAGGCAGATAAATTGGGAAGGGCAAGGTATGGTTTCGATGCTCTCTTCTCTATCACACATTAGTAGAACTAACTAGAGAATTCACAAACCGCTTTGTATCGCTGTAGATTTGTTCTAAGAGTTTTCTTCCTTATCAATGATTATTAGGTATGATGATTTCTTTGGTGGCAAAAAGAAGGAGACGAAAATGAAGTTGAAAGATTTGAGTGAAGATGAGGAAGCTGAAAGAGAAAACCAAGTACTGTAATATTTAACTTATTCATGGCATTGTGATATGTAATGACTTCATTTCTAATTTATGAACTAATTTGTTTTCCTGTAGGGCAATGAAAAGCTCTCTACCCATGAGAAAGCACGACTAAAGCTTCAGTCCAAGATTGAACAGATGGAGAAAGCAAACTTAGACCCAAAACATTGGACAATGCAGGGAGAGGTAGCCATACATGTGTTCCCTCACAATTAAACTGTAAAAGAGGAATCTTGCTTTCTGTAGCTAAATTTATGTATGATTTGTCTTGTTGAAAGATAACTGCTGCAAAGAGGCCAATGAACAGTGCTCTAGAAGTTGATTTAGATTTTGAGCACAATGCCAGGCCTGCTCCTGTAATCACAGAAGAGGTCACAGCCTCACTTGAAGATTTGATCAAGAGCAGAATCATTGAGGTAACTACTTGTGGCTGTAGTTTGTAACTAAGGTCTCCGTTGTTTCTTCCTGATCTTGCATAACTGATCTTGTTACTTCTTAGGCTCGTTTCGATGATGTTCAGCGAGCACCTAATCTACCCACTAAAGGAAAAAGAGAAGCCAAGGAATTGGTGAGTTTTATTGAAGAATTACTACTTCTATCCTCATTTCTCGCTCTGGTGTAATAGTTGATGAATAACAGTACAATTGATTTGTTACTTTTGGATATATGCAGGACGATAGCAAAAGCAAGAAAGGTCTTGCCGAAGTTTACGAGGTTGGTATGATTTACAATATTTGATTATGTTATTGCATATTTTGAGAGATAACCAAACTTACAAATGTGTTTTGGTCCATTTGGTTATTTGTAGGCAGAATACGTTCAGAAGGCTAATCCAGCTTTTGCCCCAATAACTTTGTCTGATGAACTAAAGAAAGAGGTTCCAGCTTGATTTGATCCTTATTTAGTTATTTTTCCTGGGTTTTTGTGTTTACCGATCTATCTATGATAGTCTCTATATCACATTCTCTTACTTATAAATGTTAAATCAGGCAAGCATGTTGTTCAAGAAACTATGCCTGAAGTTGGATGCTCTCTCCCACTTCCACTTCACACCTAAACCAGTATGTTTCTCGCTTAGATCCTAAATGAGGATCACCTCAAGTGTTTAGACATAACTGTTCTGGACTATAACTTCTTTTTTTCTCCAAACTTTCAGGTGATTGAAGAGATGTCTATACAAAACGTTCCAGCCATAGCAATGGAAGAGGTAATTCTGTTAAATTTTTCCTTTTTTTTTGTTTGGTAATTGGGACTGGAGACCATTATACTTAGCAACTTTTTCCATGTGTACTGTGTAGGTTGCGCCCGTGGCAGTCTCAGATGCAGCAATGCTTGCCCCAGAGGAAATATTTTCCGGGAAAGGTGACATTAAGGATGAGTCTGAGCTCACACAGGAAGAAAGAAAGAGAAGGAGAGCTAAGAAGAAGAGAAAGTTTAAGGGTAAGGAAGTGAATAACAAAGTGAATATACTCAGTTGGTAAAAACACAGAATCCGACTGCATCATGTTGCATATTAGACACATAACCTCTTTCCTTTTCACTTCTGAAACAGCTGAATCTGCAAATGAACCGGCCAAAAAGGCGCGGGATACAAGTACCAAGAACCCTTGAACTGGTATTTTTCTGTGCTCTTACATGACTGACTATTGATCGTCGAGAATATTGAAAAAAGCTTTAAAAATTGAACATTGCTTACTCTTTCGAAGTTACAGGCAGTGAAGAGAGGAGAGAGTTGCAGAGCCAAATTGAAGATGATAAGATCTCAGTCAAGAGCATTGCTACACATGCTTGAAGATTAGATCAAACCACAGTTTTGGATTAGAGAAATATTTAAACTTTGTTACCGGTTTAAGGAAAGACACTAGCTATTGTTCGGATAGGTGAACTTGTCTTTGACAAATTTGAATTTTATTGTATACTTTTGATATGAGAAGTTCCATTTTCCTTGTATGGATAGAGAAATTCCCAAGAAATCTCAATGCCGAACGAAAAACAAAAAATGCAGAATTCATAGCAACAACATGAATCCTAATGATATGATTGATGTGTTAGCTACTAGTTATTTAGGCATATCCGAAAGATAAATTATAGAGCAACATAGAATAACCTTTCGAGTCCAGCATGATCCATCCTTTAAAGTGCCAAGTCTTGCTAGTCTTTGGATGATGAAATGAGATAATTATCATCTCATTGGGGTTGCTACGAGGAGACTCAGAAAAAATGCTGTCAAAATTTTAAGAGTTTACGACTCTCGGCTCTCTCGAGTCTTGAGCGTCTTTGGATTGGGGACAATCCATCTCATTTCATCGACCAGCATAAGATCTGTAAGTAAATTAATTAATGATACGTACAACAGTAGTCAAGAAGCTGGAGTAGCTCAGTTGGTTAGAGCGTGTGGCTGTTAACCACAAGGTCAGAGGTTCGACCCCTCTCTCTAGCGTTTTTGTACATCATTTTATATAAAAAATTCATTAGCCCATTAGTAATATTGGGCCTGGTGTATGTATTGAACAGAACAGACCCTTGTAGTTGTAGTCGGACTTTAAGGAGGATATTCGTAATCCATAAACGATATTCTCAAGTGGTCAACGTTAAACTTTGGGTCCCGACCGCCAATTGAAGAGCCGTTTCTCCATCCATCGGCGTCACTCGTTTGTTTGTCTCTTCCGGATATATAAAAATGTCGGATTTTTTTTTAAAAAATTACATTAGTTTTGGTGCGTTTAGTATTCAATTTCGTCGACCCAAATCAATATAGGATAGATAGAGAGTGACTGAAGGTCAAGGAGATAAAAGCAAACATGGCGATTGTTTCTGTCTCTAACTCTTTTCTCACCTTCAATTCTCCTAACCAGCTCCGACTTAGCCGGTAATATTCTAACTGTTTTTTTTTTTTTTTTTTGGTTTCGCTTCTAAATTCTCTACCTTGCATTGTCGATCCACAAAAAAAAAAAACCGATCTTGGATTTTGCAGAAGAAGATTCTCTGCCATGGCTACTTCGACTACTGGAGTGAGAGTCGCTGAAGGAGAAGGCAATTTGCCAAAACTAGTCCTTACTTCTCCTCAGAACAGGTATAATAAAACTATTGACCATCTTTAGTAAGTAATTCGGGTTTAGCTTTTATGTCATCTGGGTTTATTTATAATTGGATGCAGTGAGGCTGAGATATACCTCTTTGGAGGCTGCATTACATCTTGGAAAGTTGCCAGTGGTAAAGATCTTCTTTTCGTCAGACCAGATGCTGTCTTCAATAAGATTAAGCCCATTAGGTCTGTCTGTGAACTTCAACATTTTGTTATCAAACCCAGAAATTGTGAGTAATGTCTTTTCCTTTTCTCGTCATATTGCTTGCTTGTTATTGCTTTAGCGGAGGGATTCCACATTGTTTTCCTCAGTTTGGACCTGGACTAATTCAACAGGTACTTCTCTCATTTACTGTTTATTCGGCTGATCAAATCTGTTATTAGTTATTTATGCTTATTTTGTTCCTGGAACCATTTTGGATCCTTAGCATGGGTTTGGAAGGAACATGGACTGGTCTGTTGTCGATTCCCAGAATGCTGATGACAATGCTGCTGTTACTCTTGAGCTTAAGGATGGTCCCTATAGTCGAGCCATCTGGGACTTTGCTTTCCAGGCTCTATACAAGGTTGGTGTCATGCCTTTCATTAATGTCACTCTTGTATCTTATATGTCATAATAGTTTGTTTTGCTGCTTTAGGTCATTGTTGGCGCGGACTCTCTTTCCACTGAGCTAAAGATTACAAACACAGACGATAAACCATTTTCTTTCAGCACTGCGTTGCATACTTACTTCCGTGTAGGTCACTAATTCGTCTTCTTGTTCAACGCTCTAGTTTAGGGTCAATCAGCTTTATAATTTTTTTTTTTGGGATCATCAGGCTTCTTCCGCAGGGGCCTCCGTGAGAGGTCTAAAGGGTTGTAAAACTCTCAATAAGGATCCTGACCCTAAGAACCCAATAGAGGGTAAAGAAGAAAGGTTGGTTTTGGTATTTTTTTTCTTCATTAACTATAGATCTTGTTGATTTCAATTTCACATGTTTCATGGTTCTAACCCCTTATTTTCTAACATTTCAGGGATGTAGTCACTTTTCCTGGATTTGTGGATTGCGTCTATCTTGATGCTCCTAATGAATTGCAGTTTGATAATGGCTTGGGTGATAATATAATCATCAAAAACACAAAGTACGTTCACTGAGACACTTATATCGCTTTATAAGTCGTTCTGTGCCTCATGAGTACTACTTGTTTTTGGAAAATGCAGTTGGTCGGATGCGGTCTTGTGGAACCCACATACTCAGATGGAGGCTTGCTACAGAGACTTTGTGTGCGTGGAAAATGCAAAGGTATATCAGTTTACACCTAAACCTAAGTCTTTACTCTTTACAAAACTTATAGACTCAAAGGGTCTAACCCTTGCTTATCATTTTTAACTCTCAGCTTGGGGATGTCAAGCTAGAGCCGGGACAGTCTTGGACTGCAACACAGCTTCTCAGCATCAGTTGAAAACAATGTACTTTACACTATTATAATGTCGAGTTTTATTTCCTCTCCAAATTTTACCAGTAGTCCCCACAACTGCATTTCCCATCTCTGAAATGATGGAACCTTGTCCTATCTCTCATTACGATATCTCTCTTGTATATCTTAGAGATGAGTTTCGTTACTTTGTGACAGTCTTTGCATACTCGGAGATTCTTCATTATACGTATAGTGGTTCCTGGTTTAGTCTTTATTAACCCGTATGTAATAGCCAATTTCTCGCTATGTTGATGCACAATAGTCTCTCTTTCATCATCATCAACTAGATCAAGCAGCATATCTTCTAACTCTGGTACGTACCCGTTTTCCTCAAGTTTCCTTCTCATGATTTTCCATTTAGACTGAATTTTCTCTATCTCTGGGTGTGATCGGTCGCCCGCTAGAAACTCGTGTGTGGTCCCTTCCAAGCTAATTGTACTACATCCTGGAACTTTTGCTACTCCTTGTTCTTTCATCAATCTTCTTGTTTCAGCTGCTTTGTCCCACTTTTTTCCCATAGCATGAATATTTGCCTTATGAACATATCTCCCACCATGATATGGATCTATTGCAATTAAGATTTCTCCAATTTCCTCTCCCAATTCGATGTTTTTGTGAATCCGACAGGCTTTGAGCAACGCACCCCATATCACAGCATTTGGCTTCAATGGCATCTCCTGAATGAAACGTTTTGCTTCATCAAGCAATCCAGCTCGACTGAGTAAATCAACAACACAGCCATAATGCTCGATGGTCGGTTTCAGGTTGTAATCTCTCTCCATATTGTAGAATATCAACTTTCCTTCTTCAACTAGTCCAGTGTAGCTGCAAGCCGTGAGAACCGTAGTGAAAGTGATCACATTTGGCTTTATTCCCATCTTTTGCATCTCCATGAATTTGCTAATTGCTTCTCTTCCATGGCCATGGTATGCATATCCGGAAATCAAAGCTGTCCATGCTTGCACTGATTTTCTCTGAATATTCTTGAAAACTTCCAAAGCTTCTCCCATGTCACCACACTTTGCATACATATCTATAAGAACACAACCCAAAACAGAGTCCATTCTGATTCTTGTTTTAGTAAGATAGGAATGGATCCATTTCCCTTGCTCGAGTGCTCCGAGCTGAGCACAAGCTGAAAGAGCATTAGCTAGGGAAACATTATCAGGCTCAACATCTGAATTCTGCATTTCATGAAACAATTGCAGAGCTTCCTTGTGCATGCCTGCTTGAACATACCCAGAGATCATCGTAGTCCATGATATAGCATTCTTTTCTACCATTTTCCTGAATAACGTTAATGCAATGTCCATTTTTCCAGCTTTTGCGTACCCTTTAATCACAGAGTTCCATGAGACAGCATCAGGTTTGGGGATTCTGTCAAAGAGAAGGTGAGCTAGCTTGAAATTCCCGGTCGCAGCATATGAATTAATCAGCGAATTCACTGCATAGACATCATTTTCATAGCCAAGTTTCGTGATCTGTGCGTGAATTTGCGTTGTTTCTTCAAGTGCAGATAGATTCGAACAAGCTTTGAGAAGAGACGGAAAAGTATATGCGTTATGAGGAGCTGAGCAACAGAGCATACGTTGATACAGAAGAAGAGACCTCTCAGGTTCGTCTGAGCACGAGAACCCTCTGATCATCAGGTTCCACAAGAAAGTATCTGGTCGATCAAACCCGTCAAACACAATCTGGGCATAAGGCAAAAAGTCGGAAGAAGTCGAAGAAATGCAGCAAGAAAGAAACTTTGTGATTGCATAAGAATCCTGAATCAAGCCAGTTTTCAGCATGCGAGCGTGGATTTGCTTCAGTTCTTCTTGTTTTGAGCATCTCTGGAGACAAGACATTGTCTCGCAGAGATTGAGTTCCAATGAGAAGGAGCATGAGATCACTGTCATTTTAGTTCATTCAAAAAAAAAACAGAGAGACCTCTTGTCAAGATAAGGTTCTTCTTTGCTTGATGTTGATGATAACTATTTCTCAATTCTCAGTGGACGCCAAAGTGTTTGCCGTTTTGTAAAAAGGATAAAGTGACGTGGAGAAGTGAACTTGATATTTGTAATGGATAAAAATTAAATTACCCAAATCGGCAAAAAATTAAAATAATTACTAAATTGGTCAGAAATTAAAAAAAAATTTACAGTCTCGGTATTAGGCATCATGCAATAACATGAACCGGATAATAACGGTCCGACCGAAATTTGAGCACAAAACCAACGATGGGGGAGAGTCGTCAAAGACTGCACTCTCTCCTCTTCCTCTGGCTCCGGCGAAAAACCCCTTTTCGATTTCATTGACAAAACGTAAATCGATCCCTCGTGGGGAAGAAGACGAAGACGATGGGAACAATGGGTAAAGCATTCTACAACGTAGGATTCTGGATCCGGGAAACGGGTCAAGCACTTGATCGGCTCGGTTGTCGCCTCCAAGGCAAAAATCACTTCCGAGAACAGCGTATGTCTTTGGATCACCTTGTCTTCTCTTAGTTCCACTCAAAACCTGGTGATGAATTTTTATGTTTGATTTCTCGTCGGGTCTTTGAAATGTTTGGATATTTCTCTGGAATCGGGTCATAGTTTAGATTTGCTTATATGATGCGTTTTCTCTAATGTTGATGATTGATTATGGCATTTTTCATTAGAGACCTGAGAGCTTAAGATTAAATGTTCTTCATTTCGCTAGTGACGGTATCCATGTTATCCATTTCTATGTTTAATTGATTTCAAAGAGAGATCCTCGTCTGTATTTGGCTAGTTATTATCCTAGTTGAAATCTTCTTCCATTAGGCTGATGTGTTAAGTGTTAGCCTGTCCTATTGTGAGTGTTTCACTTGTCTAGCTTTTTCCAGATACTACGCGCAGTGATACTTAATTCAACGAAAGCTTCTGCTTATTTCAACCCTCTCAACTGCTTCTGAAACTCTTTTTTTTTTTTTTGTTCCAGTATCAAGGCACCGCACACTCATGAATGTTTTTGACAAAGCCCCTAGTGTGGATAAGGGGGCTTTTGTGGCTCCTAACGCTTCTATCACTGGTGATGTCCATGTGGGACGAGGTTCTTCCATTTGGTATGGATGTGTCTTGAGAGGTAAGCTGCTGAAGTAGTTGACATTGTTGATTCAAATGTGCTTTCATTGAGAGGCATAGGCACTCTGTCTTCAGACATTCCCATTGATTTAACAATTTACTCTGCAGGAGATGCTAACAGCATTAGTGTTGGAGCTGGGACCAATATTCAGGACAACGCTCTTGTCCACGTTGCTAAGACCAACTTAAGTGGGAAGGTCTTACCTACTGTCATTGGAGACAATGTCACTATTGGTAAATTCTCAATACATTTTCTGTGACAAAACTTTAAGTGTGAATCTTATAGTCAGGGTAATGGATAAAGCAAATTGAATTTGGAGCAGGTCATAGTGCTGTTTTACATGGCTGCACTGTCGAGGATGAGGCCTATATTGGTACAAGTGCAACTGTGTTGGATGGGGCTCATGTTGAAAAACATGCCATGGTTGCTTCAGGAGCTCTTGTTAGGCAGAACACTAGAATTCCCTCTGGCGAGGTTCTTAGCCACGCTCTTATGTCGACCTTCTCAAACATTCGTTATTCCCTTAAGCTCTTGTGAAATTACAATTCAGGTTTTCCTCACAGGTTTGGGGAGGCAACCCAGCTAAATTTCTGAGGAAGGTGACAGAAGAAGAAAGAGTCTTCTTCTCCAGTTCGGCTGTGGAGTACTCCAACTTAGCTCAAGTTCACGCCACAGAGAACGCAAAGAACTTGGACGAGGCTGAGTTCAAGAAGCTTCTAAACAAGAAGAACGCTCGCGATACAGAATATGATTCAGTACTCGATGATCTCACGCTCCCTGAGAATGTACCAAAAGCAGCTTGAGGCGTTTAACCTGTGCCGTCTTACGAATCTTGATTTGTTTGGATTTGAAAGAAAAAAAAAAACAAGAACTTCATTTCCTGCTTCTCCAATAATGTTTTCTTGGGCTTAAAATCCATTGGCCAGTGCTTACTGGGAAAGTTTTAAGCTTAAAGGCATTCATTTCTCTGTTAAAGATTGTGAGGGGGTTTTGTTCTCTGGTAACTTAAGCCTTTTATGTCTATTAAATTGTTGATCAGACAGACATTCATTTCTCGTAATTGGTTTGACTTTGACCTTCTGCTTCTATAAGTTTCGTCTGTAGCGGTAACAAGTAAGCCAAGGAGTATCGTCGTCTTCCGTTCACATGTTCGCATGTTTGCCTATTGGAGGCTTTATTCGTCTGGGTGACGTCATCGGGAAATCCACTAATTTGGTACTGAGATATGTGTTTATCCGTAATTTTGTTACCCATGCCGACCACCTGTTCGACGAATTGCCGCAACGAGACCTCTCCTCACTGAACTCTCAACTCTCGTCTTACCTCCGGAGCGGAAACCCAAATGGCACATTGGCTCTTTTTCTTGAGATGCATCGGGCCAGCCCTGACCTCAGCTCGCACACCTTCACTCCGGTTCTAGGCGCGTGTGCCCTCTTGTCGTACCCAGAAACAGGACGCCAAGTTCACGCCTTGATGATCAAACAAGGCGCTGAGACAGGAACCATATCCAAAACTGCACTTATTAACATGTACTCTAAGTACGGACACTTGGTTGATTCCGTTAGGGTGTTCGAGAGCGTTGAAGAAAAAGATGTCGTCTCATGGAATGCTCTGCTTTCGGGCTTCCTTAGAAATGGTAAAGGCAAAGAAGCTCTTGGCGTTTTCGCAGCTATGTGTAGAGAAAGAGTAGAAATCAGTGAGTTCACTTTGTCTTCTGTTGTTAAAACTTGTGCCTCCCTCAAGATTTTGCAGCAAGGGAAGCAAGTTCATGCCATGGTGATGGTCACGGGACGCGATCTCGTGGTTTTAGGAACTGCATTGATTAGTTTTTACTCGAGTGTAGGGTTGATTAGTGAAGCCATGAAGGTTTATATCAGTTTGAATGTTCATACAGACGAGGTGATGTTGAATTCTTTGATATCAGGTTGCATTCGAAACCGAAATTACAAGGAAGCGTTTCTGCTTATGAGTAGGAAGAGACCCAATGTGAGAGTTCTCAGTAGCTGTCTTGCTGGCTGCTCTGATAACTCTGATCTGTGGATTGGTAAACAGATACACTGTGTCGCCTTACGTAATGGTTTCGTTTCAGATATTAAGTTATGCAATGGCTTAATGGATATGTACGGCAAATGCGGTCAGATTGTGCAAGCGCGTACTCTTTTCAGAGCTATTTCATCTAAAAGTGTGGTTTCTTGGACGAGTATGATAGATGCGTATGCAGTTAATGGGGATGGGGTTAAAGCTCTTGAAATCTTCCGGGAAATGTGTGAAGAAGGAAGCGGAGTTTTACCCAATTCAGTGACATTTCTCGTTGTTTTATCGGCTTGTGCACATGCAGGACTAGTTGAAGAAGGCAAGGAATGTTTTGGTATGATGAAGGAGAAGTATCGGTTGGTTCCTGGAACAGAGCATTACGTATGCTTCATTGATATCTTAAGTAAGGCTGGTGATACAGAAGAGATATGGAGATTAGTTGAGAGAATGATGGAGAACAATAAACGAAACATTCCTTGTGCTATATGGGTAGCTGTACTTAGTGCTTGTAGTCTTAATATGGATGTTACGCGAGGCGAATATGTAGCAAGGAAGCTTATGGAAGAGACGGGTCCAGAGAACGCGAGCATTTATGTGTTGGTTTCGAATTTCTATGCAGCGATTGGGAAGTGGGATGTGGTTGAAGAATTGAGAGGAAAATTGAAGAATAAAGGTTTGGTTAAAGCAGCAGGACACAGCTTATTAATATGAATTACTTTGTTTTTTCAGCATTACACTACACTTAAGCTACTGTTTTTTGTGACAAGAAACAGAGCAAGTCCACTAAAGTCTAAAGCATTGTTGTGGAACTGTCTCGTTGTTCTAATTTAAGTCAAACACCAAAGAAGACATAGTCAACATAAAGCAGCATTGACCGCGAATAGCATTAGGTGAAAGGGCAATGTCACATATGGTTTAAGATAAAGGAGTCGTTGGGATAAGGAGAAGAGAAGTCAAAAGATGTGTCCTTTTCAAAATCTCTGCTTTCTTAAAAACAAATCACCAGAGAGACTTGATCAAAACCACAAGACAAGATGATTAGAGCCCTGAGCACGAGGAAGGTTCGAGGAAGCTACAAGATGCTCGGTGACGAAGAAGAAGCAGGCGCAGGGCTCTTAGAAGTGAAACCGGAGAGCGTTCCTACAAATATCCATGGTCAATCCCCGAAGGTGAATAAACCGGTGGAGAAAACGGGGGGTTCGGTTCACCCTCTACTTAGTTTCTTCGATATGAGTCTAAAGAGGAAGAAGAAGACAAAGAAGAAGAGCACGACGACTGCAAAACCAGAATTCGCTAGGTACTTGGAGTATGTCAAGGAAGGAGGCGTTTGGGATAACACTTCAAATGGACCTGCCATATATTACAGATAGATCGAAGAAAAAGATTTCACAGAGGTTGTTTATATTTATTTTCGGTTTGTTATATAACTTCTATTTGAATAAGAAAGATGAATACATCAAAAGTGGAAAGCTCGTCTATAAGCCATTTTTTTTTTTTTTTTGAATGTGTGGAGTGTGGACAAATCCGGGTATTTAATTTTACTGTTTGATAAGATAAATTCCCGGTTTATTACTTGTTACTAGATTGCATACTATCGTGAACTGATAAAAACAAAAACCAAAAGAAGTAATTACGACTGTAATGAGACTGGGTTTACAAACAAATTTTATGTTGGGCCTACACAAAATTTGTTTTACATGAGGAGATGCCACGTCACTAAACATACAAAATCCCATCAAAACGCAGGCGTTCCCCAAAAGCCTTGGTGAAGAGGTTTTAAGTGTTGTTTGTTGGCGATTAAAAGCCTTGGAGAAGAGGTTTCTCTTTTTTCTCTCCTCCTCTGTATATATATCTTTTGCTCTTTCTTCGCACCATGTCATCATATCAATCTTCCGCCAATCGATTGCTTTCTCTTCTTCCTCCGCCTGAGTGGTTCTTTCACTTTCGTCTTCTCCCATTGATGCTCGATCGCGAGGTAACTATTTGTTTTTGCTAGCTTCTGAATGTTCGATTTGATGATTTAGGTCTTGGTTCCGTGATTATCTCTGTTAGATTCAGTTTAGGTTACTTGATGTTGAATGATTAGGTTTTGATAATCTCTCACTCCACTCTATGGTTTGCTCCTTCCCGAAATTGAACTCTCAGATTGTTGTTTGTATAGTTTCTTAATTGCTTTTGACAATTAATTTGGGATTTTTTTTTGTTTATCCGTTATCTACTCTCTATGTTCATTTGTTGAATAACACTTTCTCGCTGTTGTATCATCCCTCATGCTATTGGTGATCTTCAATGATGCAGAGTCATGCCTACATTTTCTGCTGCCGCTTTGGATAGATCACTAAATTCAGGGGCTTCCGTATCTCGTGAATTTCCAAGCACATTGCATTCAAAGCCATCTACTTTGAACGATGAAAGTAAGCAACCTAAAGAAAAGACATTCACTCGTCCTCAGATGTCACCTTCTCTATACGCCACTCCTAAAGAAATCCCTCGTCCCAATTCGCCATCTTCCTATCCTCCATCTCCCTATATCATCAATCACAAAGCACGTGGACCAGTTCTTTTCAAAAGGGACTCTGAGGTGGATGGGCATTCTCACCCGAAAGCCCTTGGTGAGGAAAAGATTCGTGGTAATGTAGATGTGGACGCTACTACCTCTTTGAGGAAGTCCACATCCCTATCATTTCCTATCAGTGAGGCGATAGCAGTGGATCACACCCAAGGTATCCCTGAACGTCCTGTTTGGGATTGCAGCCCCCCTCATGGGACATTTTTGAACGACAAGTCGGGAAGAGATATCAGCAACGGTGGGATTGGAAGCAATATTGCTGCCAATACTTTAGAATGGAAAAGTTATTTATTGGAGCCGGTAAGAATAAAAGCAGACAAGGAGCTTGAGTCTGAAAATTTCTATAACCCAGGTGTATCAGTAAGCTTCACTAGTAGCACAGAGGTAGAAGATATTGGAGGAGCTGAAAGCTCACACAAATTTTCTTCACATGTTGGAGACTTTTATGATGCTTGCGATGGTACTTTTCTACATCTTTTATTCATTTCTTCCTACTAGCTGTTTAACTACGAGATGGCTGAAAATTCTTATGATGGCTTTAACATTTCTAGCATAACATAAATCATCACCTTTTGGCATTTCTTGGAGCCTCTTCTCCTTTAGTTTCAAGTGTCATAGGGATATATCAGTAGTGTGATTTTGGTTGTGAAGTAGCCTTTTAGGCTTGCGAATCCTGTGTTTATAGTCAAACTTGATAGTGATGAATCAGATTTCCAAAGTCATAGAAAAACTGCAGGCATAAATTCATTGGTATATCTAAGAAACTGGTTTTAATTTATTCAGTAACTGTTTCTTGGCTTCCAGAACTATCCACCGACAGTGGAATGCAGAGTTCAGTCAACATCCTTGAATCTGAGCTGAGGGAGATAAGGTTGGGTTTACTAATGGAAATCGAGAGGAGAAGGCAGGCAGAGGAGACTCTAGAGCAAATGCATGTTCATTGGCGGAGGCTCCGTGACCAGTTGGCCGATGTGGGTATGTTCCTTCCTCTTGATCCCACCAGCAGCCAATACAGCATGAACCTAGCTGATGAGATACGTTGTCAACTTGAGGTCACCAGGTTTGTCTCTGACTCACTAGGCAGTGACTTGGCCAAGGCAGAGGTAGAGATGGAGATGGAAGCTGAGCTCGAAGCTAAGAACTTTGAAATCACCCGGTTGTCTGACCGTCTTCATTATTATGAAACCGTGAACCAGGAAATGTCCCAGCGCAACCAAGAGGCTATAGGTAGAAGAAAGTCTAGTTATATTTACAAGAATGTCTAATCTTTTTCTCTTGTCTCAATGCTTCAACTCTCTTTGATATCAGAGGTGGCAAGGCGAGACGGGCAAAAGAAAAAGAGGAGGCAGAGGTGGATTTGGGGGTCAATTGCTGCAACCATCACGCTCGGGAGTGGAGTCTTGGCTTGGTCGTACCTTCCTCCTGGAATTTTATCATCGGATGAGGCTCAACCTCAGCCGTCTCCAAAAGATTCATAATGAGGTTGAATCAAAGCTTCAGGCCTTGTGAATAAAAAAATAGGAAAATGGTTTGGTTTACCTTTTCTAGCGAATGTATAGATCATGATGAGGACATAGCTCAGCTTCACACGATCATGGTCATACTCATACCAATTTGGTTATGTTCGTGTCTTCTATTGACTTGCAGTGTTAGCCACAGAAGTTCGGTGCCTGATTCTTCTTTTACTTTGTGTTTGCTTACGCACAGTATGTGTGGTTCTTAAATTCAACGAGGGGGTAACTTGGGAAAACAAAATTAAGGCGGTTGAAATTAAAGAATTATAAATAATAAGGGGTGTGAAAATAAACTAAAATAAACCTAAACCGGCGTCGTATGAAGATCACATTTGGCTCCTTGGCTAAATCAGTAATCACTAAAGAAAGAAGCTGTGAGGGGAAAACCAACCAGTGAGAGCTATCAATTTGAAAAACCAAGTCCAACAATGGCGGTCTCTCCGCATATTTCGCCTACTCTTTCCCGCTACAAATTCTTCTCTACTTCCGTTGTTGAAAACCCTAATTTCTCTCCGTATCCTATCTATGGTCGGCGGAGAGTTACCAAATCGCATCTCCAGGCGCACAACAGTACCACTAGCTATGGCCGGACGGAACTCTCCTCCTCGAAGAAGCTATGGATTAGGCCACGAAGTTCCAGCGAAATGGAGGTTGAGCAAGCACAATTAGAGGAAGATGAAGAACAAGAGGAGATCGATATCGTTGACGAGGCCAGTCTCCTTTCCCTGAGCATGAAACCGGACAGAAACATGGCGTTGCTCGACGATTATGAGATGGAGGAGCTTGGACACACGCCTGATACTCATCATCGCAGCGGTTTGTTTGTTTGTTTGTTTTCTCCCTAAACCCTATTCTTACTTTGTTACTGGGAAATTGAAATTTGGTGATTACGAATGTTATAGGATACGTGGCGGTGCTGGGGATGCCCAACGTTGGGAAAAGCACGCTCTCCAACCAAATGATTGGTCAGAAAATATCGATTGTTACAGATAAACCTCAAACGACGAGGCATCGGATTCTTGGTATATGTTCTAGCCCTGAATATCAGGTTTGTTTATCTAAGAGCCTCACTGATTTTTGACTCTTAAAAGAACCAGTTGCTCATTGCTTGGTTTGATATAGAAATTAATAAGATGATGACTGATACAAGCTTGTGTTGCAGATGATACTTTATGACACGCCTGGTGTAATCGAGAAGAAGATGCACAGGTTAGATACAATGATGATGAAGAATGTCAGAGATGCTGCCATCAATGCGGATTGCGTAGTTATTCTTGTTGATGCTTGTAAAACGCCTACTTATGTATGCTTCTCTGTTTGATTTGTTTCTCATGAATTGTTAGTTTCTTTTGCTGTCCTAATTATGGTTTTATGTGCGTAGATAGAAGAAGTTTTGAAAGAGGGTTTGGGAAACCTCGAAAAAAAGCCACCCATGTTGCTTGTTATGAATAAGAAAGATCTGATCAAACCTGGTGAGATTGCCAAGAAACTGGAGGTGAGTTTGCTCTTGTATCCTTGAACCTTGGTAATGCTGTACTCTTATTAAAATCCCACCATTCTAGAGTGAACTTGCAGTGGTGGAAGATGCTTCACTATAAACTTGAGATCAAGATTTGGAGTCATGGTATTGCTATGTTCTTTGCTTAATACATGCTGCAACTCCTTGCAGTGGTATGAAAAATTCACAGATGTTGATGAAGTTATACCTGTAAGTGCAAAGTATGGACATGGAATAGAGGATGTCAAAGAGTGGATATTATCTAAACTTCCCTTCGGGCCACCATATTATCCAAAGGTACTTTATGTGAAAAAGTCTCTGCTTCACTATTGAATTCCTCTCCTTGCTTTTGCTAAGCTTATAGTCTAATTTGCTTAATATTCTGAGGTTTATGTCTTCCTTCACATGCAACAATTCACTTTACTAATGGCTTACGGCTATTTGATTTCATAGGATATTGTGAGCGAGCACCCAGAGAGATTCTTTGTTTCTGAGATTGTTAGAGAGAAGATATTTATGCAGTACCGAAATGAAGTTCCATATGCATGTCAGGTAAAATGACAAGTTTGGATTCTTTTCTCTTGAGTCCTGTGGAAAGCTGTGGCCTTACTAATCAATCATGTGATTACATCATTGCTAAACATCACAGGTGAACGTGCTGAGCTACAAAACTAGACCAGCTGCAAAAGATTTTATTCAAGTGGAAGTAGTAGTGGATAAAAATTCTCAGAAGATCATCCTTATAGGAAAGGTAAGTGTATACAACCCTTAACATTCAAACGAGTATATGTTGATTTGCATTCGTGGTATGAAGTTCCATTGCTAGATTTTGTAGACATTCAAAAAGATCATTGTCAAAATGTTTAATGAAGTGCAATTTGGGTTTAAAAGCTGTTCTGCTCAAAGATTGTCTTATATAGCCATAAGGTCTCAACTTAAGATAAGTTAAGTGCTGACTAATTTGGCTGAATGTAATGCTGTAGGAAGGAAAGGCTCTGAAAACACTAGCGACGGCTGCTCGGCTCGACATTGAAGATTTCCTTCAGAAGAAAGTCTTCCTCGAGGTGCTTACAAAGTTGCATAGAATATGATTTGATTACATAAAATGGTAATGGCAAGTAATAGTAAGTTACCAATGTGAGTGAATGATATAAAAATGTTGAATGAAGGTGGAAGTGAAAGTGAAAGAGAACTGGAGACAAGACGAGGGGCTTCTCAAGTACTACGGCTATGGAGGACAGATCCGAGCTATGTAGTAGTGAGTAATGACAATGTGGTGGTTTGTGGGCTTCAAATGGGCCTAGAAGAAGATGAGAAAGTGCAAATGACTCGGCTCAGGTTAGCATTTTCCCCCTTATTTTTTGTTTGTATCTAACCGATGCCACTCACGCTAGCTTTTGTTGTTTATTCTCAATCCGACGATTCCTTTGAAAATTCGAACTCTTTCTTCTTTTGTTTTGTACTTTAGAGATTGTTCAACTAACCCCACTGAATATATCGTTCATGATCACAGGTAGTAAACTTATAATTAAACAATTGCATTTAAATCTGCTTTAGAAGAGAAAAAGGTGAACCGTAATTTATGGCGGGGGATAAGTAGAGTGAATTGCTGTGTGTGTTTGGTTGTGTCGAGTGGAGTCGGTGGAAGTTAAGATCCAGTTATTGCGCTTATGCTTGCTTCTTCTTGTTGATAAAAAAATTGTTTGAAAGTAAGTCAAAAGAAGCAAAAAAACTAAAGTGCTCTCTCACTAACAAGAAAACCATTTTCCTGATTGATTACAAATCAATTTTTGTGTCCTTTCTTTTGTCGTCTACCCAACCGAAAAATCTAAGAGCAACGGCACATGAGTTTCTGTATTATTGGGAACTTCGCCTTTAAATTAAATTGAGAGGCCGACCCATAAATAAAATAAAATCAAGGGCAAGGGTCCTGTATCCATGAAGCGGAAGACGCGTGGGTTGCTGTCGTAAGAACCACATAGAATGATGCCACGTGTAAATCGATCCGATGGGGAAGCATGTGTACGGTTACAACGCTTACGTGTTAAGTGGAATCCATTTGCTGGTTTCACGCTTACGATAATTAGCGCAATTACCTGCTTTACTTAGCTACTTAAACACCTTTAAAAAAAGTTTGAAGTGTTGTTACACTACTAACTGATCTGAGTAGAGAGAGAGAGAGCATCACAGATTTACAATAATAACCAACCACTAATACACCAAACAGCGAGAAAATTTCCTAATACATGAGTATGCGTGTTTAACACTCTCTTAAATGAGATTAATGTTTTTTTCCCAAAACCGTTATAATTAATTAATTATTATTAGTCCATAAATACCCCTACTCAAAGACAAAGCCATAAAGAGCGTAAGAAAGAAAGAAGAGGGCACACAAAACAGAGGAAGAAGAAGAAGAAGAAGAAGAAGAAGAAGAAGATGAAGCTTCTGTGTTTGTTTCTATTTCTGGCGATCGTGATCCAACTAAGCTGTTGGGAGCTAGGAGCAGATGCGTTATCGAGCAATGGGTTCGTGAGGACGAAAGGTGTTCAGTTTAGTCTCAATGGCTATCCTTATTACGCTAATGGCTTCAATGCCTACTGGCTCATGTACGTTGCCTCTGATCCATCCCAAAGGTCAAAGATCTCCACCGCTTTCCAAGATGCTTCTCGCCATGGATTGACCGTTGCTCGAACCTGGGCTTTCAGCGATGGCGGTTACAGGGCTCTTCAGTATTCTCCTGGCTCCTACAACGAGGATATGTTTCAGGTAACCTCCATTAGACCCTACTTGTCTGTGTGTTATGTTTTGATTCAGTTTTTGGAACTTTCTATGAGCGAGCAGTTTCCGAATTTCGGAGGAAAAATGGGTTTAGATCAGAAATTTCAATACACTCACCCAACTCTTTTTATCAATGCACCAATTGGATCAAGCCAATAATTTGGGTTTCTCTTTGTTTATATGGTTTTTTGGGGAAATTTTGAGATTCTCTGTTTATCTGATGATATTGCTGTTTTACACTCACTGACACAAAACTTTTATTTGGAAAAGTTGGTGGCTTTGGATCTTTTGAGACTCTCTGTTGATTTTTCTGAGAATAATCTGTTTCTTTTGTCATTTCTGGTGAAAAGGGTTTGGATTTTGCGTTAGCTGAGGCAAGAAGGCATGGTATAAAGATAATACTCAGCTTTGCCAATAACTACGAGAGCTTCGGAGGGAGGAAGCAATATGTGGATTGGGCTCGAAGCAGAGGCCGTCCCGTATCTTCTGAAGACGACTTCTTCACAGACTCTCTTGTTAAAGATTTCTACAAGAACCATATCAAGGTTTCAAAATCAAACGTTTATAATCTTCTCTCTTGTGTAGATTCAACCAATAAAGCAAAAAGTAATGGGCTTTTCTTTGCTCCTGCAGGCTGTGCTGAACAGATTCAATACCTTCACCAAAGTTCATTACAAAGATGACCCAACCATTATGGCTTGGGAGCTCATGAACGAGCCCCGTTGCCCCTCAGATCCTTCCGGAAGAGCCATTCAGGTTTCACCTAATCCACACCATGACTCTATATATTACTTGTTCTAGTCTTTCTTTGGGATCTGACTTGTTAGGTTTGGTTTTTCCCATTATGATAACAGGCTTGGATTACTGAAATGGCTGCTCATGTGAAATCGCTAGACAGAAACCATCTGCTTGAAGCTGGCCTCGAGGGTTTCTATGGTCAGTCTTCACCTCAAAGCAAGACTCTAAACCCACCTGGCCAGTTTGGAACCGATTTTATCGCCAATAACCGCATCCCCGGCATTGATTTCGTTACGGTTCACTCTTACCCTGATGAATGGTACGTAATGCCACAAAACTTAAAGTTTTGGACCAATCAGTTGAATCACTTGGTTTGACTTTTGTGCTGTTTTATTTTCTTGTGCAAGGTTTCCAGACTCAAGCGAGCAATCCCAAATGGATTTCTTGAACAAATGGCTCGACGCACATATCCAGGACGCACAGAACGTTCTTCACAAACCCATAATATTAGCAGAGTTTGGTAAATCAATGAAGAAACCAGGTTATACCCCAGCACAGAGAGACATTGTCTTCAACACCGTGTACAGCAAGATTTACGGGTCTGCAAAACGAGGTGGTGCAGCAGCAGGAGGTTTGTTCTGGCAACTTCTGGTAAATGGAATTGATAATTTTCAAGATGGCTATGGGATCATACTTAGCCAAAGCTCGTCCACGGTTAACGTCATTTCACAGCAATCGCGGAAGTTGACTTTGATTCGGAAAATCTTCGCTAGGATGATCAATGTGGAGAAATGGAAGAGGGCGAGAGGCCGGGGACAAGTACGAAAACGAGGTCACAACATCAAAAACTGAGAATGAAACTAATTTCTACGTTTAATATTTGCTCTTTTATAGCGAATGGAACGATCTCAGCTCGTCCAAGAAAGTTTTAGTGATAGATTTCATAATATATACAGTTTTGGGCCGGTATGAACTTTATTAGTGCGTCGAACATTAAAGGAAATTATTAGTGTTCAATTTTTAGACGTTAATTACCCTAATATGAAGCTCCCAAATAACAGTCAAAACTCAAAAAGGTTGGTTAGTTCAGAAGAAACGTTTCGAGATTGAATGATCTTATAGCAAGACATTGAATTATCACCCTGAAAGCGAACATAACAATTCTCTATAAACGTGACACATCCTTCGTTGGCATATTAATACTTCTTTTCTAAACGACGGCGTTTAGTAATGGGCTTCCTTACTAGGCCCACTTTGAAACACAAGGGCCTAGACGATTTCGTAAAATTAGATTGCCACTTGTTTCATCTTCTCAGGCCACATCTGAGTAAAAGAAACAAAAAAAAAAGAAGGTAAAAACATGATTTTGACTGTAAGAAATGGCGGCACAATCCAACGGTTTTGTACAGCTGCGTCGATTTCATTGCTCGAGAAACCAGTCGAGAAGATTGTCCGTATCTCGAATCAGGTGTTCACATTTAATCCCAACTCTCAGCTGCGACATCTCATCAATACCGGGAATTAGGGAGCTGCTCGCCACCTGTTTGATCAAATGCCTCACAGAGATATTGTTTCATGGACAGCCATCATTAACGGATACGTAACTGCAGCTAACTCTTTCGAAGCACTGAATTTGTTCTCCGCATTGCTTTTTGATCCTGCCGTCTCACCCGATACCTCTGTTCTAAGTGTTGCACTCAAGGCTTGTGGTCAAAGTTCCAACATTGGGTATGGAGAATCTTTACATGCTTATGCATTTAAAACTTCGCTGCTGACCTCTGTCTTCGTGGGAACTAATTTACTGAATATGTACATGAGAACTGGAAAGATCGACAAGGGTTGCAGAATTTTTACTGAAATGCAATTTAGAAATACGGTAACATGGACAGCAATCGTATCGGGGATGGTTGAAGCTGGTCGTCACAAGGAAGGACTTACATACTTTTCCGAGATGTCGAGATCGAAAGGACTATCTGATGATTTTGCATTTGCTACTGCCTTGAAGGCTTGTGCTCGGTTGCGTCAAGTTAAATACGGTAAGGAGATTCACACTCACGTGATAGTGAGAGGCTCTGATGCCTCTCTCTGTGTGGTTAACTCGCTCATTAATATGTACACTGAATGCGGAGAAATGCATGACGGAGTTCATTTGTTTGAAAGTATGAGTGAGAGGGATGTGTTTTCGTGGACAACCCTTATTGATGCTTACAGCCAAATGGGTCAAGAAGAAAAAGCTGTGGCCACATTTTTAAAGATTGAGATATTCCGCCGTACCTCCCAATGGACATACTTTTGCGACAATGTTTTCTGTGTGTACTAGTCTTTCTAGACTTGTGTGGGGCAAGCAGCTCCACGGTAATGTTTTCTCTCTAGGTCTAGGTGATTCTTTGTCAGTGAGTAACTCCATGATGAAGATGTATTCAACATGTGGCAAGTTAGACTCTGCTTCTGTTTTGTTTCAAGGAATGAGACGCAGGGACATTATTACGTGGAGCACGATTATTGGAGGGTACTCTCAGGCAGGTTTAGGAGAAGAAGTTTTCATGTGTTTCTCATGGATGAGACAAGCAGGGCCAAAACCAACCGATCCTGCTCTAGCTAGTTTGCTGAGTGTTTCAGGAACCATGGCAGTTCTTGAGCAAGGCAGGCAAGTTCATGCGCTTGCTCTTTATCTTGGTTTAGAACAGAACTCTACTATTCGTAGTGCTCTGATTAATATGTACTCGAAATGTGGAAGTATCGAAGAAGCTTCAAAGATATTCGAAGAAACAGATACAGATGATATTGTTTCTTTGACAGCTATGATCAATGGATATGCAGAACATGGAAATACCAAAGAAGCCATTGATCTGTTTGAGAAAAGTCTAAAGGTTGGTCTCAGGCCCGACACTGTAACTTTCATTAGCGTTCTCACCGCTTGTAGTCATTCGGGACAGCTTGACCTTGGTTTTCGCTATTTCAACTTGATGCAAGACGAGTATAATATCAGACCAGTCAAGGAACATTATGGATGTATGGTTGATCTTCTGTGTAGAGCAGGACGGCTAAGTGATGCAGAGAAGATGATCAATGAGATGCCATGGAAGAAGGACGATGTAGTCTGGACCACACTCCTCAATGCGTGTAAGGCGAAAGGAGACACTGAACGTGGAAGAAGGGCGGCTGAGAGGATTCTAGAGCTGGATCCTACTTCCGAAACTGCATTTGTAACACTAGCCAATATATATTCAAGCACGGGGAAATTGGAAGAAGCAGCGCATGTAAGGAAAGCGATGAAATCAAAAGGCGTGATCAAAGTGCCTGGATGGTCATCAATTAAGATCATGGATCGGGCCTCAACGTTTGTATCTGGCAGTCAGTCCCATTCACAAAGTGAAGATATATACAGTATATTGGACTTAGTAGTATCTGGTGCAGAAGTTCATAGATTTGATTGTCGAATAAAGGGAGCTTTTGGCTTTTATTCATATTCATGATTCTTAACTCTTAACATGTTCAAACAATCTTGGCCCTTTATACAATAGCACAAGTCGTAACATTGAATGTTAATATAGCTCAATCAATATGAATTAAAAGGAGAATCAACGGCATTCCTTTCAAAATCCTAAGTATTGATAATTATCATTCTGTCATCTGTCATCTTTAAACCAGTTAAGTAGCACATATACTGCAAAACCTAAAGCAGACGCAGCAGCGACCAGAAAGACAGCTATTTGTACTGAGAATGATGAGGTAAAGGCTTCAAGAACAAGTGAGTTCCAAGTTACATACCATAAGGTGGAGTAAACAGAACCCACGATTGCACCTACGACAACTTGACTTGTAGTGTGAAGCTTCTGAGAAACCCTTAACCATGTCTATACCAAAAATAAACATCAGTGTTAATGAATTCGTTTTCTAAGATAATTTTGAACTTGATTCATGCCCCCAAAATGATATGAAGACTTACAAAGTAAGAACCCAATGCGAGGATGAGGCCGCTAAGGAGCAGAGAGAGCACATTGGTTCCAAGCCACTCCATAACTGTGGAAATAAGAGTAAAGTCATCTTTAAGAATTGATCAAATGCAAGAGAAGAAACAGATACCGGAAACGCTTAGCACTGCGACTGTTGTGTACCGGAGAAGACAGAAAAGACAGAGATGAAAGAAATGGATTGGGCATGAGAAGATGGCATCCCAGGATCAGAACGCAGCGTAGCAACAGGTCTCTCTTGGTTAAGTAAACGTTTCAAAGCTACTGAGAGCGCAGAATTTGAAACGGATCCAATGACAGCCCACAAAGCTGCACCATCATGTCGTAGAAGCAGAACGGATCCAAATAGAGCAGCTACAATCCATTTGCTCTGCCATTTGACAAAAAAAGGAACAAGCTTTGCTTTGTGTTTCATAGAGATAGACATTACATCAAACAGGTTGTGTGCATTACATCAGGGAATTCGAATACCAACCAGACGATTAGCGATTGCTTCAATACCACCGCCGGCGTCCGACGACGAATTATTGATGAAAGCCTCTTGCTCGAGCGCCTGGAATTGTTCTTCACCGTCTCTGCGAGCATTGGTATTGACTAAATCGGCCATAGATTTAGTAGAGCCAGAGGCAGACCAGATTCTTCTTCTTCTTCTCCGATCCAAAGGGCTCGAAATTCGAAATCGAGCGGGAACAGAGGAAGCGGCGGAATAGAAATTGCAGGTGTGTCTGTGGAGAAGAAGAAGAGATGATGACGCTGCCATATCAATCCAACGAAAAAAAAAGTCAACCTAAAAGTCAAAATCAAACGAATCGCTTCGCAATTTTTATAACTTTTTGGGATTGCAGATTACTTGATTTTTATTGGCAAGTTGTGAGGTTCTTCTTACGAAATCTGTGTTGTTTTTTAGCGATAATTTCATTTCATTTCTTCAAAAAAATTGCAGAATTCGTTAGGTCAGATGTTAAAAGAATGTATCAATGTATGGTTGAGAAAATGTGAAAGAACGAAACATTTACACAATCTTGTGTTGATCTTTATTCAATTAGCCCATAAAAGCCCATTAGTAATAGTCCTAAATGATTAACGCACCAATTTGCTTTAACAAGGCCCATCAATGAATCCACTTATCCCTCGGTTTTTCTAGTTTTCTTCTACCTTCTTTCTTGTGATTATAGGAAGGAATTTGTGCTTTTTTCTTAACCAATGGGTAATAGGGGAAAAGAATCTGAGTTAAGTTAAAGATTAAAATTAAAAGAAAATTTGTTGAAACCCGAATATGATCGCAATAAGGCATTAACGGTGTGAAAGCCGTGTACACGTTTTTTATTCTTAGGAATATTATTAATGTCTCATCGTTTTAGAACATTGTTGCTTATTTTGGAATTTTATAGACATACATACATGTGATGAATAATATTAGGTTTTTGTAGTATATTATATGGAAAATTCATGTACATTGGAGGTCGAATATGCTTTACAAACTTTGCAAAGAATAAAAAAAGATCGAACAAAAATATTAACCAATTAAATTACTATACGTATACTTAAGAAATATATTCTTGGTTATCTTTTATAGTTTTTATACATTCAGGCTGATGTGTAAATAGATTCTCTCACAGAAAAGTTTTCCTTTTGCACTAACATAACTATATTAATTTATACTCCTTTTATTCAAAAATAATATTTACTTTCGATTATAGCTTTTGGTTGTGGATTAAAAATTATTATAGTCACAACAGCAACGAATTTAGTCCCGGACAAAAATATCCATATGTTTCTTGGTTTAAAAGGTCATGGTTTACCAGTAGAAGGATGTTTTCTTCTCTTCATAACATCAAGACTTTTGTTTTGAGAATTTTTATTTTATATCTGTAGAACTATATATAGACGTTCTATTTTATTTTGGGTGTGACTGGTGAAAGTAAAAGTAGAATTGAGAAGAAAAAGGTAGAATTAAGAGGAGAGAGGAAAAGTTACTGTTAGAAGATAAATATTTCTACTTTAATTACGTAGAGGGGAGAATTCAACTACTTTTCTCTTGTTTTTCATTTTTCAGACTAATTCAGAAGAAAACTAAATTCTTGTTGACTGATAAATATTGGAAGAAACTGGAAGAAAAATAATTTTTTTCTTTTCTTTTCTTCTAGGAAGAGCAACCAGTCAGACCCTTTATATTTCTTATGAAATAATCGTCGAAAATCATGTGTCGTTAAGGGCTTGCTTCTCGGTGCTAGTTTTTAATACTTGTTGTCATGTTTAATTACATACATACAGTGATACAGACATGCAGAAAAGTAAACCGCTAATAATTAATGGTAGTTCGTAGTTTTACGCAAGGTTTTAAACTGAAGTTGGGCTGGAGTGTGGGTTGCCACACGCCAGAGCGTCTTGTCATTGGAGATGAAAACTGGGTGTCGTTTATATATATATATAAATACATTTATTCTCGTAGATAAAAGATGTGTTGATGCGTCTATCACTCTGTCAAACTCAATCTACAAAGTACAAGTTATACACGGTGTTGTGGCAGAAATTGAACATGACTTGAGAGCCAAATATGCAGAACAAATATATATATATATATATATATATATATATTCAAGTTTGAAAGTGAAAAGGGGGTTAATACGGTGTCGTGTCGCACCAGATAGTCCTGAAATTCATGATGATTTTCTTATCACTGACAACGTATAGCTTTTACAGTGGTCAAAGTATTGAATCAGGACCCCAACAAGGAAACAATCTTCAGCCCTACTTCCTACTCTTCTCCTCCTATGATATGTACAACACTTTTACCAAGTTATTAGTGTATAAGTAAATTAAATACCAAGATATTTATAGTCATAACTTTTAATACTATACGTACAAAACTACAAATCTACGCATGCGTGCAATTATGCGTCTTTTTTTTTTTTTTTTTTTTCACAATATGCGTCTTTGGATATAAGAATGATACTTAACGAATGGTATTACATGCGCATAATTTAAAAGAGAAGAATTTAAAGGAAGCAGCAGGAAATATATGTCCAGCCCCGACTTAGAAGGGTGGGGCGGAGGTTCGACTTTTTAGGGTTTTTTTTATATGTAAAAAAAGTCTAAATATTTTTTTAAAATATTATTAATATAAAATTATATTTCAAGAGTTCTAATTTTTTATAAGAAAATGTTTAAAAAGACCCAATATTTTTAAAATAACAATTTTCACTATAAAATATTCACAATTAAAAATTAAGTAAATTTTCTCTTTACATATAATAATATGTTAAAAAAAAAATTGTCGTAAAGCTCCCAAATATATTGGACCGGGGTCCGGGGCTGTATATATCATGCATGGGTCGAACGAGTTTGTATTAATTATCCACTAATTAATTAACCCTATTTTTTTATAACTTAATTTGTCGAATTAACTACTAGTATAAATTTATAATTAACACCATTCAAAAGCTCTGCCATGATCTTTTGGCCACGAGTATCTTTATAAGAAAACTAGTTGTCCATTCAATAGTTTTTATTTTCTTTATAAGTATATATATAATCAGTCCGACCGAGATATCGTTCTTTAGTCGAAAAGGGAATGATTGAGAGTCAACAACAAATAGTCTCACTTGCCATTAAATTCAACAATCATAAAAAGAAACGTAACTTAATAAAAAAAAAAATATGAGTATCCCCCCGGTACTCACCCAAAAAAAAAATCATTTAAAAAAAATTAATCTATTTCATGTTATTATTATAATAATCAGGTTTTAGTAACTCCAGTTTTTGTCAATTTCTCAATTAAGTTTCATAGTTGTAACGTCGCGTTGAACTATTTCTTGTGTTTTTCTCCGATCTAGTCAAACGTCCGATGACCCACCTAGACACCGACCCATATTACTCCTCATTGAATACTACAGCTTATAATTAAGTAGTAGCTAATATTGTTTGTTTTTCGACACTTATAATATTAGAGTATTTGTTTATAAACCATAATTTCCCCCGCTCATTTATCATTATTGTCATGAAAAATAAATTAGGGATATAAAGGCTTATAGTTTTGCATTGTTATTAATTGAATAAAGAGAGTTTGCATTGGTTACAGTAAGATGAGAGACGGTGAAATGCACGAGAAGGAAACAGAGAGAGTTAAGCAAATACGAAGTGGTACACTCTAAGAGCGGTGGTTATACGGATCCCATACGTCTCACGTGAAAGAACAAAGATAAAAATAAAATTGATTCTCTGCTACATCACTTTATACAATTTTGCTCGGTCCAAATATTTTTGGTTTTTTACATTTTAATTTATTTGATAAAACAGCTGTATAATAACTACGAGTTGTTGAAACTTGTGAATCAGTCTAACTTTAAATTTCTATAGCAAACAAAGTCTACAGATTCTGTTTAAAATGGAATACTCATTCGCTTATGCAATGTTTGATTAGCAATTACTCGTCTATCTAAATCTGGATAAAAACTAGTATTAAACGTGAATAAAAATAAATAATGAGCTCACTGCAAAATTGACCCAAAAAAAAACAATAGACTATAACACATTTGTTTCCTTAATTTATAGAAGAGTGTTGTTCAGCTATACTCCATTTGTATATAAGTATGGTTCATGATACTTTGTTTTGTTAAAAATGGTTTTGATACTTTTTATACAAAGTAAAAAATAGATATGCCACTATACCCCTTACAAAATTTAATTGACTTTTGGAATTTTATTCTATTGATTTGATTACATAAAAAGTTACACTGAACTTGACAAAAATTACTGCTAATTAAGAATTTTATTTTGGAATATTGAAATAGATAAAAGTATTAAGAGGGAGACAAGTGGTGTCTACATAGGGAATAATAAATGGAATATGTAAATCTAACTTAGATATATTAACCACAAAAAAATAAAAAAAAAGAGGGGGAAAAGTTCAATTATTTGAAGGAAAAAAAAAAGTGAGTCTAGTCTGGGAGTGGAGTGTGTCTATAAAAGAGAGATGTGAGGGACGAAGCTCGCTCCACTTTTTCTTCATCTCTTTTTGTCTCACAATCTCTCTCTCTCTCTCTCTCTCTCTCGGTGTTCTTTCACTCGCAAATCGCAATGGATTCGTTTGATATCGATAACGTGAAAGCAGAGAAAGCCAAGGCGTTGCGGCGTTTCAACCGCTTCCGGCGGATCGGCCGTTTCTTCCGTGCGGCGGAGGTTTGCGTCGCTCTCCTCTTCATCTTTTGGACATTAACAAGACTTCCTTTCGCCGTTCAAATCTCAAGAGTTTTTCTCCGCCGTATCGCCGCCGTCATCTCGACTCCTCTGTTCGTCTTCCTCCTCGGGAACTCCATCGTCGTTGTTCTTCTCACCAAGTCTTCCGATCGGACAACAACCACCGCCGCCGCAAGCGCAGAAACCGAAATCTACCAGGCGTTCGTCAGATCTGTAGAGAATCGATCCAAGCCGTCCGATGAAGATTTGACGGAGGAGATTGTCTACGACGACAAACAGGTGATCGTCACTGATTTGAATTCAAATCCGAATCTAATGGTGGATGAGAATATTCCTGACGTCGAGATTGATTCTGATTCGAGTCCCGACCATCCAAGGAAGGTCGTCTATGGAAGAAGCAAATCAGACGTTTCTGGAAAACAGAGTCCAGAAGCAAAGGTGATGATGATGATGATGATGAAACGTTCTCTTCAGAGATCGGAGACAGAGAAGTGTTGCAGAGAAACTGAGAACGATGACCTTGAGGAGGAAGAGAAGAACTATCCAGAGGATAATCTGAGCAACGAAGAGTTTCAGAAAACGATCGAAGCTTTCATAGCCAAACAGAGGATGTTTCGTCGTCAAGAACCTTTAGCCGTCGTTGTCCATCACAAACCCTAAATATCTTCTATCTATATATTAAAAGGCATCACATTCTAATATAATCGAATAAAGCAACAAACAAACACAGTTTTGTGAAATTACTTAACCATATGGAATCTTTGTCTTTTTATAAAAAATATTCCATGTATAATTATCATCTCTATGTACAGTCATTTTAGTTGCTTATGTATTAAGAAATATTACATGTAATCTACTTGTCTCAAGCGAGTGTCACTTCCTCAATTCTAATGATACAGACTTAGAGTAGAAATGTTGTCTCGCCACACTGAAAATTATGATCCACTACCAAACTTTATAAGTTTTAGTGTTATCCAAGAAACAATCGATTTAGGTCTGTCTTTTTTGTCTTGCCATAATAAGATCTTTAACAAAAGTAAAAATATCAATAGCATCTATAAACAAATAGCTATCAACATATAGAAGACAATCCAGACAATTTAACCTAGAATCCCCAAATCATTCAAAAACTCGGTTTCAAACTTCTTAACTAAACACGAGCCAATCACTTTGTCAATTATATTTGTATGCCTATTTAATGTAGTAGTTTTTTTTTTATCTTACTGTATCTTTTCTATATGGTCGATGACAAAAATCCTGATATAAAAAAAAAACATATATAGTCATCTTTCTTCAGTTTCGCTCATAATGGCGTTTTGGACTTTTACACCGACTAAGTCTCATGCCTGCAATAATTAACCATGCAAGAATGTACTCAGACTCATGGATTTCAAGCGTGGATATTTGTATTTAATTGTTTTTGTTTTTTGGACAGGAGTTATTTGTACACTAAATCTATAGATGAGATGCAATATTAAGAAGATAATTTATAAGCGTGTAGCAAATAATTCAAATACAAAGTAGACTGTAGGTAGTAGACATGCACACACCAATACACACGGTGTGGTTATATAAATGGAAAAACAAAACAAATATTATATAAATGAAATTGATTAAGGAATTAATAGTGAATGACTGAATGTTTATAATGGGATTGGAGACAATTGGAAAGAGAATGCTTAATTTATCACCAATACTTTAATTTGAAGGGAAGCTTCATTTCTAATGCTTCACGGGAATGATTGATGGTCTAGTAAGTCAGTCATCTCAATGATCTTGTAGCCTTCAATTATAAGATTAAAGTTATTCGAAAAAATCAATAAAGAAATAGTATTAATTTGCTGAAGCGGCCGTGTTTCTGATGGGTATTGGCACCAATCATAGTGTAATAATTTTGAATGGCAAAAAGCATAAAAATTAACTTTAATGCAGACACCCACGCATAAAAATTAAGAAGAAAAGTGACTTTGTTTTTCACTAAGTCCCGTAATCTCTGCTCAACCAAAATAAAAGTCGGTTCTTTTTTACCCTTCTTTTGACATTTATGGATTCTCTGATATTGAGCCGATCCATCTTTTGCATAATACTAGTACTAATATTTTAAAATTCTTATGGCGGACTCTTTGATTAGGAGCAATCATGATAGTTTCCACTTTCCACCACGAGGTCGAGCGGCTATTGCTATTGGTGTTGTTGGATTTGGCATTAAGCTCTTATTTCTAACACAACTCAGTGTAACATTTTGAGATATCGAAAAGAAATACAACGTATAAAGAATTTTACTAATTAGAATTTCAATCATTCATGAAAGTCTAACAAATGTTATCATTGGTACGTATGTTGGAAATATTTCTGTCATGATGGCTACAATTTTGATTATTTTGTTAAAACTGTTATTTTAAGATATAGTCTTAAATTTTATTTTCATCTTGATATTATAACGAAATAAATTTGACTCGCCAATGCATACTTTTTCTTCACTTGAGTTTTTTTTCCCAGCTTTTCTCAAGTTTAAGATATATATAATTAGCTTAAACTATACAGACATGACATGTATTAGTATTAATTTATAGCCTTTACCATGGACGACAACGCATGGGAGAAAAAAGGTCAGATAAAGATGTTGACGTAAATTATATATCATACACACAAATTTTCATATCTATGGATTTTTTTTTTGACAGCCATATCTATGGATTATGTCGTTTGCAATATTATTAATCTTTAACGGTCGACCGAAATGATATAATGCTTATACCAAATATCCATTTAGGGTAGTCTTACTTGCTTCCCTAATTTTCAGTATCATCACCTATACATATGCAATGCAACGTGTTTAAACGCCAGCGTGCCTCCAATCGGACCCTGCCCACACTTTTTGTGTTTCCCTAGCTAGCGTTCGATTATTTATGTGCCTATGGATAAACAAAATTAATTAACTGTATCAATAAAAAAAAAATGAGTTCCCACTTAGAGCTGAGCATCTATGTGCTTCATAGAGGATTAAAAGTTTTTATTTTATTTTATTTTTGTTAAAAACATAAAAAGACAATAAATTGATTGGACATGACATAGATAGAGTACTCTCGACTTTTTGTTTCATTAATTTTTATACCTTGACTAAGCTTAGTCTCGCATAATTGACGTTGACAACTTGTTACATGTAATATAAACCTATAAAGTATATGATGTTAAACAACTTTGAAAATTAAGAGCTACATTCAGATGGTTATTGGGTTCCACTAAACCATTAAAGGTGAGTGAATCAAAGGTGGACTCTTTCAACATACCGTTTTATGATCCGAGCAACAGAGAAGTGATGGAGATGATTCGAAATGAAGGCTCCTTTGAGATCAATGGCTTGGAGATTCATGGATTTTGAGCTTGGCCTAAGCAACCATGATGAGGACTACATGTTACAATCACAAATACCTAAAGCATGGCAAAAGGCAGCCAGCGGTCAGCGAATCAATGCTGACTTCGGAGTTGACATTATGGACGCATTGTTTAACAAATTTGCATACGATGTGTCACAACATGCTATAGCTGCACGAACAAAACGACTGTTACTCTAGTCGTTTCTTTGAGACGAAAGTAATTTGTCAATATAGATTTATTTACATATCATTTCGAGACGTTAGATGTTTTGTGTATGTAGCAAAAATGAAACGTAAAAAAAAATTAAAAACAATGAAGTCATTTTGTGATACATAAAATCTAGGGAATTTCCTTAAATAAATATACCTCAAGGGTCACAGAGCCGGTCCGGAGGGCAAGCAAGTGAAGCCATCGCTTAGGGTCTCACATTATAAAATAATTTTTTTGGGAGAATTTTTTTTTTTACATTAACAAAAAGGCCTAAATTTTTAGTTATGCGTAGGGTATCAAAGAAAATTTTGAAACTTTAGACCGGCCCTGAAGGGTCGTTTTACAATAAAGAAAATTATAGGGTATTTTATGTAAGAAACAGAAGTTAAGGATACTAGAGCTTATCAGCAATAAACAAAAATAGTGGGAACTTTTTGTAATAAAACAAAAACGTTTAGGCAAATTTGCAATAAAACAAATTTAGACGGCAAATTACCGGGAACGTAAACCAACCGACAATAAGAAGAGGTGAGTCAACTTACTAGTAATTGCTTGCTACTACGATTTTGATTCAAAATCCAACAAACAACATCGCATAGAAATCAGACGGCAGTGTTGTGTTGTGTTGTGTTGGATCGGAGGATTTTGATCTGTGGAGACAGAAGAAGATGCAAGGCGAAACTTATCGAGTCTTCTGTGTCGGAACCGTCGATACCAAGCTTGATGAGCTACGATTCCTTGCTGGATCAGTGCGATCAAATATTGGCGCATTCTCCAAAAACTCATCTTCCAAGGTAATATTAGTTCCGGCGCAGACCTCAACTTTATGAAATTAGTTGATTGTTCAAGGTCAATTAGCATCACTCGAATGGGAATGTCGGTCTAGAGTAATTTTGGGTGGTTTTTCTGGAGAATGAGCTATTGTTTGTCTTTGTTTTGGAGATTTGGGAGATCGGAAATGGTTTATGTTTCTGAGCCGTTTTATTGGAACAACAGGTCGAGGTTGTGATTGTGGATGTTTCGGCGGGTGCTGATCAGAATCAGATCGACAATGTTGCTGACTTTGCGTTTGTAACAAGAGAAGAAGTTCTCTCATTCTATTTTGGATCGAACCAGGAGAAAAAGCCGGTGAAGCTTCCCGATGATAGAGGCGAGGCAGTTGCCATCATGAGCAAATGTCTTGAGAATTTTCTTAGGCAAGCGTTTGAGGATAATTCTCTTGCTGGGGCTATAGGCCTTGGCGGAAGCGGAGGAACATCGCTTATAGCATCCGCTTTTAGGTCTCTCCCCATTGGGATTCCTAAGGTCATTGTATCCACTGTGGCCAGTGGTCTAACCGAACCTTATGTTGGGACCTCAGATTTGGTTTTGATTCCTTCTGTAGTAGATGTTTGTGGTATCAACAGTGTTAGCAGGGTGGTCTTTTCAAATGCTGGGGCTTCTTTTGCGGGTATGGTAGTCGGGAGGCTTGAGGTGTTTAAAAGCTCCTCAAGCGATTACGGGAAATGTACTGTGGGCATAACTATGTTTGGAGTGACAACTCCATGTGTAAATGCAGTCCAGGAGATATTAACAAGAGAAGGTTATGAGACACTAGTGTTTCATGCCACAGGTGTCGGTGGCAGAGCATTGGAATCTTTGATTAAAGAAGGATTCATACAGGTTTCTCATTTTCTCTCCATTTAGCTGAGATTTGTTAAATTCTAGCAATAATTAACTTGGCTTTATGATTTATGTAGTTGGTCCTAATTTTTTGGTTGTGGTGTTGGTTACATTTTAATGAATCCTCTACCTGTTCTTTCCTTAGGGAGTAATGGATATTACAACAACCGAGGTTGCCGACCATGTCGTTGGAGGGGTGATGGCATGCGATAGTTCCCGTTTTGATATTACCATAGAAAAAGGAATACCGTTGGTTTTAAGTGTAGGGGCCTTAGATATGGTGAACTTTGGTGGTAAAGATACAATACCTTCTCATTTCCAAACGAGAAAGATTCATGTTCACAATGAACAGGTGAGGAATTGTTACAAAAACGTTACAATGTTATGTTGTCTTTACTAGTGGCATCTGTTTGAGTGGTCTGTTAATGACAGGTTTCTCTCATCCGAACAACAGCAGAAGAAAATAAAAAGTTTGCAAGGTTTATAGCAGATAAACTGAACAAATCAACATCAAAAGTTAGGGTTTGCCTTCCAGAGAAGGGTGTATCTGCACTGGATGCTCCAGGGAAGCCTTTCTGTGATCCAGAAGCTACCGGTGCTCTCATAAATGAATTGCAGACGCTCATTCAAACAAATGAAGACAGACAGGTATTTCCTTACTTCCGTGCACTACTCGCGTTTTGTTTTGCTTCATCTACTTTTAGGTATTGAAATGTTGTGTTATTTGACAGGTCAATATATATTCACACCACATCAATGACCCTGAGTTTGCAGAGGCATTGGCTGCTTCATTTCTTGAGATTTGTCCAAATACCTATGCACAAATCAAACCCTCTGAAACGGCTTCGACTAAGCCTAGTACTAGAGAGCATGATGATGGGCATGTGTCTCAGGTGAGGTCGAGGCCTGAAAGGATTCCATACAGCCCTACAGATTTTCCCAATGCAAAACCAGGTTTCTTTTGTCCTTCCTACTCATAATGATCAGTAAATTAACGACCAGATCAATTGGTAGTTCTAGTGATTTTGATACGGAGCTTGCATGTTGGAATTAGAAAACTTACTTATCATCACTTGCTCCAGAAACCTTGGAACGAACTCAGACCATTCTGGGAAGGCTGAGAGATCAAATAGAGAAGGGAATACCAATAATTGGGGGAGGTGCTGGTACGGGAATATCTGCAAAGTTTGAGGAAGCTGGTGGGATCGATTTGATAGTGATATACAACTCTGGACGTTTTCGGATGGCTGGAAGAGGATCTTTAGCTGGCTTACTTCCATTTGCTGATGCCAATGCAGTCGTGCTTGAAATGGCAAATGAAGTTTTGCCCGTCAGTTTCTTAATTCATTCCCACTATACCCAAGAAACTTGCATCTCTTTCAGTTGCTTCTGTTAGTTATTCATGCATTTTCTTTCTAAAACCTGTCTTCCATATGTCAAAATTTTAACTTGCAGGTGGTGAAGGCGGTGCCTGTTCTGGCTGGGGTGTGCGCAACAGATCCATTTCGACGTATGGACTATTTCCTAAAGCAGTTGGAGTCCATTGGGTTCGTTGGTGTCCAGAACTTTCCAACTGTTGGTCTCTTTGATGGTAATTTTAGACAAAATCTTGAGGAGACAGGAATGGGATATGAGTAAGCTACAAAAGGCAGCCCTTTTCAAGAATCATTTTTGTATATGGATTGTTAAATTTCCACTTAAGCTTGTTCGATATTGCAGTCTCGAAGTTAAAATGATCTCAGAAGCGCATAAGATGGGGCTGTTGACCACTCCATATGCTTTCAACCCGAAAGAAGGAGAAGAAATGGCAAAAGCGGGAGCTGATATTATAGTAGCCCACATGGGTCTAACAACATCCGGAAATATTGGGGCGAAAACTGCAGTCTCAGTGGAAGAAAGCGTTGTTCGTGTACAAGCTATTGCAGATGCTGCTCGTAGATTCAACCCAGACATCATCGTCCTCTGCCACGGAGGTATGATAACTTATACAATCCAACATTCACTGTTTGATATAAGTTTTGTCATAGTAAGCTTTTTGTATGTAGGTCCGATATCGGGTCCAGAAGAGGCAGAGTTTGTGTTGAAGAGAACACAGGGTTGTGTCCATGGCTTTTATGGAGCATCAAGCATGGAAAGGCTACCTGTAGAACAAGCTATAACAAGCACTGTTCAAAAATACAAGTCCATAGCGATCAAGTGAAGTCAAAGTAATAAGTTCACTTGTAAACCTTTATCTTTGGTGTTTCTTGTATATGGCATGTGTTGTGGCCTGTGGGTGTGGATGTTTCCTTTTGTTGAATGGCTTTCTTTTATGGTTTTTTTCTGGTCATCTTTGATTGCCTCTGCAGAATCTTATATGATCTCTAGTTCTGTATTACACGTTTTTTATTTTTATTTAATAAAGTTCATAGTTCTTTCATTCTTTTTTTTGGTAGGCATAGTTCTTTCATTCTTTGACTGCAAAATCAGTAACACCTACTTTTATCTTATTACCATTTACTTAATTTGCTTTTATCTTGCATGATTGCTAATTTTCTAATTTCTTTCTCAACTCTTATCATTTTTTTCTAATCTTGTCATTCACTTAATGACATTTGTTTATATGGTGGAACGAACTTTCCCAATATAAAGACTTATAGAAGCATAAGATTCACAACCCAAACAATTAAAACAGAGCAGCGGTGAAAACAAAATACAAAAAGGCTCGAAGATCTACCATGAGAAGAGCTTCGAGATCAATCTGAATCAGAGTTGACATTCGCTGAAGACCTAACGGACCGACGTATGCTTTCTTGATACTCGTAATCTTCCTCATCTTCCTCTTTTCTCTTCTCGCTAAGCATTCCTGCGAAAACAAAAGATATTGATTCAATGACCAAAGCTGTAAACTATGAGTAGCAAAAGCGCAGAATGTGAGAGACTGGCTCTACCTTTCTTGACCAGAAGGTTCTCCAGCTTCGTCGTGGAGAAATCGTCCTTGGCACCTAGATCCTGAAACCCGACAAGCCTATCCATCGCGATTCCCTTGCTGAAGAATAATGGTTTCAACATTCGTGTTTTCGTTAGTTTAAACACAAAAAGACCTAATTGCGCTAAGGAAAGAATGAGGGAAAATGAAGGAGTGACCTAAAAAGGATAACACAAGGCAAAGTCTTGATTGCAAGCTTGGTGACGAAGAAGGGAGCATTCTACATTAATTGTCTCCCAAGTATTAGAAGACGGCAAAATGGAGTTCTAAAGAAGAGTTAATGAAGTGGATAACTGACCTCAGCGTCCATCTTAATGAACTTTGTGTCCACATGTCTAGGAGCAAGGGTCTTCAAATGCTTGTCCATAATCCTACAATGTTGGTGAATATTCACATATCAAAAAAAAAAAAGGTGATGGGAGTGAGAGAAGGGTATATCATCGTACTTGCAGCGATAGAATTCCTTGTGGTAGAAGTGACATATGACTTTGTCACTCCTTGTGACTTCTCCCAAGAAGTCGCCTTCGCTAACTTCTCGGTATTCACCATGTCCTTGCCTTTTGAAAGCTTCTCTCTTTTCCACTTCTCTCTGTCCAGACACATCTTTGGGGTTAGATCATAGTCCATACAAATGAAGTCGAAAGTGTCAACCAAATATGGAGAGAATGTGGATACTGAAGTTGTTGAACCTTGAGTGCTGCAATCCTATCTGCGTGCAACTTTTCTAGCTCTGGATCCTACAGAACATGAGAAAGTCAGTATCCCATAGAGACAGAAGAGAAGCATATAAAAGAAGGATTCAAAGAGAGGGCACATTGCAGTGCACTTACATCCATCAAATCGTCAAGATCAACCTCCTCGTTGACAGGTCTTGATCCTTGCGCCTTCTCATTTGCGAGAACTTCCTGCACCACCAATAATAAATAGTAGGAAATGTTTTGATCCAAGGACACCAAATTCCACCCAGAGTAGACAGAAATAGAATCTAGCCTATCATATGTTCTAGATTCATCTCCACCTCTGTTAATTGGGTTACCAAACAACATGAGATTCTGTGGAAAACCCAGCACATACTATTGTTTTCTATTGAAATCAAGATCCAAGAAGAATCTATGGAGAACAGCTTCATCTACAGAAGAAGAAGAGGATTAATTTACCTTTTTATAATCTCGAGCAGCTGCCGCCAATACATTCCCGAATGCCAGATTCGAAAGGGTCGACTTCACCGCATCCGGATCCATCTTTAACAATCAACCCTCACAAAGAGTTTCTAATCCTAATCGAAAATCCTTCTGAGAAGAGCTTGTTTTGAAATCTGGTGCAGAGAAAAACTCTCTGACAAGTGAAAACAAAAGGAAAGACGAACAACACCTATGATCTAAACGCGGCGTTTGGTTTTAGTCCTGGAGTAAACTTTGTTGGGCCTTGGTTTTAGTCCACGGGCTTATTTGTAAGTGATTCTTCGGCCCAACAAGGAGCCCAAATTTCTCAGACCCAGCCAACAATTTACCCAATCGACGATATACGAAATCATTAACACGACGCATCGTTTTCGAAGAGAAGATATTTTACGTGTCCTAGTGTTGTTAATACCGACACAAAGAAAAGGACAGATATTTTGCTTTCCACCTCTCCCTGTCATGGGATTGATATGAACACGTACTTGGTATCGACGTCGACGTGAAAGCTCAGAAATAAATCTAATCCGATTTTCTTTCGAGATAAACAGTTCGGTTTATTTACAGACACGTATGTCCAAGCACCACGCCGACATTTTCTACTGCTGCCACGCGTCACTTTCCAAATTATGATCCAATATTTTATATAGTTGATCCATATCCGAAACCGGACTATAAAAGTACCCTCCATGCGTTAACGAATCTTCATCGATCAAACTCATCAAAGTCTAATATCACAAAGAAAGAGTTTAATATTCTATAGCTTAGCTCAAAGTGTTTGCTTAAGAGAAGAAGAAGAAGAAGAAGATGGCGTCTTACCAGAACCGTCAAGGAGGTCAGGCCACTGACGAGTACGGAAACCCGATCCAGCAGAGGGACGAGTACGGAAACCCGATCCAGCAGAGGGACGAGTACGGAAACCCGATGGGAGGAGGAGGAGGTTATGGAACTGGTGGCCAAGGATACGGTACCGGGACCGGGACTGAAGCCTTTGGAACTGGCGTAGGAGCTAGGCACCACGGCCAAGAGCAACTCCACAAGGAAAGTGGTGGTGGCTTGGGAGGAATGCTTCACCGCTCCGGATCTGGATCCAGCTCTAGCTCGGTACGTATCAAAGTGTATAAACAAGATATAATTATGATGTATAAATTAATTAGTATGTGAGGTGTAGTTCTAATGTTTTATATATAATAGGAGGATGATGGACAAGGAGGGAGGAGGAAGAAGGGAATAACACAAAAGATTAAGGAGAAGTTGCCAGGTCATCATGATCAGTCGTCTGGTCAAGTTCAAGGGATGGGCGGCATGGGAACCGGATATGACGCTGGTGGCTACGGCGGTGAGCGCCACGAGAAGAAGGGGATGATGGACAAGATCAAGGATAAGCTTCCCGGTGGTGGTGGCCGTTAAGCTTCAAACAAACAAACGTCTATACATATTAAATAAAAATAAGGAGGGTGTATAACGCAGTCGCATTTGGTCGTTGTATGTGTGCTTTTTATGTATGTACGTCATGCGATGTGTTGTTGGTTTATATGAGTGTGTGAGACAGGAGTGTGTAATGAGCATCTGGCTCTTTTTATGTTCTGAGATGTTTGTATTATGTAATTTCATATCTATAAATTTACTTTTCTTCTACTTAATTGTGTACTTGTTACACTTCTCAGTTCTCATTCAATTTGAACACACAACAATTAGGGTAGAGTTTAGACATGGTAAAAGCAAGGGGAGAACTTCTCTTCTAGCCTCTTAAATATATTATTTTAATAATTTTTATGTAAATTTTGTTTGTATTTAAAGTATAAATAAAATAATTTATATATATAATGAGAGAGTTTCTCTCCTCTTAGGGTGTCCACATCATCACCACATTAATATTATAGATTCCACCAACAATTATTTCAAAATATTTAATTTTATGGTTAATAAATAATCATCAATTAATGCATAATTTTAAAATAAAACATTAAAAACTATCATTTTAAGAATAATAAGAAAACCTTAAATATAATTTAGGATGAACAAAAGAATTGAATTGAAATGGAAAGCTATAAGAATTTTTTTTTTTTTTTAATAATAAGAAGATATTCATATTTTATGGAAATATTAACTTAAATAGATAATAATAAAATAGAAGAAATTCATTTAAAATAATAATATTTTTAGATTAAAAAAATAAATGGTTAAATGTTATAGTAAATGTATGTTTGTATAAGTTTTTAAAGATAAAAGAAATAATTTATATTTAAAATTATATTTCGAGAGAGTAATAGTATAGATTCACATTGACGAAAAAAATAGAAAGATTCAATGTATCTTAATATTAAATTAGAGTAAAATATAAGAATAAAAACAATACAATTATATCTACATTATTTCGAGATAGTAATAGTATAGATTCACATTGATGAAAAAAAATAGAAAGATTCATTGTATCTAAATATTAAATTAGAGTAAAATATAAGAATAAAAATAATATAATTATATCTACATTATTGTTTGCTTTCTAAATAAAAATTAAATATGTTTAAATATAGGTAAAAATCTAAATAAGTACTATTGAGAAAATTATAACAAATATATATCTTTCGTAAAATTACATTACACTGAAGCACGAAAACCATATAACTGATAAACGAAAGATAAACTAAGAAGATGAAAATGAGAAAATAGTTTTGAGTTAAGAATCAATTTAAAGTTTTATTATATGTAAGTGAGCATAGAAGATAATAGAAGAGTAGATGTTGGAAAGCGAACAAATGCATCATAGAAGATGACGAAAAAATGTTTGAAGATCCTGAAGCATCAGATATATGTATGCACATGACTAAACGAAATTCATCGGATATATGTATGCACTATAGATAATTTGGTTTAGTAAACCAGACTATCATATTCAACATCGGGCTAAATCGTCGAACCATGTAAGCATAGTAGGATAGATAAGATAAAGACATTTATGATTTGGTCAAAACTTTCCTTTAGGTATTATGGTCTTGCTTCAATAGATAAATTATGCTCTCCAAACCTATTGAAGTGGCATGAATATTACGTTTATATATTTTCATAGATTGATGTTCAAACTTAGCAAATTTACTTTTAGTACGAGGTACGATAGGTCAAAACATCAAGAAAAATATACTTACAAGATTTGTTTATGGAAATAACTCTATTTTTGATAAAGTCCATTGATAACTACCGAGACCGATTCATCTTATATAATTTTTATTATTACGTGGTACCTACCAAATATATTTTATAATTTCTATGTTGTATATTGTTTCGTAAAACAAGTATAAATATATAGAGTTTTTGAAATTCAAACGATTATGATTAGTTTTAACATTTTGTATTGTAACCCGTTGAAATTTGGTATCCCGCGCAACGCGCGGGCGAGTAAATCTAGTATCTCAAATGAGAGATTTATTTTATTCTTTTTTTATTTTTTTTATTATTTTATACTTTTTTGTGGGTGAGAGATTCATTGAGAGACTTTCACTAAACATATTCTTAGATTGGATTAGGCCTGTTTTCGAACTCAGTGTTTACCCACTGTATTGGGCTTTACCTTAAGCCGAATTATAATTTGATATTTGGGCCTATGAAATATTGAAGAGTTGTAATCATTCTTTGTTTACAGAACGTAGGTAAAGACGTGTGAGAAAATGACCAAAAAGACATTAAAAAAGTCTAAATACATCGTCCGGTGATATTCTTTAAAATGACGACTTGCTCTTCTTTGTCATTTACTGCACGAAAAGAAGAGGAAATTAATAATAGTTGGTTTGGTTTTTGTGAGGGCCGGGAGAGCAGTTGAAGCTGTTTCTCAATGATTTTGTCATTATCTAACGTTTAATTATGTCTTTGGCGTACTCTGGCAACCGTATCTATTTGTTAAGCACACAATTAGTTTTGCTTGCAGAATAATTAGCATTATTTTGTTGACTATTTGGTCAGTGGTCAACCAAGTAAAACCCTATTGATGTAATTGATGATTTGCGTAGCTTAGTCATCTTCAGGCTGATCTCTCAATTTAATAAATAAAAAGCCCCATAGAAACTTCTTCTCAGTGTGGTATAAATTGACTAATTAAAAGCAAAACTGTGTTTTAGATGTTTGCTAATGTATGGAACCAAAATCCCACACAACAATCAACAACACAAATAATATTGATATGAGGTGCATAAAGTGATCATACATGAGGAATATACAAACAAAAAAAAGTCTAACAAATCTTGTATTCATACCAATCCTCAAATATTAGCGTATCCATCTAATCCAATATATAGCTAAAATTAGTTACCAACTCCAACGTCTTTCTCAAATGTCCACAAAGTCTACTCTATAAATGAAACCCTTGGCAGCACACACAATCACCAAGTACAAGTAACCGAGTTATATACAACGAGTCATCAAGAGAAATAATCCCCAAAAAAAAAATGGCTAAGTCATTGAACATCCTTATTGCAGCTCTCTCTCTGATTGCATTTTCTCCTTTCTGTTTGTGTTCCAAAGCCTATGGAAGTGGCGGCTATCTCTTTCCTCAGTTCTACGACCACTCGTGTCCTAAAGCTCAAGAGATTGTTCAGTCCATTGTCGCTAAAGCATTCGAACATGATCCTCGCATGCCTGCCTCCTTGCTCAGACTCCATTTCCACGACTGTTTCGTCAAGGTCTCAAGCTCTGCAAAACTTTCTTAACGTTTAAAAACGTGCGGAAATTTCCAATCCTAATATATTTATCTCGTTGTGATACCAGGGATGTGATGCTTCCATACTATTGGACAGCAGTGGAACCATAATCAGCGAGAAACGATCAAACCCTAACCGAAACTCAGCCCGAGGTTTCGAACTCATCGAGGAAATCAAACATGCCTTAGAGCAAGAGTGTCCTGAAACAGTTTCTTGCGCTGATATCTTGGCTCTTGCCGCTAGAGACTCAACTGTTATTGTAAGTCATCACAATTCACTACACAAAATTAGTTGATTATACAGTATCAATAATTTGACAAATGAAATAACAGACGGGTGGACCGAGCTGGGAAGTACCTCTAGGAAGGAGAGACTCGAGAGGAGCAAGTTTGAGTGGTTCCAACAATGACATTCCTGCTCCAAACAACACTTTTCAAACCATCCTCACAAAGTTCAAGCGTCAAGGCCTTGATCTCGTCGATCTTGTCTCCCTCTCTGGTATACATAACATTTGCAACAACTTATCTATCTTAGTAAACCAATTAATATATAAAAGCTCGTAATTTTAAGAAGCGTTTATATATATATATGATTTTTAGGAAGTCACACCATTGGAAATTCAAGGTGCACAAGTTTCCGGCAGAGGTTATACAACCAGTCCGGCAACGGAAAGCCTGATCTGACTCTTAGCCAATACTATGCGACCTTGTTGCGTCAACGATGTCCGAGATCCGGAGGTGACCAGAACCTCTTCTTCCTCGACTTCGCGACGCCGTTCAAGTTTGACAACCACTACTTCAAGAACCTGATCATGTACAAAGGTCTATTGAGCTCTGATGAGATTTTGTTCACGAAGAACAGAGAGTCCAAGGAGCTGGTGAAGCTATACGCGGAGAATCAAGGGGCCTTCTTCGAGCAGTTTGCTAAATCGATGGTGAAGATGGGAAATATCTCTCCGTTGACGGGCGCCAAGGGAGAGATCCGGCGCATCTGTAGGAGGGTTAACCATGCCTATTAATAAAATCTGCCTTTATAAGTACAATGTTTTAGTTTCATGCATTTGTTTTGCATGGACGCGTCATTGAGTTTTCAATTTCTTTTGGCTTTGTTTGTATGAATGTGTATTGTATGTTTACTAAAATCTGATTTTGTTTCGGAAAAGGACTATCTATATACTATTTTCTTTATTTTCAGACTCTAATTTTCAACATTGCAAATGTGCAACCAACATATCCTGCCGTTGGTGGTTGATGGACTAAAGTTTTTTCATTAAACGTTTTAAATAGTAAAAGTCTCCGGTTTTTAGAATTAGCTAAAAGTGTTGGGCTTTGGGTTTTTAGAATAAACCTCTGTTCTAAAAAGCGGTCTAGGCGGTCGCCTAGGCTCCGACTAGGCGCTAGGCTCTCATTCGACGCCTAGATAACCGCCTTGACCGCCTAAAATTACATAGATCTTGTTTAATGTATTTTTTCAATTTCAATTAGAGTTTTATTTATATATATATATATATATAGTTATAAATATTCATATATTGTTTAATATAAATATAAATAAATATTTTATCTAGTTTTTGTTTATAATTTCATAATTTTTAGTTTTATATTAATATTTTATATAACTTTTATATATAATATCATATTTATAATGTATTATGTTATAAACGTCTAAACCGCCTAAAAAATCGCCTAGGCCCCGATTAGGCGTTCTAGGCGCTAGGCACTGAGTCACCGCCCGCTTAGCGCCTAGCGCTTTCTTGAACACTGGAATAAACTAAAAGTATTGGGCCTCGGATAACTATCGAAACCTCTTCTGATTTGGGTTTTAGCTTCCAATTCAAAACGGCGCCGTTATGGAAGCACATCTTGAACGGGAAGAAAAACTCGGGAGTCGGAGATCGTACCGGAGGACGGCCAATCTTTCACCCTTTCGCTTCTTTTACTCGCCAGATGCTTCCGATTAGTTCTGCGAGCAATCGCGATTAGGCCGGATTGCACCTAAGGATTGTTGATGGCGGCGCCGTGGCAGTGGGAAAACGCCACCGCCGGCGCCGTCGCTGGATTCGCCACAGTAGCTGCTATGCACCCTCTTGATGTTGTTCGTACGAGATTCCAAGGTCTGATTTTTCACTCCTGAAACTGACTAAAAACTCGATTTTTAACTCATCAATTCGTTTACAGTTGCTTACTTCACTTGATTGAAACAGTCAACGACGGTAGAGGGTCAAGTCTCCCGACGTACAAGAACACTGCTCACGCTGTCTTCACCATTGCCCGTCTCGAGGTTTCCCCGAAGAATCTCTCTTTACTCTTTTTCTATTTACTTGTGTCACTTTTCTTGGCATCTTCCATATTTTCTTCTCTGTGCAATGTGGTTAGAACTCATCTCTGTGTTCCTATTTTGCATAATCAAGAAACATTTCTGGTTGATAGCTTCTGTGAGCTACCACCTTTTTTCTCCTCTCTCCTTTAGCTGATATAACTCATTTTGTATAAATCTTCCGTAGGGTTTGAGAGGACTTTATGCAGGCTTCTTCCCTGCAGTTATCGGTTCTACTGTTTCATGGGGATTATACTTCTTTTTGTGAGTGTTAGTTGTTTAGCACATATCTTGCATCATGATCTCTAATCAAACAAAGCTGTGATTCAACATGAAAAAAGTAAACAAAGGCTTTTCCTTTTTGTCTCACTTGCAGTTTTTTCTTAAGGGCCTTGTTGTTTTGATCTCTCCTCAACAAATACCTTTTAGGTTTTTTAGCCGTGGATCTTGTTTAATTGTTACATTATTTCTCTCTAGTTATGGAAGAGCCAAGCAGAGATACGCTAGAGGAAGGGACGATGAGAAACTCAGCCCCGGTCTTCACCTTGCTTCCGCTGCTGAAGCAGGGGCCTTGGTGAGTATAACAGATACCATAAAAAGCTCATTTCTCCTACGTTTTTTTCGATCTCAATCTCAAGCTTATGATGCTTTCAGGTCTGTTTATGCACAAATCCGATTTGGCTTGTGAAAACAAGGTTACAGCTCCAGACACCACTTTATCAAACCCAACAATACTCAGGGCTATTAGGTTTGCAATATGCTGCACAAGTTCAGTTTTCATTATCTCTAGTGTTTCATTCTAAATGTTTCTTTTGTGAACTTCAGATGCCTTTAGAACCATAGTGAAAGAGGAAGGACCCAGGGCGCTCTACAAGGGTATTGTCCCTGGTCTTGTTCTGGTTAGTGACTATCCTGATCTTTCTCTTGTAATGTTCGTTCGTAAAACTACCACAAGATCCACAGATTTGGAAGTATCAAAGATGGATATTAGTTGCTAAAAAGGTGGTTTACATTTTGGGTTCAGCAGGTTTCTCATGGTGCTATTCAGTTCACAGCATATGAGGAACTCCGTAAAATCATTGTGGATTGGAAAGAAAGGAGAAGAAAGTCCGAATCCGCTGACAATCTATTGGTACAGAGTTCTTCTTTTTAATAGCCTACATTGCGGTTATTGAGTTACATAGGAAGTATTAGGAACATTAATTTTAATCCCACGGCTGTTTCCAGCATCACGGATATACTATTCTAACACACTACATTGCATTTTTTCTTTAGAACTCAGCAGATTATGCTGCACTTGGCGGCTCCTCCAAAGTTGCTGCAGTTCTTCTTACGTATCCATTTCAGGTTATTCGAGCACGATTGCAGGTACATATCTTCGCTACATCTACCTTTGATCTTCTGCAATATTTGAGGATTTCATAAACAACATTCTTCTTTTCTTGTTCAGCAAAGACCTAGTACTAACGGAATTCCAAGATATATAGACAGCTTACATGTCATCAGAGAAACCGCGAGGTTAGGCCATATTCTTGGTCTCGATTATGTCTGTAAAAGATTATCTTTTGGTTAGTGTCACTGAGTAACACACTTTTGGTCTCTCTGCAGATATGAAGGTCTCAGAGGTTTCTACAGGGGACTAACGGCTAATCTTTTGAAAAATGTACCTGCGTCTTCCATCACATTCATCGTCTATGAAAACGTCCTGAAATTGCTAAAACAGCCTCCAACAAAAGATTAGATCCTTCTCTTATTTCTTAGACTCAACACGCGGTTGACTTCTTACGCCTAATGCAATAATATTATTCTTTGTTTATTCATTTTACGATATTAACTTTTACGGTCACAGCTAAAACCAATACCGATTCAACAACATTGAAGCAATCTGTTTGTTGTATTAGAAGAGACGGTAAATTTCCTAGCTTCAGCCCACAAAGCTATGGGCTTATAGTCTCCCTCAGCTATTAGGGCCCAACAATGGCTCATCTATCGAAAAAATACGCGAAATCAGGCGACGAAAGTAAAGGATCCGTTTCCAAAATCGACAGCATACAGAATTAAATGATAATTAATGAAAATATTATTATTTCACTATCTCGTAAATTTTGTGGTGATAATAAATATACACTCATGAAAAGATTACATGTAATACGTTTTGAATATTGTCTAAAGATATAGTTTCAAACTTTCATTATCCATATAGTTACTTCAGCTGTGATCATTTTGTCCGTGCCAAAGATCTGGATTAAAGTATGCCATATCAGGGATGAAAAGATTTTGAAATTAATGAAACCATTTCCTAATTCGATACTCTTTTGAAAAAAAACATTTATTAAGTATCCAGAGTCTTGAATCAAAAGTTTCAAAATATCCATATAAACTACGAGACGTCGATATCAATTTGCAAAACTTTTTATAGAGTAACATATTTTCCGGTGTTTCTACTTTCTAGCTTCCTCAAGTTCCAAAAGATTTATCAGAAATGTTTTCATCAAATAATCGTTCTACACAACTGGTTCGTTTTTCGCCATAACAGAAAAATAAAAAGAAAAAAAGACTAATACAACCATATTTTCTTGTTTCATTTTAACCGTTTTTTTTTTGTTTGGCAGACTTGTGGGTTTAAGGTGAACACGAACTCCCCAGAGTGGCATAAGAGCATGACAAGGATTCTAAAGAAGATCAAAGGTAGGTTTTGTTATCCTAAAATTTCATCAACTCATAGGTTTGCTAACCTAATTCTTACATTCGGGTTTTCTTGTGAATAAGGAGGGGATTTTTTGTTAGACGTGGACCAAGGACTAGCATACATTTCGGGTGAAGGAGACCCACACAAACTATTAAAACTAATGGGTTCGATAAAAGGCAAGGCAGCTGAAATGACGTTTGTGAAAACCGGTGGACGACAGCATCCACATTATCCTAATCTTCTTCATTACAACTCCAACTCCTATTACGGCCATCCACCATCTTACAACAGTTATTGGCCGAGTGATAATTGTTACTCTCGCCAGCATCCGCCGTATTATTCTCAGTCACTAGCAATGCAACCTTACCATCATCAATATCCATATCCAGGATATAGTAATTACGGTTATTATTAGGATTTTCAGCCGAGATCGAGCAAAACCTGTGTTTTAGGGTTTATTGCTTGTATCCGACGAAACATTTTATTTTCATTCGATTTGAATTTTCTCACTGCTATATTTTTGTATTAGCAGAGGGGAATCGAGGAAATTTTCTCAGATTTTGTCATCTTTTTTTACGTGTTTTCGTAAAAAGCCGGTCCCTCTTCTGAACTTTTAATTAATGAGAACAGACTTGGATTTGCATTTTACAGTGTATCTAATTTTAGTTTTTACTACAGATTTTATCATGGTTTCATTTCTGAATATTGATCCCTTAAATGATTTTATCATGGCGGGAATTTCTCACATTCCTAATTAAATATGATTTTGTTTAGCTGCCAAAGAAAAAATGTACTACGATTTAATTTGCATTAAGTAGCTTTTACTGTCATCTTCCAATTTGTAAGAAAAATAAATTCAAAGATTTCGACCAAAAGAATAAATCATTCAAGAAAACTTATCATGATTCGTGTAGATCCAGTGGTAATGATGTAATATCATGGAAAAAAACTCCAGCACGGTTAAACAAAGAAAGCACATGTAACAACTCACTATGAGAGAGCTTGGATGGTCTCTTCTCTTCGAACCCATTTGTTCTCAGAATTCCAATAACCCTTTCCTTGAACATACTTGCATCTGTATCCAAACACAACAAATCATCTTTCCCATCTCCATCTTCTTCAACATCACTGTCAGAATCACCACATGTCTGATTCATAACCCCAACTTTCGAACCGTTCCTCCCTGCAGACAAACTTAGCAACTCCATGACCTTTTTCTTCTGCCTAAACATAGAACCAAGCGTCTTGTTCTTCTTCCCGAAACACGTGCGAGTGAATGCCAGCCATTCTTGAACATTAACATCTGGTATTATCTCCTTTGGTGTAATCATAACTACAGATGAGTCGACTTTAGGAGGTGGAACAAACTCTCTTTTACTCACATCCATCACAAATTTAACATCAGCTACTAACTTAACGTTCACCGCCAATCTATTGAAATCGGAATCTCCTGGATTCGCCAGGAGCCGGCGGGAGAATTCCTTTTGAAGCAACAGAGTGGCGCTTCGAAAGGTGTTGGAGCCGTATACAAGCTTCGCCACAAGAGGGGAAGATATGTTGTAAGGAATATTAGCAACCACGAGATCAAACTGAGGGAAATCTGTCTTCAGAACATCTTTTTGAATAATCTAATATAGAATCCAACCAAAACGAAGAAGTGAAAAAAGAGGGTTAGTGAATGTTGTTCCCTAGTGTTCTCTTGGGCATTTCATCGAACAGTTTGTATGCGCTTAAAAGCTAATCTCCGAAAACAAATAATTCCGTACCCTTAAACCAATCCTAGTCAAATTATCAAAGGCAGTTCAATGAATTAGCTTACCGTAAGTTTATGAGCAAAACCATGGTCAGAAACCCTTTTGCGTAGAATCTCCACCATACGCTTATCTAACTCAACGGCTACGACATCCTGGGCAGCTTCAAGAAGCTTCATCGTGAGATTTCCAGTTCCAGGTCCGATCTCCAAGACTGTATCGGTCGGCCTGACATCGGAGCATCGGACAATGGCGTCGAGGATTCTGGTGTTGGTAAGAAGGTGTTGGCCTTTGCTCTTGCACAGAAACAACCCATCGTGTTCCTTCTTCTCCTCGATTCCCACATCCCTCTCGTACCCTCTTCTCCGGCGATCGTGCGAGTGAGAATCTCGTCGGGAAACTAAGGAAGATAAGTATGAGCGAGTTAAATTGATTTTGCCGGGCGTTTGGTTCTTCAATCGAAGAATCATCACTTTGCTTCAGTCACGAAATATATAACGCTGCTGCGTCCTTCTCTCCTTATGTTGCACGAATCGTAATCGGACCCAAAAGTGGCGTTTGAAAAACCTCGTGGCCCAGTTTTTATATGCTTTTCTAATATTGACTTTTCCTTTAGCCCAACTTCGACGAGGCCCAATTATTTTTATTTTCTTCACAATCTCAAATTAGCGTCGATGCTTAATCATCCAATTTGCGTACATTCCGTAGATTGATTGATTATAAAAAAAACTCCAAAGAAGAACAAAAAATGATGGTAAAAAATCAAAAAAGAAGAACGAAAAATGATGGTTATAGAATTCTGGACCACGCTAGTGGACTACATACTCAAATGGGAACGTGAAAGCCATGAAGTGGTCTAATTATTTGGATGAACATTAAAAGTATCAAAATTCATAAAATCTTATATTATCATGAGGAAAGAAAAGAAGAAAAAAAAAAAAAGCATGACGTTGCCAAGTTACTATTCTGGTCGGTGTAATTGCTCTCTCTTTTCTACATGATCGGACGGTATACATGCTTCCGTTTGTCCCTTCCATCCAAATTTTGATTTACTGTGAAAATATCTTTCAGTTGATTTTTTTCTTTATCACCATCTGTCAACACTATCTACTTTACAATACATCACCTCAGTCACACTCTTCTTTTTTCTTAATTAACTTCCTATGGTACTCATATGAAAGGGTTAAAACTTAAAACATTTGATTCGTTCAGCTTGTCTATTTATAAATAGACAATAAAATTAAGCAAAATAACCCAAACACAAAAAAATAATAATTAAAAATTAATATGTATATCAGATATACATACACAAGAAAAACGTCGCTATCCGATTCAGTTTCTTTTGGATATTTTTTTTCTTTCTTTTCTGATCGATATATGTGTTGAAATAAAGTAAATTAGCTTCAGAAGAACATGCTATAAATATAAAAGCTAGCCCTATAATTAAAGGGTTTGCAACTTCGCAATTAACAAGGTATACAATAATTGAGTAATTAGGAGAATTAGGCGTGAAAAAATAGTGTTCCTCTTTTTTTACAGCAGCCTCTATGGTATTAACTTTGATCCTACCCTTTGTTTCAACTTTCTAGTGTGGGGGAATTTCTATAACCCACGAGTGACGAGCCACGACCCGATCGATCAACTATATCTTGCCATTTAATGTTGATACCAAAAAAAAAAACTATATTTTGCCATTTTTCAACAGCAAAACTGTCTTGGTTGAGTTTTGTGAGTTTGTTGTGACTTGTGTAATTATTAAAGCTTGGTTTAGTGATGTTTTTGGAAAAGTAAGTCGAGTGGATTATATAAGTAGATTTTGTCGCATCCAGTAACTCTGTTGATACATCAGCTTAGAAAGAGTATACGCGACTCTGCATGTGCATGAGCATGACATTTGGAGGAACCATGACTCCACTTCTTCGGGACCCACATGAACCAAATCACTCTGTTATGTTTTTTTCTTTCTTTCCTTTTTTCAATGATGCAATCTTCTCTTGAGTAATGAGAAACATATAATCATTAATAAATAAATGTAAAGGGGGCCTGTGAAGGTGAAATGGGATCCATATGGAACACACCATTTATATAAAACAGATACTATAACACACCATTTAAAACAGATCCTATGTAACACATCATTTATATAAAGTATGTTTCTTAAAACAGATACTATGTAATATACTTATATTTTGTGAGACACACAGAGAAAATTTGTGGTGATTGACAGTCTTTATTTATTATTTTGTGAAGAGATACAGAATACACAGAACATAAATTACTATTGAGTACCCTACCAAACAAAAAAGAAAAAACTATTGAGTAAAAGAGGATGCAAGAAACTCTAAGCTCCGTTATTGGCTTTCGATAGAAAAGAAACATAACCCATCAAATCTTTTCTGTCCATATTTTTCAGCTTCAAAGTTGAAGAGAAAAAGAGAGATTAGTTAATTAACTACGCTTTTTCCTTTAAAGAAATAAAAAGAGTGTAGAGAATGGGTGAAAGTAAAAACCAAACCAGTGCGTACTTCTTTTGTAGTAAACACTCTTCTCTTTCTTCCTATGTAAGAAAAAGATATATTAAGAAGTGATTTTCTCTTCTTTGGTAATAATGTGTAATTGTGTACAAGTGATATTAAGAACCCAACAAACACTATGCTCCAAACTTACTTTTCTTTATTCTCTAGATTACGAGGTTCTTTCCATATTTCCTTGTTTTATTATTGCTCATGGGCATAATATACATTCTAAAACTCCAAAAGATGATACCGGATCAAGTATACTAGACGCGTTTGAAGTGCAGATACGTATATGGCAGAAAAAAGGTAGTGGAAACAATTTCAACGTTTTTTGAAAAATTGCTAGGACATGAAGCGGATGGAAGGTTAAATAGTTCAAAAAAATGTTAGGAACTTTATCTAATTTTTTAGTACTATAAATTATGACATTCGAAACCTAAAGAAAAGAAGAACACAGTGCTCGAGAAGACACTTTAAACCTTTTTTTTGGGGGAAAAAAAACTCTTCTGTCTGTACTAATTTCAAGATTCACACTCAAAAAGAAAATTTCATTATGCGAGTTTGTTGCTATTTGCAAAGATAATCGATGTTACCAATAAATTTGGAATTTATGGATTTGTAATTTAGCTATGTACAAGAATAAAATCCGAGAGAATGTCACTGTCCCTTTTGCCCACTCCCCCTTAATTTCTCGGTCCTAAATGATTGCATATATTCATCGAACTCTATCCCCTTTTCTTCTCCTCAATTTCATTCACTCATGGAGTAATACTTAACACTTGCGTTCAACAAAGTATACAACAAACCCTTACATACATAAACATTGTCATAACAAGAAAACCATTAAAACATCCAAATTGATTTCTGCAATTTACAGCTGCTAGATCAAATTTAAATTTGTTTTTTACATCCATTTCATAGATACATTAACATTGTTTACAATATGGTGAAGAGGTTGGATAGATGATTTTGCTATTTTTTGTTTTTTTTAATGTCGTCAACAGTAACGTTCATCCATTTCATGAATACATTTTTTCACAGCCTCACTTCCATTAAATGTATTTTGGTATTTCAACTAGAAAGTGACTATAGTACCCCTCTTCGCATTAGTCAACTATCTTTAGTCTGTATTTTGATATACTGAAGCAATTGAAACATGCATAATGCACTAGAAGTCTAGATCAGTCAGAAATTCGTCAAGATTTTTTTTGGATTAATTGGTAGATTAATTAAGATTCATGGGGTATACGGGACAATTGATATATCAGAGTATGTTTGTATACATAAATATTTTAATATTTTAAGTTCATTATTAAATTTTATAAATACTACTCTTCCGTTTCAAAATATAAGGTGTTTTGGATAAAAATTTTCGTTTCAAAATATGTCGTTTTCAAATTTCTATGCAAATTATATATTACTTTAATATTTTATGATTATTTTAGGGAAAATTCCAAAAAAAACTCCAACTAATTAATATTTACCAGAAAAAACCCATGTTTTTTTCGTTGGCTAAATAAAACCTCAACTAATTTTCTGGTTGCTAATAAAACCCGAACTATTTTTGGATTCCGAATTCCTCTCGTCTCTGTTACGGAAGTTAACGTCGTTAACGAAAATCCTAAACGCTGTTAGGTTAATAAACACGTGGTTAATAAAAGACGATTATACCCTCTCTTTGCAAACACACATAATCGAGCTTGAATCCCTAAACCCCCAAATCGAAAACAAATTAGGGTTAGGATTCTCCAGAATCCCAAATCGATTTGGGCGTTTTCGATGTCGACAGTCTGAATCGAGGCGTTTGTGTTTGAGAAGAGATACAAGAGCATTGGAGAAGATGAGGTATGCGTTTCGGTACTCGATTGTTAGGGTTTTGGTTTGAAATCGATTTGGGTTTCGGGTTGGGTTTCGAAATTGAGTGCGAGATGGGCTTGGGAACTCGATTTAGGGTTTGAATCGAGACTCGGGTAGTCGATTTAGAGTGGTTTTTTTGTTTTTTTTGTTTTTTCTGTAATCACCTAACTATGACTTTCTCTCTTAATGCAGTGACGTTATGAATGTGAAGATGCATTATGGTGGATATGGTTCTGTGAAAGAAGGTTTCTTCGATTACAGAGGAGGTTTAGTGAAGGAAGACATGATCTTGGACCCCGATTATGTCACGTGGTCCATCTTCGACGAGTTTTGTGAAGCAAATGGGATGTCTGGGTTGGTTGAGAAAGTATGGTATAAGCTTCGACATGAAGAAATTGGGTTAGCTAAGATTATCTATGAAGACAAAGACTCCCAGATTAGGCAGATGTGTATGGAAGTAATGACAGCAACACGAGAGGTTGACATATACATTCATCAAATGGGTTGTGGTGAACATGAAGAATCTGATGGTGAGGAACAAGTGGAGGCAGAAGCTGAAGCTAAAGGTGTTGAGGACAACGGTTGATGAATGTATATGTCAACCTCTCGTGTTGCTGTGTGTTTGCAAAGAGAGGGTATAATCGTCTTTTATTAACCATGTGTTTATTAACCTAACAGCGTTTAGGATTTTCGTTAACGACGTTAACCTCCGTAACAGAGACGAGAGGAATTCGGAATCCAAAAATAGTTCGGATTTTATTAGCAACCAGAAAATTAGTTGAGGTTTTATTTAGCCAACGAAAAAAACATGGGTTTTTTTCTGGCAAATATTAATTAGTTGGGGTTTTTTTGGGAATTTTCCCATTTAATAATACTTCCTCCGTTTCAAAATATAAGGCGTTTTAGCTAAAAACACGCTGATTAAGAAAATCTACTTTTTTAAAGTTCAGGCAATCATAAAAGATACTGCATAATATAAATAATCATAAAATATTAAAGTAATATATAATTTGCATAGAAACTTGAAAATGACTTATATTATGAAACAAAAAAGTTTCTCCAAAACAGCTTATATTTTGAAACGGAGGGAGTAGCATTTTACTAAACACAAATAAAAAAAAAAGGGAAGCGGCAGCGTGTTTTCCGGTAGAGAAAAGACGGAGAGAGTAAAAGCCGAAGTTTACAACGTGGCAACATATTGACCGCAGGATCTTCAACATGTGATGATCAACGGTGAGATATATCTTGTCCGAGAAGTGTTTTGTGATATTAATTGGTGTAAGGAAAATCTAGAAAACAAACAAAGAGAGAGAGAGAGAGAGGAGACAGAGAATTTAATAAGAGAGCAAGAAGAGTAGTATTATGGTGATGGCGGCGTTGCAGAGCGCGAGATAGAGAAAGAAACCTCTCTGAGATTGATCTCTCTCTCTCTCTCCCCCTCTTAAATACTCTCCATACCGACAAACCAACTTTTTTCAGTACCAAAAGAAACCTCTATTCGATTTCTAAAACAAACCCTAGAGACTACTCTACATTCTTCCATTAAGTTAATCTCTTTCGTCTTGTTCTTCATCCTCTCGGGGAGTGAGAGAGAGAGAGAGAAATTGGTAATTAAGATCAAAGAGAGAGAGAGAGAGAGATCTTTTCTTCTTCACTCTGAAAGTCAAGATCTTTGTCTACTAGACTAGAAGATATGTGGTAAAGCAAAGCCCTTCTTGAAATTGGTCATATATGGCTGGTGGTATCGGAAAATGGCAGGATTTTTCTCGCTAGAACAAGGCGGAGGACGAAACAGCCAAGACGAGCACAACCACCACAGAACCAACACTACTAATCCTTCTTCCTCGGGAACAGAATCTTGGCTTTGGTGCAGAAACCCTAACTCCAACGCTGACGGTGGAGAAGTTGCTCCTTCTTACAAAGGAACCCTTGAGCTATGGCAACATCCAAACAATCAAGAAATCATTTTCCAGCAGCAGCAGCAAGAAAGGCTGGATCTTTACACTTCCGCTGCGGGTTTAGGTGTTGGACCGAGCAACCGGAGCTTAATTGAAACTTCCGGCGGTGCGCTGATGATGATGAGGAGCAGTAGTGGCGGCGGCGGACCAAGCTGCCAGGATTGTGGAAATCAATCGAAGAAAGACTGCGCTCACATGAGATGTAGGACTTGCTGCAAGAGCCGAGGCCTTGAGTGTCCCACTCACGTGAAGAGCACGTGGGTTCCTGCCGCTAAACGCCGAGAACGCCAGCAGCAGCTTGCTTCCGGTCAACAACCGCAGTCGCAGCCGCAGGGTGAGAGCGTCCCTAAACGGCAGAGAGAGCATATCCAGGCGACAACGACTTCCCTGGTCTGCACTCGTATACCGACTAACAACACTTCAGGTATCTCATAATTTCTCTTTTAGCCTTCTTTTTTGGTTATCTTGGAATAATTTGAGTTGATTAGTTTCAATTGCTGAAACGGAAACCCTATTCTTGTTGATCAGCTTTTTTGTTCTCTCTTTTTTCGTTTCCGAGAAAGAAAAAAAAAAAAGTTAATGATTTTCTTCTTCTTTTTTATTTTATTTTTTATAATATGGAAATACTGTGTATGAGTAAAACTGACTCTTGGATTGACAGGAAGAAACTGTTCTCGCCGATCTTGATATTTGCATTTATATCTTGTAATTAATTATCAACTTTTTTTTTTGTTTTTTTTGTTAATGCTGTAGTATACTTAATTATTAACTTGACTTTAGACCAGAAACAAATAAATCATACGTAAGAAATGCTCCAACCTTATAATTAACCATGATTAACTGTTTTTTCCCACCTAGTGTTAGAGGTTGGGAACTTTCCGCCGGAAGTTCGGTCGCCGGCGGTTTTCCGGTGCGTGCGTGTGAGTTCCGTAGATGATGAAGAAGAAGAGTATGCATATAAAACAGCTGTGAGTATAGGTGGTCACGTCTTCAGAGGTATTCTCTACGATCAAGGCCCGGCCGAGAGAAGCTCCTCAGGCGGTGGATCTCAGCCGTTGAATCTCATAACCGCAGGCCCATCGGCCTCATCATCAAGCCCAAACGTGAGCTGCAACAATGGAGTCGTTGGCTCCACTTCAGATCATTATATCGATCCTGCCTCACTTAATTATCCTACTCCCATCAACACTTTCATGACTGGTACGCACTTCTTCTCCAACTCAAGATCTTGAATTCTACACTGAGAGTACAACAATTCATAACTTTTTTTAGATTCTTACCGTAGAATTAGGGTTTAAAAACATCTTGGGAGGAAGAGATTATAACGTGCTAATCTTTGTTGTCAAAAGTAATTTAACTAGAGATAATGTTCTATTAAAGTTCAATTGTTACCTGATCTTTGTATTGTTAAGTTCAAGTTTTGTGGTTATAATTTCAATTAACTTGATTGTAATATACCCCAATTTTCAACTTTTTAAAAAGTCAACGAACCTGTCTCTGTGAAATTAAGCTCACATCAAAAGCCTCGCAGCTGGCAGTTTTCAACTGTGATCGTTAAACTCAGCCTTGTTTTATTGTCAGCTTTTCACATTACTCTTTTTTTTTTTTGTTGACGTTTGATTAACCATTAATTAACCTTACAAATTACTCCTTTAGGTCATTTAATTGCAGATTTGATTAGCGTGTAGACTAGAAATATTAACGTCGTTTAGTACAAGTTTCTAATATTGGAATATGGGTCAAGACATGAATTGAGGTTTCTTGTGCATTTGGTCAATATATCAGACACACTAGCAAAGGTTACAGGTATATCATTCGACTGCGATATGCCGTTAGCCCTAATGTTAGTATAATGTCATTATTATTATGTGATGCTATCATTGCTATGATTGATATATAATGTCAGTACACTTACATTTGAAGAGAGACAGATACATATATGAGACGTCTTACTCTAATATAAAACCAAAGATTCGGTTTTACACTCTCATTCTCACTGCAACATCCGACTCTTTACATGAATGTTTTTTCTTATATATAGATATATATATCTTGATATCCAGTTTCTCCATATTTTTTTCTTCTATATAGTTTTGACATCGTATGTGTATTAGGATTCTTTTGTTAGAAAGAGAGTGTAAATTCTATTACAATTTATAAGTGAGTGGGATCGGAGGAACAGAAAAAGGTATAAAACTGGTCTGCGTCTTCATTTCTGCAGATGTTTATGTCTGGACCTAAAAGACTTGCTCTTCTTTCCCAATTCATTTCTTACGCTCTTTTTCATTATTAAATTTATACGTCACCTCAAAAATGATAACGATATGCAAAAAGGATATCGGAAAACGAGCTAACATTACACTAACTCATTCGGATTAATTATTTGTTAAGAAGAAACAAATGTCATGTGATGATGCATGGGGTTGCGAAGACTCTCAAAAAGATACACAAATCATGCATTATTATGTAATCTACATTTATATCATATTATAAATTAATTGGTCCCGTGAAACCTCAATCGGCTAAACCCACCTGATTTGTCCCCGAGATTTTTTTCCTCCGTACCAGCTCGCACCTTTTCTTCGAAATCTCACTTTTGAAAAACTTAAAATTACTTTTTTTTTTTTGCAGGTCAAGACTCAAGAGTCAAGAGTTTGATGTTGTTGCACGTAGAAAAGGATCATGAAGATGGATGGTGATAAAAGCAGCAACTTTAATATCAGAACGCAAGTGGGACCATGGGATTTTTTACTGTTTTAACCAATAAGTGAGTGACACGTCTGAGAGACAATTTGCAAATGCATCATTGCATTTCAAGGGGACAAAACAGAAGCCTCAGGTCCACAGCATCAAGCTTTCCAAACCGAATTTTTATTTTTAGTGTCGCAGCATAAAAGAGAACGCAATACTGTAGTTCCCATTAACCAAATGATGAAATAGCCCAAAACTAAGCCTTGCTGGTTCAAACAAAAGTACAAAGCCCTAGAGTTATGGGTCCTGTTTTTCCTTATCCATGAGGGATCACGACGACATCATATAACTAACTTTGGGCACATTCGATCACACCAAAAAAAAAAAAAAAAAAAACTTTGGGCACATTCGTCTCTGTTTCTGATCCACTCTCCTCTTCCCCTGTTTATCTTTCTCCATCTTCTCTTCTTCCGGAGACTGGAAAAAGATGGAATTGGGCAACTAAATCACTTTGTCGACGGATTCGATAGTATTTTAGTCTCTTGATGATAAGCATAAATCACAGCTCAGAGGAAAATAAAAAGGTCAGAGAAGAGAGTATCATGATCGATGTAAGCACTAGTTTATGCTATGTAATTATGCATCTTTCTAACTAGAACGTCCAATTTTTGCATATTATACGAATGGTCTTCTAGTTTCAGATTAACAAAGAAGCAGTTAATATGAACACCTAACGGTAGTGAGTTATCCCATCATATATGATAATATGAACATTTTCGTCTTCTTCCATACATTTAAAGTTAGTGAGAACCAATGATTTGGAACCTTTGCTAGCAGCAACAGCTGCACATTAACCCACCAACCTTGCTTCCTATAAGGCTATAATTACTTCTTCTATTCATGTCAACAACCAAGACTTTAAGTTTAGATTTTGACAAGTTTTTGGTCAAATGGGTACGTCACATTTGGGAGAAAATGAAAGAAATTGTAAAGTTTCTGTGTCAATTTATGACATGTGAATTGGTAAAATGTCAAGAAATCCAAATTCACGAGTTGTTCTGCTTTGGAATCTTAACAGAATCTAAAACTCATTTGACTCTGAGTTATGGTGGATGGTGATAGGGGCAACCACACCTCACTGTACAGATTTTGTCTTCACTACGCATATGTCTGATGGACCATCACACACATGATATAAATTTACATTATCTATTTGAATATCTCAATCTCTCTATACATAAATTCCTGTGTCTTTCAAGTTTCATGCGAAACAACCTCATCCAAGGAACGATCCCGGAAAGCTTCAAACTTTTAAACTCTCTCCAAGTAATCCGATCTTAGCCAGTGGCTCAATCCCATCATTCATTTTCACTCATCAGTCTCTGCAACAGCTAACACTCTCCTTCAATGGATTCTCCTCATTAGATTCACCCTATTAGTCTCCCTTGGGTCAGATCTAAGGCTCACTACCTCTGTTCATGGGTCTATCACCAAAGCTCTCAGCTCTGTCGTTAGAGAACAACAACTTCCTTGGTATGATTCCGACCGAGTACGTCTGGAAACTCGTATCTCCTGGATCCGAATTCGCCGGGTTTCAGACACTATTACTAGGCGGGAATTTCTTATTCGGAGTCGTACCGGGTCCTTTGATGGCGATGAAGCCTGGATCAGCGAACGTACAGCTAGCCGGAAACTGCTTCTCGTGGTGTCCGGCGACCTTATTTTTCTGTCAAGGGCAAGAACAGAGATCTCTCCTACGGAATGCAGAAAGTTTAGCCGCGTTATCCCTATGATCTTCTCTTTTCTTGTTTTACCCGATCGGCTCGACCATGCATATGCTTTGGGCCCAATTTGCAGGCTGGTGGCCCAGTTGATGATTATATCAGGTGAACAAAACCATCTCATCGAGCAATGAGAATTCTATATGCAGTTTCTTTAGGGTTTCTATTTTGGGCCATATTTATGGAGCCCATATGATACAATAAACCAAAGAGTAGGAAGAAAATGAAATTGAATGATAGATTCTCTGGGGTCTGCTGTCTTTAAAACGAAAATGGCGCCATCATTCATTCATTTTGGTTTATCACTCGTAGATGACAACCTCCTCTCTCTCGTCTCATATATTATTCTTAGTTTTCACTTTCGGTACGTCTTTTTATATAGTCTAGATTCCTCAAACTCGTTTCATATACAAAAGACATATAAAGATTTGCTTTTCTTTAATCTAAAAAATAAAATAGTAATGCAAGAAAGTTAGATAGTTTGAGAAGTCAGTCTACCCCGGTGTCAGTATGTGACAAAATTGAATAATTTTCCCGCGCCAGACCCAAAATGTGGGCGGCTCCAAAGTTTCAAATTTGATATTTATCCCCTTGCTTATATGTCTTTATGCATAAAACCAAACAATGGGCCGCTGTCAAAATCTATTTTTTCTATTTTTAAATTAACAAATCCGCGCTTCATATAATTGGTGGTACGGTCCATAGAAGAAAATGGGGGAGATGGCTAACAAATCTCGTGGGACTTCTTATACCTCCTCTCTCTTACACTCTCTGTCATAGATTCTCTTACTTTTCTTCTCCTTTTTCTTCTTAATTTGACATTTCAAAATTTTTAAAGAACAAAAAACATAAAGACCCCATCAAGAAATGAGGGTCTCTGGCTCTCTGCCGACGAATACGTCTGTCAATTGGTTTTTTGACATTTTTACATAATATTTTCTCAAATTAGCCAATTTGTTGACAAAATTGAGGGATTTATGACTCCGCGTAAGAATATACGTATTTAAGCAGAATTTAGGCAAGAGTGTGATCTTTTTTTTTTTTTTTTTTTCCCATAAATAATTGTGATTTTTATAAAACAAAACAACAATAGATTAGCCGTCGGGGAATTCTGATTGGTCGACTCACGTCAAACGCATGAGACACAGCCAAACAAAACACGGCACGTCAGCATTACACGTGGCTACTACTTCTCAAGCTGGCGGCTCCACTTTATTTCTCATTTTACCTCACCAATATTAATAACTTTTCTAGGCTAGGATTGCATTTTAATCCTTTAAGATTGTGAAAAAAAAATTTCTTTTAAAATGTTGTATGCACATTTTGGAAAAAAAGTTTCGCTAATTCAATTTTGATATATAATTATAATGATGCCTTTGTTTGGAATTTATACAATCATCACGCATTTTCCAAATATGGGGAGATTTCCATTGCTCTAAAACTCAACAGTCTTAAACAACATGCAGATTCTGTATTTAATACAAACAAATACATGCAAAATGCCAAAAAAATATTGTTCAACCATATATAAACATTTAAAATTAAAGGCTAAGCAATAATACTATTACTGACTCCGACATGGATAATGCTAACTATTAAAATTTTATCCCAACTCAACTAGTAGTTACCAAAAGATTAGAAGAGAATCTACACAATTTGAAAAAAGGTAAATATTGGAAGAAAAGAGAATCTCCACAGATATTTTTCTTTTATCTTCTTTGTCTCAATGGATTTTTTATTTTTTTTAATTTCTTATATGAAAAATAATGTTTTTATTTTTGGGGTTTGAAGGATAATGTGAGTGAGAGAGAGAATCATTTTCTCGTGGTGTGTTAGAAGGACAAAAGCTGGCCCGCCATTTGCCTTCGGTTTCTGCATCATCTCAGTTCCTCACTTTGCCTTTACTCCGAAGACATGCTTTTCTCCATTATTACTCTTTAGGGTTATTTTCGTTATTTCCTCACTCACCACCTTAATCAAATTCACGCTGGTTACTTATAATAATAGTACTACAATTCTAGTATTGGGGACATTTAACTTTTAATTCTAAATAAAGTTTTAACTTAAAAATGTGAAATCAAAAACCAATGAGCGGGAAGTATAATTGCCCAAGATGAGCGCCGATCAATGCGGTCAAGGGCAAACTAGGAAAAACACGTAACTTTTTTCTTTTTATAAAACAAATCTTAAGAAAATAAAAGAAAAACGAGTAAATATCATTTTAATTGGAACCTTTAGGAAAGAAATAAGAAATGCCAGGAGAGATAAATAAATACTCTCGGACTGACTCATGAAGATCTTATTTACCTCTGTAATAATGAACAGTGCCGTTTTTTTGTTATCTTCTGTATCTTTTTCATTAACATAAATACGCGTAAGAATTTATAAAACAGAATCTACTGATACACAAAATTTATAGATTTATTGCCGGTTGGGTTATTTCCATCTTTAGAAAAATACTTTTTTGCCCCTTTTTATGTTTATTTAAAAGAAAGAAAAAAAAAAAAAGAGAGAGTAAAAAGCGTTTCGAGAAATAAGAAAAGGGAGAGGCTGAGATTACCAAATTGAATGCTTTACCAAACTCACATAACCATCTCTTGATCCATTTTTTAATCTCTTTCCTCTTATTCTTCTTCTTCTTCTTCTTCTTCTCGCCACCGCTCCTTCCTCCTTCTCTCTCGTTCTTCTTCTCTCTGTGTATCAGGTACTTTCCCTAATTCCTGTCCAATTTTAGGGTTTTCTTTTAAGGGTTTCGTATGCCTTTATTTTCATGTTTGTTGAATTTGCTTCGTTCGTTGGGTTTTCATTTCAGTCTCGTGACTGACTCTGTTTGTGGGTCGTTTTCGTAATTGAGTTTCCCGGTCGTCTGTTTTTTTTGGGGTTCGTGATTTTTTTCTCTCTCTGTCTTGGAATTGCGAGAAAAAGGAACGTTTTTTTTACGTTTCGTTTGAAAAAGAATGTGAACAAATTCGATATAAAGATTGAATTCTTTTTTTTCGATAGGACAATGGAACAAACAGCGTTGAAGAGCAGCATCAGGAAAGAGATGGCTTTCAAAACGACTCCTCCGGTTTACGAAGAGTTTCTTGCCGTCACCACCGCTCCGAATGGCTTTTCCGCCGACGATTTCTCCGTCGACGACTTGCTTGACTTGTCTAACGATGACGTTTTCGCCGACGAAGATACTGACCCCAAGGCTCAACAAGATATGGTCCGTGTTTCCTCCGAGGAACCCAACGACGACGGAGACGCTCTTCGCCGGAGCAGCGATCTCTCCGGCTGTGACGACTTTGGTTCTCTCCCTACAAGCGAACTCTCTGTTCCGGTAACTAATAAACCATTGGATTTAAGTTTGATTCTTTTTCCCTCTAATTTGTCTCTAATTTTTCTTTTTTCTTTTTTTTGGTATAGGCGGATGATTTAGCGAACCTTGAGTGGCTCTCTCATTTCGTGGATGACTCCTTCACGGAATATTCGGGTCCAAACCTCACCGGAACCCCCACTGAGAAACCGTCGTGGTTAACGGGTGACCGGAAACACCCTGTGACTCCGGCCACGGAAGAGTCCTGTTTCAAATCCCCTGTTCCGGCTAAAGCCCGTAGCAAACGTAACCGCAATGGAGTCAAGGTCTGGTCGCTTGGTTCGTCGTCCTCTTCAGGTCCTTCCTCGTCCGGTTCGACCTCCTCCTCCTCTTCGCGTCCTTCCAGCCCGTGGTTCTCCGGCGCTGAGATGCTCGAGCCAGTGGTC